CGTACCTCCTGAACCAGAACTGCCTGACCCACTGAGGTTATCTGAACCATCAGTGCCTGCTGAACTAAAGCTCCATGCTCCAGGTCCTTTGCAGCTCCATGATCCAGGTCCTCTGCTGCTCCATGCTCCAGGTCCTCCACAGCTCCATGGTCTTGGTCTTTCAGAGCTCAACACTCCAGCCCATCCACAGCTCCACGCTCCAGGCCTTCTGCAGCTCCATGCTCCAGGTCCTCCACAGCTCCATTCTCTTGGCCTTTCAGAGCTCCAAACTCCAGCCCCTCCACAGCTCCACGCTCCAAGCCTTCCGCAGCTCCACGCTCCAGACCCTCCGCAGCTACACACTCCAGGCCTTCCGCAGCTCCATGCTCCAGGCCCTCCGCTGCTCCACGCTCCAGGCCCTCCGCTGCTCCACGCTCCAGGCCCTCTGCTGCTCCACGCTCCAGGCCCTCCCCTGCTCCACGCTTCAGGCCCTCTGTTGCTCCACGCTCCAGGCCCTTCGCTACTCCATGCTCCAGGCCCTCCGCTGCTCCAGGCCATTCACAGCTTTATGCTCCGAATTGCACGCTGCTCCATGCTTCTGGCCCTTCTTCCCGTCCCTCTTCTGCCTTCTCTCTACCACCCTGCTGGATTGCCTTGAGAGTTTCTGGAAGTCACTCCTAGAGGGGGGCTCTGTAACTATCACCAACGATTTAGGGACTGCAGATCGCTTGAGAACTACAAGCATGCCATATTAATAAACTATAATTCCCACCATGCACCGTACACACACCGGTTCCTGATCTCATACTAATGGCACACACATCGCTGGTGTCGCATCATGGACTAATTCCTGGACTATTTATGCATCCCACAAACACACATACATTGGTTAGTCTTAGTATTCGGTTAAGAACTGTTACATTGAGTTTTCCATATGTCTTGGTTGTCATGTTTTGTTTTTAGCCTTGTCAGTGTTCCTAGCCTTGTTTATGTTTAGTTTCGTTGCCATGTACTTATGACCTTTGCCTATACTTATGACCTTTGCCTATATATATATATATGCCTGTACGACGACCCATAACGAACTGCACGTGGATCTGTACTCCATTTCAGAGTCTCATGCTTCTGGGGTAAAAGTGCCCAAAAATTAATCTGCTGCAACTAACACTGCTGCTAACATTGCTGTGATGTTAATCTAGCATAACCCCAGGTGTCGCAAAAAAATAATAATTGGAAGGTTGATTGCTTTTTATTTGCATAATGTTATTAATATTATAAAAAATATTATGTACACTTTACTAGTACTGGTTTGGACCCCCTTTTGCCATCAAAACTGCCTTAATCCTTGGCATAGATTCAACAAGTTACTGGAAATATTTCTTAGAGATCTTGGTCCATAATGACATAATAGAATCACGCTTAAAATAAGGATTCATGAATAAAATTAGGTAATTCTAATAGAGATTTTTGGAAATCACCCAGCGACCTCCTCTTATTGTCTTGTGACCCCCACTTTAGAAATCAGCACATGTGTCTGGCAGAGCCTGAAAGCGATAGTACACCCAAAATTAGAAGTTTCTTCATTTACTGACACAGTTTTTGTTTGATCTATCCCTTTGATATCAAAATTCATGCAAACATTTCTGTTGCATGAAGGCTAAATGACTAAAATACATGCGCCAAAATTAACATTCAATAAATTCTCTGTGAAATCTCACAAACATGGATCTCACAACAGCATAAGGGACTAGTTCACTGCATCTCTCCCGCTCTTTCTATGAAAATGGGAACATATTAGCAGAATATGTCTTCACTAAAAGAATGACAAAATACTTGGCTCATATTTTTGGACAGTGAACATAGAAATGTCACATGTTAGATGCAACAACTGTTGCGTCATCACAAGTTTACAAATAGCAGTTTATTAAGTCTTGCCAATTCAATCATTCTTTAGAAAACAAAAAAGAACTCAGTACTTGTGTGTTGTCTGTCTACACATAAATCCATCTCTCAGACTACTTGCAGGAATTCAGAAGTTTTTTTTGCTGCTTATTGCACTTAGTCGATCCAACAACAATTCTGTCAAAATGTCTCAGTGATTATTCACGTAAACTAAAAGTCACGTAAACAAAGTCAGTAATGCCAAAAGTAAAGGAACAGTCAAGAAAGAATGTGCATAGTGACAGCACTCTCATACAGTTTAACATTATTGTTAATCAAACAATAAAAGACAAATTACTCACTGCTCTTCACTTACTATCCATTTCACATTTCATTAATCTATTTCTGTCAACTATGGTAATTTTGATATAACATGAAGAAACCTTATTGACAGAGAAGATTGCTGTATAATCCATATACTGTTTAGACATGAGACGATAACCTTTTTAAAGGTTTAAATTTACAGTTTTTTTTTTTTTTTTACAATGTTTTTATTTAGTTTTTTAGGGCAACAGTATCTCCAGTAGAAAAGGACCAAAAAAGCTACTAGTCAGCACATGATTCAGCAAACATTTGAAAAACAAATAGCTTATAAACCAACATCTTATGCCTCTATGTGCATCCAGCATTCTCAGAAATAAAAGATACAGGAGCTGTCACTGTGGCTGTACTTCTTCAAAATGTACATATTTGTACATGAAGGGGTCATAATGGTATCTCAAAGGTACTTTTTAGGTACATCTGGGCACTAATATGCATCCTTTGAGGTACCACTGTGAACTCTTAGGGCAGCTCCTGTACCTTTATTTCTAAGAGTGTATGTGCTGTGCATCTGAACAGTGCAGTGGCTTACTCACTTAAAATCTAAGAAAAGAAAGATATCCAAGGATGCCTTTTTAAGTTGTAAAGAAATCTGTGCTTTGTAAACTAATTAAGATAGCAGAATTAAATTATTTATTTTAATTATTTAGCCTGACATGTTTACTGTCCCAGAATATTTTAAGCGTTTCTTAAAATAAAATATATTGTGTTAAATAGGAAAAAATAAAAGTTGTAAACATATGAAAAACATATTTTAGAGGAGTATCACAACACCATCATTCTGAGATATTTTATCAAAGGTTTTCAAACCGTCAGAATCAGAATAATGTCTGTCTTAAATAATATCTGATAATAGAATTATTTTCTGTGCCCCAAAAAATATGTTGAAATTAGTCTAAACATAAGTTCAATTATATATCCTCTGACACAAATAAAAAGCAGGGCAAAGTGTTAAAAAAAATACAAACATTGTGAATGTATGAGACCAATGATTTTTCCAGAGTATGTTTGGAAGACCCATCCCTGACTGACAAGGTCTAGAATTTGTTCTATACATGAAATACCCTTTTCCTATTTAGGCAAAAAATAATAATTGTGAAGCTTTATATTATTATTATTGTTATTATTATTATTACTATTATTATTATTATTATTATTATTATTATGTTTTAATATTTTTTTTATTTAAATGGCCAAATTCTGACTACAGAAAGTTGAATGTGCTGGCCAGTTTGTTATTTTGCCTAATTTTAAACAGTTTTACCAGATTAACTTACTATTTTTCTAATGATATATGATGTAATAAATTTGTATTTTAAAAATAATTCATATTTCTTTATTCTAAATCTTTAGGACATATTTTTGCTACATCAAAAAGTGTGGTTACGATGACAATCCGACAAGCTAATTCAGCTAGAAATAGAGCTTAAAATGTCAATAAAGTGCATTATTTAAATATCGTAATTAAATAAAAAATGAGACGTATAACTGCAAAAAGGTCCACTTTTTGAGAAAAAAGAACCACCCCTTTCAGCAGGGTGTCTACGGGCCTAAAGTAAGAAGTTTGAACACTGTAAAACCCAAAAAGTTTAGGTAACTTAAACCATGTGAGTAAACCGACTTCAACAAAATATTTAAGTTCAAAAACTAATCCTAATGAGCAGCTACTGTAAACTAGATTCATTTGAGTAAACCATTCAACTTGAGCACAGTAAAACCCAATAAATGAAGAGAACTCAAACCAACTAAGTACTCTAAAACTCAATAAGTTAAGGCAACTCAAACTGTTTGACTAAACCAATTGCTACAAACAATTTAAGTAAAAAAAAAAAATCTATGAGTACTGTGAACTTACTCCATTTAAATTGAAATAATGAGGTATTAAATCTGAGGTCATTTGAGGTAAACTCATTACCTTCAACATGAGTTCAAAAATCTTTTTAAATGAGTAGATTTAACTTTCAGTCAATTTTGAGTTAACTACACTCATTCCATTTGATAAAGTTGACTGTTGGGTTTTACAGTGTATAATAACTCGCGTTATATTATAAAAACATTGAATGATGTGTTAAGTTTAGTCTTTAAAAACATGACTTAAAAAGAAATGTAACACCATCTCTTACCTCAGAAAAACTCTTCAAGACGCACCTAAAATAAAAGTGGTTGTCCTCACGTTACCTCAGTATCTGCTGTGTTGTCAAATGAGATTTTGTTAGGTTTATGTCGATGTAACTAACATTAGTAGTTATTTTTCAAGCTGAAAAAAGTGTTGCATGCAGAACTGTTGCAAACAAATTAATTTTGTTCAATTTAAACAAACAAATTAAGTTTAATAATGTTCAACTTAGTTTGTTTGTTTAAACTCAACACAAATAAATTGTTTACTACCGCTTAACGTAAACAAATTGAGTAAATCCAAGAAATCATCTCTGAATAATTTTTTTCAGTGTTGTAATCTCTTACCTGAGAAAAGCAAACGGTTGTCAGACGTTGAACTGTGCGCGCTCTTCCTTTTCTGTTAATCACTACTGTGAAATGGGCATTTTACAATTTTGAGACTGACATTTATCGTTAATTAACTTTCTAAAATAGCAAATACAATCAAAGTGTATGTAATTTAATTTAGTCTTCTGGTAATTAAAACATGGACCAAATGCAGTTACTTTTTCCATAATACACGACACTCTCCTAAGGCGGTTTTCCTCTGATAAGAGTTTCTGTTCTTTAACCGTGTTAAATGTTACTCCCGTCCTACAGGTGGCGTTCCTCAGTATTTCTGACACGAACACGGCGCGGGAGAGTTTGGCTGAAGTAACTGGAAATGTTACGTATAAATACAAATTCATATTTGACAGGAATATAAAGCCTGCGAGTTATCAAAGCTTTTTTGAGAAGTTTAAAGTGCATGAATGAAATCCACAGACAGACAACGGGTTATTCAAACATTCAGCGCCGTGAGCTGCAAACGTGTGTTTTGTTCATCAATGTAAGTATACGCACGTTAAAAGTATCCTTTATCATTAATAGTCATTCTTGTTTTAATGCTAACGTTGCAGTTATTATGTATCCGTAATAAATATGTTTTACTCTTAAAGACAAATGAAAAGAAGCCGTAATGGGTGACAGGACTCTACCTAAATGGATGAATAACAAACCTCAGGATGAACACGTGAGAAAACTCAACAACATAAACATACACCACACATAAAGAAACTATTCTGACCTGTTTTCCTGTATTAGTCCTGTATTTTCTTCTTCTTTCATGCACTTGCCATCTTCATCAATTGGCATGTTATGCGCAGGAGGAAATGCTCTCCTACCTGTGCTTTCACTAATGTGTATGTTTTCCATTGGTTGAGAGAGGAAAAGCCACTTATTTGCATTATTTACTGAGACACCTGCAGCACTATTCTCATATTCAAATCAAACCAAAGCACTGTTTGCAGGTCAACAGTCAGGAAATACTGGTTTTATACTGGTCAACGTATGCTGGTTCATTAAATAAACATACACCTATTTTAATATAAACCAAGCAGTCAGTTTATTCTGTAGGATGGAAAGTTCTGCTCCACATTTGTTCAATGTTGTGTAGTATAAATCAAGCCAACAGCTTATATAATGTTGGCACAGCTAGTCTATAACACGTTCTGAACGGTTTGCATGTTATGATGCAGTCATTGATGAAATGTGCTTCCTTGCATCAAAGCTTGATGTACTATGGATATAATATTTGCATGTTGTCTTTGGTGATCTTGGATATTACTGAATGAGTGCTAGCTAGAGCTTCGATGTCAGAACACAATGACTTCATTGAAATGTTTAAAAAATTTTAATCTATTATTTATGTTTCTACATATTTCGGCACGACTAGCAATGTGTAAGACCGGTTTTAAAAAGGAAATGACTTATTTGTCTAAGCTGGAAAACAAATGTAAAATTAGAGCTTGATGCACCTGTATGAAAAGCACCTGGCCGTCCTCCATATTCTTATGATTTGATGTGTTTTTCCATCTGGCTGATGTAGGATCATTTATCTACATGGCAGCGCTGTCATTAACATTGACTCATTGGTTATGTTTTTTCCATTATGTTTATTTATTTTTTTCTTTAAAGTAAATATGTCTTTTATTAGCTTATTATATGTTTTCACAGACATCAGGAACTTATAAAAAGAATGTTTTGGAGGATCATCTACCGTATCTGGAATTTGGTGGAACAGTCGTATACAGCCAGGAAAGACACGACTGTTCTTTTTTATCAGAGGATTTAAGGTATTAAATATGGTTGAATCTTAAAAAAAACACTCTTTCCTCAAAAGTTGGACCAGTAAAGTTTAATTTAGATGTTTTGTAACATTAGAGTTACACTAAAAAAGTTTTTCTTGATAATTGTGATTCATAATATACAGTCAATAGTTTAATAAAGTGTTCAAAAACACATTCTACTTTGAAGTCACTAATTTTGTCAGCAATGCTGATTTATATTCAGTGCTGGCCTTGAACCAGTATAAGATGCATATATAAAAGGGCTGCACGATATTGGAAAATAAAATTGACAATGTGATATTTTGTTTTTCTGCAATATACACTCACCGGCCACTTTATTAGGTACACCTGTCTAACTAATTGTTAATACACATTTCTAATCAGCCAATCACATGACAGCAACTCCATGCATATAGGCTTGTAGACATGGTCAAGACGATCTCCTGCAGTTCAAACGGAGCATCATAATGTGGAAGAAAGGTGATTTAAGTGACTTTGAACATGGCATGGTTGTTAGTGCCAGCTGGGCTGGTCTGACTATTTCAGAAACTGCTGATCTACTGGGATTTTTATGCACAACCTTCTCTAGTGTTTAGAGAGAATGGTCCAAAAAAAGAGAAAATATTCAGCGAGCAGCAGTTCTGCGGGCGCAAATGCCTTGTTGAGGCCAGAGGTCAGGGGAGAATGGCCAGACTGGTTCCAGCTGATAGAAAGACAACAGTAACTCTAATAACTATTCATTACAACCGAGGTATGCAGAAGAGCATCTCTGAACGCACAACACTTCCAACCTTGAGGCGAATGGGCTACAGCAGCAGAAGACGACACCAAGTGCCACTCCTGTCAGCTAAGAACAGGAAACTGAAGATACTATTCTCACAAGCTCACCAAAATAGGACAACAGAAGATTGGAAAAACGTTGTTTGGTCTGATGAGTCTCGATTTCTGCTGAGACATTTGGATGGTGGGGTCAGAAATTGGCATCAACAACATGAAAGCATGGATCTATCCTGCCTTGTATTAAAGATTCAAGCTGCTGGTGGTGGTGTAATGGTGTGGGGGGTATTTTCTTGGCACAATTTGGGCCCATCAGTACTAGTTGAGCATTGTGTCAGCGTCACATCCTACCTGAGTATTGTTGCCACCCATGCCCATCCCTATGACCACAGTGTACCCATCCTTTGATGGCTACTTCCAGCAAGCTAGGCAGTTCTGAAGGCAAAAGGGGGTCCAACCCGGAACTAGAAAGGCATACCTAATAAAGTGGCCAGTGAGTGTATTTTGCAATATGTACAGAGCCCATAAGGGATGAATCGTTGGGCTAGAAATTTATATTTAAATTATTTTGTGCTCGCTACAAAAATCTTTTCCACGCTTTCACTCATGCGACTTCACTACAAAAACTTCCACTCAAGTTTTACTCACAATGCATTTTCTAGCAAAGAGATTTTGTTCCCTCTAAAATCTTTGGGTTTACTCACGACAGCACTAAAAATATTTTTTTCCCTCCACACCATGTTATTTCCATCAGAAATGTTTATTAATTAAATTAAATTAAGCAAAAGTTTTGTGAGCGAACAAAAAAGTATCTAAAAGGAATGCAATAATTTGAGAGACATTTTCTGTAAGAACAAAAAAGCATTCGTAATTACTTAATTATATGGTATGGTATTATAATCATATGCTATAACCTTTCAAATCTACAATTACAAGTAGTACACCCTTTATCATAATATAAAAAAAAAGTCTTTGGAAAGTCATGAACAATTTCTATTGAGATTGTAGTGTTAGATTCTATTGTTCATGTTTATTATCTCAATTTTATTTTAATCTGAAGTAAAATATGCAGAATTATCAGTAAATTTAATAAAAAGTTTCTTTGATTCTTTGCATTTGGGATGAATTGTATACAGTTGAAGTCAGAATTATTAGCACCCCTTTGAATTTTTATTTTATTTCCCAAATTATGTTTAACAGAGCAAGGAAATTTTCACAGTATGTCTGATAATATTTTGTCTTCTGGAGAAAGTCTTACTTGTTTTATTTTGGCTAAAATAAAAGCATTTTTTAAATTTTTAATAACCATTTTAGGGACAAAATTATTAGCCCCTATTATTATTAGCTATTTTTGTTTTCAATAGTCTACAGAACAAACCATCGTTATACAATAACTTGCCTAATTACCCTAACCTGCCTAGTTAACCCAATAAACCTAGTTAAGCCTTTAAATGTCACTTTAAGCTGTATAGAAGTGTCTTGAAAAATATCTAGTCAAATATCTACCGTCATCATGGCAAAGATAAAATAAATCAGTTATTAGAAATCAGCTATTAAAACTATTATGTTTAGAAATGTGTTGAAAATATTCTCTCTGTTAAACAGAAATTGGGAAAAAAATAAACATGTGGGCTAATAATTCAGGGGGTCTTATAATTCTGATTTCAACTGTATGTGTATATATATATGGATGTGTGATGAGCATGTTGTTGATGGTTTTTATAAAGCTTACACCTGATGCTGAAGGATCTGTTTTGGTCATTCAGTTCCCTGTTGGTTTGACCTAGAAAGTACACACAATTACTGATCTTCAGCTCATGTGCTATATGAATGAGAGTGGATGATTATATTGCTTATTTTTTTAATTTTGTGTGTCATATCCAGATCTGCTTTGTCGTCTGGCTCAGCGGTGGGATTTGATCTGGAATGGCCACCAAGCTTCACCAAGGGGAAGACAAAGAAAGTGGCAATGGTGCAGCTGTGTGCATCTGAGGACAAATGCTATTTGTTTCACATCTCCTCCATGTCAGGTGTGCTCAGGCAGAAGCTGAATGTCAATTTTAATATTGTTAATAGAATTAATATAATTCTGTACAAAATATTTGTCCTCTATCTACGACTTTTGCACAGTATTGTGTGTGTGTGTGTGTTTGTAGATTGTGTATTAAAGTGGGTCACACACCAGAAGCGCCGCTCGGCGAAGCGCCATGCAATGTCATGCATTTCAGAATTCTAAACAAAGGTTTCTATCAGGGTACACACAACGGCGCCGCATGTTGGCGGCCATCCGCACCTTCCAGCCATGACTCAGGACACTGTTCATATTTCTGAGCACTATCTGATTAGTTTCATTTCATATAGCGAATGTGCGTGTCTGGTGTGCGATACTTTCAACTGTCATGTGCGCGCCGTGTCGCAGCGCCAAGCGGTGCATCCGGTGTGCACTGCATCTCACGTTTGAGATGGTGTTTTGATATAAAGTTTAAGTCAGAATTATTAGCCCCACTTTGAGTTGTTTTTCTTTTTTAAATATTTTTCAAATTCAGTATAATAATGTTTTTTTTTTTCTGAAGAAAGTCTTATTTGTTTTATTTTGGCTTGAACAAAAGCAGTTTGTTCAATTTTTTAAACACCCTTTTAGGGACAAAATTAAAGCTTTATATTTAAGCTATTTTTAAATAGCTTTAAGCTATTTTTTTTTCTTACTAGTCTACAGAACAAACCATCATTATACAATAACTTGCCTAGTTACCCTCATCTGCCTAGTAACCTAATTAACCTAGTTAACCCTTTAAATGTCACTTTAAGCTGTATAGTAGTGTCTTGAAAATTATCTAGTCAAATATTATTTACTGTCATCATGGAAAAGATAAAATAAATCAATTATTAGAAATCAGTTATTAAAACTATTATGTTTAGAAATGTGTTGAAAAAATCTCTCCATTAAACAGAAATTGTGGAAAAAAATAAACAGGGGCTAATAATTCAGGTGGGATAATAATTCTGACTTCAACTGTATATATGTAAATGGATATATCTATGTACTGGGGTTGGACAATGAAACTAAAACACCTAGTTTTAGACCACAGTAATTTATTAGTATGTTGTAGGGCCTACTTTTACAGCCAATGCAGCATCAATTCATCTTGGGAATGACAGATACAAGTCCTACACATTGGCCAGTAGGATTTTGAGCTGTTCTTCTTGCAGAATATTGGCCAGGTGACTGTGGTGCTGGTGGAAGAAAACGTTTCCTGACTCACTCCTCCAAAACACCCTAAACTGGCTCAATAATATTTAGATCTGATGGCAGTGCATCCCATGGGAGATGTTCAACTTCACTTTCATGATCATCAAACCACTCTGTCACCAGTATTGCTGTGTGTATTAGTGAATTATCATTGTAAGAATGGGTTTTAACCACAGCAATTCAATCTGTAGTTCTGCCGAGTGAATAAATAGTTATCAGCATGATGGTAAAAAACTGTACAATCTAGTCAAACCATTCTTCTACAATCTTATACCAAAAAACGAAATAAGGGCAGTGTTAATAGCTTAAAATATGGGAGAGCGTTGATATTATGTGATTGTATTGTATTGCAATATGGAGCAATTAAGTGTTGATGTAAAATTAAAAGTAATTCACAAATACTTGTATATGAAATGATTTAATGACAATAATTCTCTATGGTTACAACTGAATTAAGTACGAATAACTATACAAAATAATAAAATATAAATGATAAAAGCGTAATAAATGTTGTACCCAGCTTAAATGTATAAATAAAATAACCAGAGGTAGAAGGAGACTAGGAGAGACAGGGGGAGGGAGAGACAAAGAGAGTAAGTAGGCCTCAAAGAGGCAGAGGAGATAGACTCTAGATCAGAGAGGAGCAGAGCAGGAAATCAGCAGAACAGGAAAAAGACAGGCCAGGAAAAGAGACTGAGCAAAATTTAATAGCTATTTTGTATCTTTCTTGACCATGTGACTAAAGCCCAAATACTGTGACATTCAAACTGACCAATCAACATTTGACCACATCGTAAAACCCCCAAAGACCACACACCAGGCCCTGATCTAATCAGTATCTGCCTTTGGAATTTCTGTGAGCCTTCTTTGGTGAAAAAAATACATGTTTTGCCATATAAACAAATGCATATGATAATTTAGACTGTTACATCATCCTTATTACTCGGCACCACCTTCAGGATACAATGTTTGAACCATTGAGAGCACACGGTCCTCCAGAATGGTTTGGTAGTCCTTGGCAGTGACAAGACTGTCTGGCACAAGTTTTGAGCCTAGGGAATGCCATGATATTGTATCTGATATCTGATTCACCCTCATGCTTCACTCTGGGCTTGCAATAGTCTGGGCGTTACACTTCTTTGGGGCTTCTCCACACCGTAACTCTTCCAGATATGGGAAAGACAGTAAAGGTGGACTCACACTTGAGACGCACACCAACAGTTTGTCCTCTTACATGTCACCCTTAATGTCATGTGTTACTATGTTATTACTCTGTAATTAAACCTTCAATCTCTGCTCTTACTGGTAGAAACCTCCAACACTAAATTCACCAGTGTTTCGGTTTCAATGTCCAACTCCTGTATGTGTGCATTTATTCATTATGATACAAACAGAAAAAACAGAAAATATATATACCCAAAATAAAAAATAAATAAAAATGATCTAGAACAAAATAGCTTGACCCTGATTGGGAATGAAGTCACTCTGAAACCCTGGGTGACTGTCCTGAAGTGTTTTAATGAAGTGGTTTGTTGTGAATAATGTAACCAGACTGCGGGCAGGTTTCATTCAGCACTTTCAAGAGTTCTTTAGATTCATAGGTAGACTGTTTTTGATAGTTTTTCTGTGAAGATAATCCCATGCTGCCTCTTTAATATTCAGGTCTGGGCTCTGTGGTGGACGGTTCATGGCTGATTGTGTTTTATCAGCTGTTTTTCCTCTTAAAAAGATTATTTTAATGATCCCACAATTATCAGGTTGAAAAATACATCCATTATCAATCAGGTGCTTTTCTAAAAGGAATGACATGGTGAATTAAAACCTCTCTGTGCTTTTCAGCCCGACTTGCATTTTCTGGTTGTATTTTATTAAAGATACTGAGAGAAGTTTATTTGACTGTTTAAAATTGCTAAAACAACAAATGTCTCATTATTTCTCAGGGTTTCCTCCTGGCCTGAAGATGTTTCTAGAGGATGAGAACATCATGAAAGTTGGCGTGGGAATTGAGGGTGACAAATGGAAGTTATTGTCTGATTATGACATCAAGTTAAAGAATATCGTTGATCTCTCTGATCTGGCAAATGAGAAGGTATGTTTTAATAGTGATATGGACATATGTCATCATATGGCTGTTTAATGGCGTATTTAATCGAAATAATTTTCCCACTAAGAATTAAACTTAATATTATTAATTATACAAATCATGGGTTCTTTTGAGTATGGATTTTCATGTTGCATAAGTGATGAGATTGCTTGATGATGAGGGAAAATTAATCTTGCGACTCAGAACAGCCTGTAGTTTGTGCAGTGTAATTTATCTTATTTTAAACATGGCACCTGAACAACTAAATTTAATTAAGCAGAGTTCTTAAACAGTAAAATATTGCCATAAAATGTAAACAAATAGATTTTAACATTGATTTGATTGATTTTAGTCATTTAGATTGTAGAACAAATGTCTAAAACTAAATGTAAAAACTAAAATAAAAGTTGCTTGAGTCTATAAGTTCTATGTCTCACACAATCTGAATCACATCTAAATGTATTAGCCTAAATCTGAGGTAACAAGCTAAATGCAAAGCTTACTGGCACAGCTACTTACGGAACAAATAATTTTATAAAACAAAAATACTTATTATTTTGCACACATAAGAACACTGAAGATTTGTATTTTTTATCTTACCAATGTTGTAACTGAATTGACAACAGTGTTGTTCCACAAAGACATTTCTCTAACGGAATTTTTTTTAACTGCACAGACACGTCTGTGTACCAGTTTAGTGCGCCCCTGTACACGAGGGAGAATAGTTGTTAAAGTAATTTTTATTTTTGAGTGAACTATGCCTGTAGACACATACAATTACATATACAGCATAAAATGAGTATTGAACACGTCATGTTTTATGGAAGGTAAATCCTGCCAATTTTAAATAATAAATCAAATAAACATTGGAAATGAAAATGAAAATCAGATTAACAATTTCATTTTAAAACACTGTTCGGAAAATATCTGCCAAAAATGAAAACGAAATGAAATTATTTCATTTTAATTTTCACTTTCACTTTGACAACACATCGTCCCTGTCAAATTGATAATTAAAATGAAGTTGCCAATTTAACATTTCATTTTCACTGCATTTCCACGTCAAGACTGCCAATATTAAAATAAAAAGCCAAACTGAAAAATAATATGCAAACACAATTTTTACAAAGCGTGTTATTAATGTTAACGCTATAATAGTGACACAATTCAAATGAAAATGTAAATTTAAGCTTTCCTTTTATTGACACTTTTTCAGTTTTCATTTTCGATTTCATTTTCAACTTAAAGCTGTATGCAAAGCCTATGCTAATCAGTGGGAGGGGCGTATTCAAGTGACGTCGAGTGCTTTCACACACAGAGCCGAGGGCAGAAGCACGGTTTTGATGGATGGGACATAATGTTTTTTTCCTGGGAATAATATTTCTAAAGTGACCTTGAAAAAAATGACCTTGAGAAGGTGATCCATGCTTTTATTTTGGGAAGACTTGACTATTGCAATTCTCTATATCCCCAGTTCTATCCTCTGTGGGCTGGCTTCCTGTTAGGTAACGGATTGATTTTAAACTATTACATTTAGTTTTTAAATCCTTAAATGATATGTCACCCCCTTACTTATCAGACCTCCTACATGTAAATAATCCTGGTAGGTCTTCTGATCAGTTTATTCTTTCGGTATTAAGGTCTCAGTGAAAGCGAAGTGGGGATCTGACTTCTGCTGTTATTGCCCCAAAACTCTGGAACGGGCTTTAACCCCACATCAGACATGCTCCAACTTAGTTTTTTTCTAAGTTGGAGTTTTTTTAATCAGTTTTTTTAAAGCATCTGAAACTCCATTTTTGTTCTTTATCATTTTAGCCTTTTTAATGTTGAGGGGTTTGCCTTATGTTTTGATTGTTATGTATGTGATGTAGGTTTTATTTTATTTGGTATTGATTGTGTTTAGCACTTTGGGCATATAAACTTTGCTATATAACTAACTAACTAACTAACTAACTAACTAACTAACTAACTAACTAACTAACTAACTAACTAACTAACTAACTAACTAACTAACTAACTGTTGATAGTTAACCCAGATTTTGGTAAAAACCCAAACAATACAAAATATAAAAATAACAACAAAAAAAAAAATAAAAAAAATCAGTTGTGTAATAGCAAAAAACTAGTAAAACCTATTTAATACTTTTAAAAATGCTGATGGCAGGTTAAAAATGCCTCTTATACGTTGAATAAAGTCGCATTGCTTAGGTGTGAGTTTTTCACAGACTTCAGCAGTGTAAAAATCTTGATTGTTCTGTGGGTTTGTCTATCAAATCTGATCCTTATTTTGTATTTTATATCAGATACAAGTCAGGTGATTGGCTGGGCTATTCTACAGCTTGATTTTCTTTCTCTGAAAGCATTTGCCAGTCTCCTTGGTTTTGTTTTGGGTCATTGTCTTGCTGAAATGTCCACCCTGGCCTGGTTTCATTTTCATCATCCTACTAATGTAGATGTTGAACTGAAGCCGCTAATATTAATTAACAATGAGGAAGGGCAGGGGGTTTCTGAATGACTATTGAGAGATTTCAATTGCTGTCTGGGCTTTCACTGCCTTTGTGCACCTTTTTTCATGTGTTTAATACTTTTTCCCTGCGTTATTTCATTTTGTTGCTCATAACTTAATTTGTAAACTAATTAGATTTTTCTTTGCATATTGTTGTTACAACATCTAGTAAAAAATTCAAGTCAACGTCACCTTTAGAAATCTGTTTTCTGAGTAAAATAGTGACTTCTTCAATACTTATTTTTCCCGCTGTATGTTAAAGTAAATCTATTTTAGTCAAGTAAATCGTCCTAAATATGTTCTTTAAAGAAAATAAAATCTTAGTTCTAATGTTGAGAAATCATGTATTAACTGTTTGTGCTGATTTTGAGTGAGATGAATTCATGTTTATTTGTTGGTTGTGTGTTTTAGCTGAGATGTTGTGAGAAGTGGAGTTTGGATGGCCTTGTGAAGCACTTGTTGAAGAAGCAGCTCTTTAAGGACAAACTGGTACGCTGTAGTCACTGGGATGATTTTAGTCTGACAGAAGACCAGAAGAGATATGCTGCAACAGATGCTTACGTAAGTCTACGGAAACAACTGCAGTTGCAATGCAGTAAATTGGTATGGACCCTTTTCACAAGACATGTTTAATGGTCATTAGCATTTTAAATCACGGAAAGTTTTATTAAACGTATATACATTATGAGCCAGAATGGTTTGGTAGTCCTTACCAGTGACAGCTCCCATCTAGCCCATCAAAATCCAATGATATTGAGCCCAAACCATGACTGATCCACCCCCATGCTCCACTCTGAGTTTACCCATCTATCATCACTTCCGCTGCTGAGAAACCCAGAAATGTGAAAAGAGCTCATAACTGGTATGAATGACAAGCTAAACTATGTTTATATCCTGATGCTAATTTAAATGCCTCATAATTGGCTTTATTTTTCTAAAAGGCTGGATTGCTCATTTATCAGAAACTACAGGAAATGATATCTGGTGAGATCAGCTTAGCTTTATAATCAAATAATGTTTTTGTTGCATCGTGTTTGTATATTTACATCTTTCTTTCTGTACACTTGCTTTGTGTTCATTGGCTATTAGGTTGCTCAGGATCCTCAGCACCCAGTTTGAAAGAGAGAGTGTTAAAAATTGCTTGTGATCTAAAAGATCTGGCTGATCATATTCCCAATGAACTTGACTGCACAGACGGGTATGTTTTTTTGGTTGTTGTTCTTCATCTTTCTTTATGCTCCACAGATAACGCATGTAAAACACTTATTTACATTTGAAGCTGTTGGATCCAGTAATGTTGACACTTTATTATATATTGTCATTAAAGGTGCAGTAAATGATTTGCCAAAATGCTAACCAATTAGCATAATATCTTTGAAGCACAGTCCCAATCCTGCCGTCCAACGCCAGGCCTCCCGATATCATGAATGCACTCATGGAAGATGACAGTAGACAATACGTTAGATCAGGGGTCTCAAACTCAATTTACCTGGGGGCCGCAGGAGGCAAAGTCTGGGTGAGGCTGGGCCGCATAAGGGATTTCACAAAAAAAAAGTCCTCAAATGTCATTATTAACAGTTTTAATTATTTCTTCTGAACATGAAGTGTCCTGAACATTAATAGAACATTGAGTGAAGATTATGAACAGTTCTTCTGAACATGGCATCTTTTGCCTACTTCTTGCTGCCAGAGACTTGACAGCGCTTCAAGTGGGGGAAAAAGTGGGGAAACTCACTCAAAACTTCCATTCCCTCACCTAAAAAAAGGCGTATATATGTATAAATAAAACACCCCCACCCCACTCCAGTCACATCAGTCTATACCAGTCTGTATCTACCTATAATATATATAAGATGCAGGCTGTAGCTAGGTAGGTGGCAGGCTGCAGATAGGTAGCTAAGTGGCAGGCAGGGGCGGCAACAGCTTACCTTGGTTCTGGCCGGCGCGAGTTCCCTCCTAACACTTCCCGCCCGTCACAGCGTCTAACAAAGGGGCGGGGTGTGTGGTAACGTCACCGGCATCCCCGCCCCTTTGTTTACACGGCGGGCGGGGAATGCCAGTGACCGCTGTGTACGGATAGAATCCGTAGGCTCCCCGCTCCGCTGATTCTGTCAGTGTACAGCGGTCGGCGTGGGCCGGCGTGGGCCGGCGCGGGCCAAAAAACTTAATAGTACTTAATAATACTACAATTCCGAACAAAAACTGTATTCTATCTAACAGGTTTTCAGTTGTGTAGCAAGCAAAACTAACGTGCTTATATTTCATGCATGCAAGGATCACTGGTCTCACTAGCTTTGTCCTAAAATGACCACTGTTTGCTTAGTGGTTGGCCGGCAGGGTGCGGGAATTACACTTATTACTAAGCCAGAACTAAGTGGAATAGCGCTATTTACTTCTGATTTGTTATTAAACTAAATAAAAACCGACATTATCGATGCTGTAAAAAGTACCTTATGAAATTGAAAATAGTCACATTAATCTTTTATCGGAAGATCTCAGAGGCTGAACAACAATTCCGTGCACATAACCCATTCGTAAAACAACACAATCTACATGAGCTTTGCATGACTAAAATCATTTTAAAACAGAGCATCACCTGTCTAAAAGAAATACTTCAGCCATGGTGTCATCTTTCCTCCCCCTTGCAAAAGTTACACCAATATTGATTCAGGATTTTAAAGTTTTGATTCAACATTGGTTGGTCACTCTCTCTCGTGTGCACGCACGTTCACACGCGAACAGCAGATCTGCGTGAACGGCTGCGCAGATGTTCAAATCTACATTTGCTTACAGACAGTTTGAACTTTTTTAGTCTTATTTCTTACCCAGAATATCAAAATACGAACAAATACATTTAGATCATTTACTTTGATCATTACTATTGGAATGTGGAGAGACATTCAACCAGCACAACAAAAAATGTTTCTGCAGACGATCACCTGCTGCACCTATAAAGTTCATTTGAAATAAAAAAGTATGTTTATTTTACTAGCAAACATTATAGTTGAAGAATTAATTCATGCAAGTTAATCCACTGAAAAAGTTTGTTATGGTAATCTTCTCAAAGTCTGATCATTTGCTTTTGCATTTGGAGTGGCGGTCCTTCTCTGTTGACGACAGTTTCATGTAGGCATAAGATTCTGACGGTTTGATAACCTTGGATAAAAATTTCACGGTTTCAGGTTTTGTGATTACTGATCTGACAGTTATTCTTTTTAAATGTCTGGGTAAAAAAACAAAAACTTTTTCCCCTTTTAATTTTTGTATTAATATATTTTTTATTATATTTTAATATATTTTATTTTTTGAAAGATTTATCATATTTTGGAACAGTAAACATGTCAGGCAAAATAATTCAAATGAATCATTGACTTTTGCTGCCTTTATTAGTTTCAAAAACACTGATTTCTTTACAATTAAAAATGACATGTTTGAATATTTTGTCTGCTGAAGATACTGTTGTCCTAAAAAAAAAAAAAAAAAAATGTAAATAAAAAAATCTTACACATACCATTGGAACTGTATTACAGAAAATGTTGGCGGTTTTAAAACCTTGACTTTTCCAAACCTCAGTATACCTTGAAAAAGGTTATCGTCCCATGCCTAGTTTCATGGTTTAATTTCGTAACCATGTCCCTCTTACTGTTAGAAAAGAGAAATCCCCTACCCCTACACTATATTAGGTTTATGTTGGAAGTACATCAGCATACTGAACTGAGATTACCGTGTTTACAGACTTTAAATATCAAACTTTTTGTAATTCATTGTGACCGTTATATTCATTATAATATGTTATCCACTAAGTTTTACTAACAAATGTTATTATAAATAGAACAACAGTGAAAATATCAAATAATAGCACAAAGCTGATATAGGACAGTCGTGTGTTTATTATTATTATTATTATATTGTGTACCTATTATATTTTATCCAATATTACCTTCCATGCAGTGTGTAATGTAGCTGTAAAAGCTATACTTTTATCTAATTATATGATAAATTACGTTTTTGCTTCTTAAAAAAAAAATTGTGTAACAAAAGCATTAACTCTTTAAAATGTGTTTTTATTCTTGATTTGCTCAATGTTGTACTATTATATGAAATATGAATGCGAGTCATTGTAATGAGTACACAGTAAAGTTGTTTGTGCATACGTTAGTTGCTAATTTAATTCAATGATGTATAAACTGAATAGGTTGTGGATAAATATTTTTTCCTTTTTAATTTTATGTAAATAATTTATTAGATTAACATTTTAATAAACATTACCTATATAGCATTACCTTGTAAACATGTTTATTTATGCTATTACAGTTTCATTTTGAAAATTAGGCTACATTTCATATATACAGAAGGCGCAAGTGGGTGCCTAATGGAAATATAACATTTGCCAAACCAGGCCATTATGTTCGCCCATCAATGCAAATATCTGTTGATGTATAATGACAAATGAGGCTAATCACTGTCTGTCACGTTAGTTTCAGTTTTTAAGGGTATTTGTAAAGATGATGGATGGTACACACAAAAAAAACGCACAACCACCTTCACCACAATGGTTTTAGTTTTTCTGCATACATCTTCGACGCATTGAGTATAAATCAAGATTAATAATCACTGAAATGTCCTTACAGAATTTTTATTAATGTAGTTTTTTTCCTGTAGTCCAAATGTAATTTGCTGTATTAATAGCTCTAATTTACTATAGCTCTAAAATTTGATTCATAATTTAGTCTTAAAGGTTTTAGCAAATGATGACAGAATTTAAATTTTAAACAATATTATATCAAATCGCGATAAAAATTTATGTCAATGACAATGAGAAGTTCTGAACTTTTTTTTACTCTATATTGATTTAATAGCCCCCCAGTGTATCCTATCTCTTATTTTTCTGTGCTACCTTTTGATTGACCTGTCTTCCCCTAAAATGTGTGATGTTTGTGTATGGTCGGAGTGGTCCAATTCTGCTGCATGTAACAGCGTTGTGACAAATCAAATCATCATATTAGAGATCGGCCTTGTAAAATTTATCTGTTGAAAATAAGTTATGCCATTTAATGGACCCTCTACTTTTTGTGGCTTCAGTCATTGTTGGGGTACTCTTTTAAATCTGAAACCATTTACAACTTGTATCGAAATATATAGTTGAAGTCAAAATTATTAGCCCCCTGTTTATTTTTTCCCCAATTTCTGTTTAACGGATAGAAGATTTCTTCAACACATTTCTAAACATAATAGTTTTAATAACTCATTTCTATTAACTGATTTATTTTATCTTTGCCATGATTAGAGTAAATATATGACTAGATATTTCTCAATTTTAGGCTAATTAAACAAGTTATTGTATAATGATGGTTTGTTCTGTATGCTATCAAAAAAATAGCTTAAAGGGGCTAATAATTTAACCTTAAAATGTTTTTAAAAACTTAAAAAACTACTTTTATTCTAACCGAAATAAAACACATAAGACTTTCTCCTGAAGAAAAAAAATATAATCAGACATCCTGTGAAAATTTCCTTACTCTATTAAACATAATTTGGGAAATATTTAAAAAAAGAAAAATTAAAAGGGGGGCTAATAATTCTGACTTCAACTGTGCATCGTTTTCGTTCAATTTGGAAAATAATTATTGGGATTGCATTTTTGCCATATCACCCAGCATTACTCTGTAATATTCACTACTACTAACATAAATGTTATTAGTAGTGATTGTATAAAATGTATAAAATTTATACAACCTTAAGCAATGGCTATGAAAAATGTATTTATATAGCACCATTTTTACAGCTTTCGTTGGCCAATGTGCTTTCCAACAACTTAACAGAACTTAAAACAGAATAAGTCTAGTCTTAAAGCTGATAATGGAAGGTACTTATTGACGGTGGTAAGGTGTTCCAAAGGCCAGGGACCACAATGCAATAAGCATGATCTCCCTTTTGTTTAAATCTTGCTTTGGGGATGCACAGCAGATCCTGATCGGAGGACCGAAGGGATCTGGTGTCACAAGACACTTGTTTTGACGCGTTAGTGGTAATCATAATCTTAAATCCTTGAACGGAAAGGAACAGTAGTTCTTGAGCTTAGTATTCAAGCTTTAAAATGGACAGTTCTGATAATTTCCTGTGATGCTGTTTTGATCTCTGTTGTGTAAAAAACTCAAAATAAAGGTGAATTGCTAACATTTGTAGTGATGATTCAGTCAGATTGTAAAGTCACACTTATTGCGCATTTAGAATTCCAGATGGGGATCAAATCCAGTCTTTTTAGGTCTAAAAAAATGCGTTTATATTATTTAAGGTTCCCATGGGTCAATGAATTTTAGGAATGTAATGGAAAAGGTCAATTCCGTCCATCAAAGCTAAGGATTTTTTTTTTCATATTTTTTTGTCCAAGTCATGGAATATCAGGGATATTTGTTTGTCATTTTAAATGTAAATTCTCATTCATCAAAATGTTATTTGTATTTTGTACTGTGTATTTTATTACACTGTTTTTACGTGTTTTGCTTATTGTTAGGTTTAGGCTATTTTTCACTGCCAATTTATTCCCTTCCCACTTGTCATCCTGAAATCAAATGCAGCCACCAGGTTGTACCTGGTGGTAAAATACTGCATTGTACTGGCTGTTTTTTGTTTGCTCTAAGCAAACAGTCCCTCCTGGATTTTTGGGGAAAACTTTTGTTTATTCCCATTTAAAATGTTTGATATTAAGTTGCTTTTCTCAGACTTTGGCATTATTTGGTGCATTTCTTAAGTTGTTTAGCTGTGCCTGAATGTGCATTTAAAAGTATGAAATTTATTTATTTAAAAGGGACAATGTTCATTAATCAACAGTAAAACTGTGAATGAGCCAGAGTTAGCCACAAGGGCTAATTTTCATCTGCTGTGCTGCCCCTTGCCAGATTTTAAAAAAGGTGACCTAAAATCAAAAGTTATGTTCACCAAAAAGACAAAGGGAATAATAAGAGTTTCAGAAAAAGCAAGGGAGAACAATTACACATGATTACAAACTTAATTTGCTTTTAAAATGTTTGCGTCTAAAGCAGGTCACACAAGTGCACAAGGATAACTTGAGGAATTGCACACCAATCTATACACAAATATAGTGTTATTTAATATAAGATTGTGAACAATGTCCTGGCTGGCCAAAATCTAAATTTAAAACGGTTTAAAATATAAATAAAAAAGGCTAATGGCTTTCAATTTTACATGGTTTTAGTTTGAGTAACAATTCACATTATTTTCTACTGACTTATTACTTGTCTATTATTAAGATATTATCTTTTTATTAGCATTTATAAAATAATGATCTTATTTTTCATTTACCTAAACCTACCAATACCTAAACCCAACTACTACATTACTACAGGGTGGCTGTGAGGCCTTAAAAAGTTTTAAAATATCTTAACTTTCAAAAACAAAATCACAGGCCTTAAAGTCTTAGGGCCCTATCATACACCCGGCGCAATTTGGTACAAGGCGCAACACAATTGTTGTTTGCTAGTTTCAGCTTGGTGCAAGAGTTGTTTTGACGTTTTGTGCCAAGCTGTTTAAATAGCAAATGCATTCACGTTCATATGTGCACCCATAGGCGTTCTGGTCTAAAAAGGGAGGCGTGTTGAGGTGCATTGCTGGCGCGTTGCTATTTTAAGAAAAAATAATAGATTTTTCAATAGACCAGAACAAAGCTGGTCTATTGTCCAGTGCAGAGCGCGTTAGTTGTGTGCAAAGCGGATTTTTTCGTCCTTATATTAGCAAAAGTGGATTCTGACATGCCCTGAATGTGTTTGCGCCCTGCGCTTTTGCACTTTGTGCATGGATGGTCAAAATAGAGCCCTTAAATTCACCTAAAGGTTGTGTCGTAGGTCTTCAATAATTTTAAACAGGTCTTAATTTTGCTATGTCCAAGTAAAGCTATCCAATCGGGGCGATACCCAATCAGCAATAATCAATTTCCAAACTTTTTTTAGATGTTTTTATTAGATTTCGCATTAAATTCAGTGATCGCAGAATCTTATAATTATGAAGGAACTCAACAACACAACAGCCGTCTGCATTTCTGTTCATCATAGCTCTTGGAAATTCTGCTTTTGGTCAGGGAATTTGACTTTGGACTTGGAGCGGGAATTGTGGAGTGTTCATTGTTTTAACTTTCTCTATTTTGAATATTTTTGCTTCAGATCACCTCTAATTTATCATGATATGACTCCTGCTTGAAATTAGGCAAAAAATTATTTGTGTGCATGATTGTTATTATCATATGCTTACATGTTATATATGTGTTTTTGCAGTGCTGGGAGACTAGTGGATGATCTGTCTCAAACTCTTACATCTCTAAGATGTGTTTTGTCAAATGCCAACAAGCCTACTGAACAATTAGTTGAAGAAAAGCCTTCTCCAGGACTTATTCTCGACGACACCAGTTCTCACCATGAGGGCGTCCCCACAACTGAAGAGCAGAGCCACAGTCAGTGTGTGGAAAACCCTGGCAGACCTCCCCAGAGAGAGTGTGCGATGTCTCTGGATATCTCCGAGTACGAGCTGCAGATGCTGGAGGAACAGGCCAGACAGGAGCAGCTGGAGGAGGAGTGTATCTTAGCTTTCCAGGTTAGGGCTGCAAAGTATTATGTTTCAGCATCGGCATTGCAATATGCACATTCTCAATAGTCACATCACAGGATTGAAATTACAGTTGACCAGGCACCTTAGTTTAGAAGACTTCTGATTAGTAGAGTATATGCATAGTTATAAGCATTAGGACACAAGAAATTATATTATCTTAGAGCTTTAGCTGAGATTAATGGCGTTTTTGGCATTTCGGCAAGTTTTTATGTGATGAAGACAAGTTTTTTACTCTTCTAAAGCATAAAAATATCAAAGTATGTTTGCAGATATTTAAGAAACATGCTAAATTTGCAAAACAACTGAAGTCAGATATTCTGCTTTGAAAATTGAGCTACGTGCCCGAAAATCTGTCTTTGTTTTGGTTCTTTTAACCCACCCACTGCCACTTTAGCCAATTATATTTCAGCACCCTGGGTTGCCTTTATGAAAAACAGTGTATTCATTCAGGAAGACTCTCAAGCATGTGCCTGTCACCGAAATGCAACCATCAACAGCAGCTGCTCAGAATACGGCCTGATCCAGGATTATGGAAACCTCAAGAATAATAAAAACAGACTAACATAAGTGCAGATGTCGTTCAAATTATAATGTCTTAAGGGAGGTGTTCCCGGCTCCGGTTAACAATCTTTTAGAGGATTTGGATTTCAACAGCATTTGTGTTTTATGTATCTGCTAATGCAAAGAGATGTGTCTTTAGTTTTAAACTGACAGAGTGTAGCTGCTTCCCGAACTGTGCTGGGAAGGCTGTTCCAGAGTTTAGTTGCCGGATATGAGAAAGCTCTACCACCTACAGTTGATTTTTATATTTTGGGAATAATCAGTTGTCCAGAATTATTTGAGCGTAGTGGACGTGAGGGGCTATACTACACCAGGAGCTCTCTCAAATATTGGGCAGCTATAAGCCGTTCAGGGCTTTGTAGGTAGTCAATAAAATGTTAAAATTTATACAATATTTAATAGGGAGCCAATGCAATGATGAAAGAACTGGAGAAATATGATCATATTTCTTTGTTCTAGAAAGCACTCTAGCAGCTGCATTTTGAACTAGCTGAGGTTTATTAATTAGGCCAATTGGGCAACTGCCTAGTAACGCATTACAATGATCTAGTCTAGATGTCATAAAACCATGAATAAGCTTTTCCGCATTAGACATTAATAGCATATGTCGAAGTTTGGCAACATTTTTAAGATGAAAAAATTCATTTTTACAAATGCTTGAAGTCAGCACCTTTAAAATATTATTTTACATTGGATTATTCAAAAAATTTCAATCAATTAGTGATTTACTGATGCTTCATGGTTGTTATGATTTCTTTTAGACTCAACACGCATCGGGTCCCCAGGATTTAAATGCGACAGAGAGCGATGAAGAGTTTGATGATGAAATGATGAAGGTGAGACTGAATGCAGCTCAGTTTATGTATTCACTTGATGGATGCAAAGCACAGGGATAGTTTGCATACTGTAGAAGAAAAAGATTTTTCTGTTTTATTTAAGGAAAATAGAATGCAAAAGTCTTATCATTTAGTCACCTTTTGTTAGATATTGTTCTTGTCTGTTATTGTTCTTGTGAGTTTGAGGGAGAGATGCATTTTTTAGTCCATTTAAATAAAATGGTTTGATACCTAGTAGTTTCAAAATCTTTAATCTTGTCATTTTTCTTTTCTGTTGTTTATTAGTGTGCAGATGACATAGAAAAAATAAACAATGCACAGATGCCTCAGTCTGGTGCCGAAGACGAAGATGAAGATGTTGAGGAGAACGAGGAAGAAGGGCTAGGTATATATAATATCTATAATAGGCATCAAGGACCTTCCGAAATTCATATACAGTTACATTTATATGGTCATGCAATCTTTGCTTATATTGTAGTCAGGTGTCTGTTTTATATATTAATCAGGGATAGCGTGAGATATGTTTTTATCTCAGGCGTTTATCTTTTTGAATGTAAATGATGTACAAAATTATAAATATATTATTTTCTCTGTATTTTTTTATTTTTATTTGAGGTTTTCTTGAATAACAATGAGTGGATATTAACAGTATGCTTTGATATTTGTTAGTTCATGGTTAGACAAGCAAAATAATCTGACAAAGGCTAAGCAATATAATCTGGTTTATTTAGCTTACTCTTGGGTTGCAGCTGGAAGGGCATCTGTTTGCTTCGTTAAACATATGCTGGATAAGTTAGCGGTTCATTCCGCTGTGGCGATTCCAGATTAATAAAGGGACTAAGCCAAAAAGAAAATGAATTTAGCTTTCTGTATTAGCAGATTATTTTGCTTGTTTTAAGGAAAAAAAAAATTCATTATTGCCTATTGTTTCTTAAAACAAGACATTATGGGCTCTATTTTAACGATCTAAGCTCAAAGTCTAAAGCACATGGTGCAAAAGCATTAAAGGCGTGTCCGAGTCCACTTTTGCTATTTTAAGGATGGAAAATATGCTCGGCCCCTTGGCGCATGGTCTAAGAGGGTTGTGCTTATTTTCTTATTCTCTTCTCTTATTGGGTGTGTTTTGAGCATAATGTGCATTAAACCATTAAAAGTCTCATCTCCCATTCTCTTTAAGAGTCAGTCGCATCACACCATGGTGCATTTGCTATTTACATGGCAGACTTTGTTAGTAGAAAAACTAAACTCTTCGCTAGCGAAAAAAACAAACAAACAAACAAACAGTTAAACAGACCATCTGCAGCAAGGATAAAGAACGAGCCTCCTCTATTCAACATCTTTACTTTCTCTTTACCTTTACTCTTTACCTTGCTCCTTTACTTTCATGGATGAGGAAAAGGTGTTGGACGCGCCGTAAGAAATCCATTAGCCTACATATTTAATTTCATTTGTTAAGGGCAAAGATTTTTTTCAAAACTATTTCCTAAATTCAGTTCCAATTTCCAGCAAACAAGTCCAAACACAAGTCCTATTTCTATGCCCCTTAAGAATACCCCCTATGTCTCCAAAACCTGACAGATGGACAAATAAAATGTTTGTAACATTTTTTCAAATGTAAAGATATTTGTCTATTGCTGTACATCCTGTGTGTATTACACATTACTAACGCACTCTGCTTTTCTTAGTTCCTCAAAAGAGCAACGCACCAACAATGCGCCTTAACACACCTCCTTTTTAGACCAGCACATCCATGAGTCCACAAAATGGTGCAAATGGATTTGCTATTTAAACAAATATTTTTGCAACAATTTTGTGGTGCAAAACGTGAAAATTACTGTTACGCTGATCTGAAAATGGCAACAAATCACGTCATACAGTACATGTCTTGCGCCTTATTGTACCTGGTGTATGATAGGGCCCTATGTTTTGCTTTTCTAGTAAATGCTTCTTGATTTAAGAATATTTTGATATTTTAACCAAAATCAATACAAAAAATCTAAATAAGAAAGGCTTTTTTTGCTGTTCAGTTTTAAAATTCAACAAATGTCTGTTTCTGTTAAGATTCAAGCATTCCACAGCCAGTTCCTGAACAAATCAAATGTCTGAAAATGTTCTTTGGACATCACAGTTTCAAACCGTAAGTATGTAAAAAAAAGCTTGTATACCATTGCTTATAAACATTGAGAAAGTTTACATGGACACCAATAATCCGATTTTAATACGATTAAAACAATACTTCATTTCAGAGACTGAAATGATAGGAGGGCCTTCTTAACATCCAGAAGTGATGGTTGTGATCTCATGAAATGAAGGTGGTTAGGGCATTGCGGGCCAGAGGGAGTAGGAGCCTGCCGGCAGTTTGAGACCCCTGGTCTACCATGTTCACAACGATTTTTGATAACCTTAATCTGACTAAAGTCATAACCAAACTTAACAGAAATCGAATTAAGACATGTGGAGTTTGACGATTTTAGTGGCATTATTGAAGTGCAGTACCTGTAAACATCGCAATCAAACCATTATCGATGTGTAGGATTTTCACCACATTCTTCTCTTCCTCCAGTCCTTACTCCAAACTTGCATCCAATACCTGTTGTACAAAGAAATGTTCCTGAAAGAAAGTGAAAGTGCCAAACTGCAGTTAAAGTTGAACAATTAAAAATGCAACACCCGAAATTACATGAAACTTCGGTGGAAACGTGGATAGCATAGTGACTTAATGACTTCAATCGAATTATGTGCTATAACATGTAAAACGCGATCATGAAAGGAACATTCAAAAAGCAACTCATGTCAACACCTTAATCATATTATTGTTTTATTCAGATTAAGGCAAATAATTCAATAACTGATGTAAATATATTAAGTTAATGCTCTTTATATGATTAGCACACTGTTTTACATGTGATCTGTCATGTGTTGCTCATGATTTTTCAGTGTTCAGTGGAAAGTGATTCAGTCTATTCTCACAGAGAGGAGAGATAATCTTGTCGTCATGGCAACAGGTACTTTTAATTACTGAAATTATTAAATGCTCACTAAAGGATCTCACAGTCTTTTATTCACTTTCTGAAATATTCAAATATTGCTGCCGTACAGGTATGCAGTATCAGTTGTGTTTGGAAAGTATGGTTGGATGGCTTTTGTGGGATTACCATCTCTCAGCAAAAACTTGTAAATTGATATTTTAATAGTGTTTCTATCCATTACATTTTTTGTCAAGCTTTTAGATAGTGTGCACTTCAGTCATCATGTGCTAAAACAATTGAATGTAAACTATATCACTACTTAGCTCTGATGTGTTAAAAATGCTTGTTAATAGGAATTTGTAAAGATTAACATAATGATTTTCTGTAATGCTGCCTTTAAATTGTGCACTGTGAAAATAAATAATCAAATAATCGACTGTGTTTAGTTTGTGTTCAGATGTCTGTTCTAATGAAATGCTGTGTCGGCAGGTTATGGGAAGAGTTTGTGCTTCCAGTTTCCTCCTGTTTACTGCCAGACAATCAGTGTGGTCATTTCACCACTCATCGCCCTCATGGAGGATCAAGTGCTTCAGCTCACGTACGTCTGTAGTCTATTGGGGAACTATTGTGCAAAAATCACTTTTATAAATACGGGGTGTCCTCGGGGTCTTAAGTATTAAAAGTTGATAAATCAATTTTTAAAAAATTAAGATCCTTAAAAGGTATTAGAAAGTCTTAATTGCGTTTTTACAAGGACTTAAATTTTGTTCAATCATTGTTTAAAGTGTTTGACTCCAAATAAGGATAAATATATTTATTTTCCTCTTAATATTACCAATGGCATGCTTGATCCACACGATTGGCTCGGGCCAGGGTGCGTCCGACCAAGCTCCTCTGTCTGGGTGATGTTATGTAATTTGCGACAAATGCAGGAAGGTGATGTGAGGCTCTCCACATGCAGTGAAACTGTAGAGTGAAACAGACGGCAAAATGGGAAAATGCAAGTTTGCGAACTCCTGGTTGGAGAAAGACGAGTTTAAACAGCGGCTGAAGCCTGTCGCTGAAAACAACCGTATAATTTATTCATTCAGGCTTTGTTTCTTCCGAGCTTATCAGAGTTCTGTTTCATGGTTGTGCTCAATTGATTTATTTAACCACAACTGTTTATTACAGGGTTTATATGCTCATGGAATGTTGACATGCCATTTTCCAAGCCTGGAAAAACTGTTAAACCTAAAATGTTTTGGAAAAGTCATGGAAATTAGTTTAACAAATATCTGTATACTTGAATTAGGGCTGCACGATTTTGAAAAATCTGACATTACGGTATTATTTCTGTGATGTATATTGCAATATGAATACAATTTCACCAGATGATTTAACAGCTTTATTTGGATTGATTTGGGGAATTTTTGTAGAGGAGTGAATCTTGAATAATAAATTAAATAACAAATAAATGACGAGCAGAGATAAATAAAATATAGTAAAGTTAAAAGTGAATTATAGTTTTCAGGTTTTCACTATTCAGGTACAGATATTGAATAATCAACACTGCATAGTCGTCATTGTATATTATTTAATCTTTATTAAAGTTACAAAAAAATTCACACTGGCCTTAAATGGACAGTTGACACAGTTGAAGATTAAAACAGTTTAAAATGTACTCACTGTTTACTCACACTTCTTGTTTCAATACTATTGGAGTTATTAAATTATTTTATTTTAAAAGAAAGAAAACTCAAATGTGTTTGAAACAAGTGAACAGTCTAATAAAAATGGTAAGTAATTTTTGGGTGAACTATCTCTTTAAAAATGCATGCAGATGATAAACTTTTATGATTCCACTCTATATCAAGCTATAGTCCCAACATTGCATATCCTGCGATGTGACTATTGCGGATGCACACATTCCGATATCGATGCTGACATGATATATTGTGCAGCCCTAACTTGAATATAGGTTAGTTGTCTTTACTTATTTTCTGTTCTTGGCCAAAAACTTGCTCTGACATGGTTAGCGCTGTGTGAAAGCATTATCAAAATCAATTTCACATAGATATAAAAACAAATTTAAACAAAATAGATTGTTGCGTGTTCTATGATATGCTGTAATAAATTTGAACGTCATTGTTTTTCTTATTATTTATCATGTATATGTAGACATTACATGAAACATTGCATCATGAAAATGTACTTGTCTTGGAAAAGTCATGGAATTTTAGTAGTTAAAATTTGTATGAACCCTGTTATTAACAACTGTTTATTACGTTAAAGGTTTGATTCTGATTAGAACTTGAAGTGGTGATGAGGTTTTAAAATAATCTGAGAATGTCTTTTAAAAAGTCTTAAAAAGGTATTGAAATTATCTTTAGGATTCCTGCATATTCCCTGAAGAGGGTTTAAACAGTTATGTGGCAACAGTTTGAGAATATAATCAGCTTCTAATGGTAAATATTTATTAATTTTATTTTATATATTCACACCTGATAAAAGCAGTTTGCAGAAACACTTTGATTGATATTCTCTCTTTGTGCGTGTCATCGGAGGGGGAAAGCCTCACCCATTAGTGATAATCTCCCGCTCATTGGCATAGGACTTTATTCTTGTTTAACAGTCTGCCACTATGCTGACACATAGGTATTTGTACCTCTGCCCTCTTTTAAAAGGAGCAATATCTCACTTAAATTTAAAGCGACAGACACTAAAAAGCATCAAAGCATAAACAGGGCAGTGTCAAATAGTTATAAAACATTATTTGTGGAGTATTTAGAGCTGAAACTTCACACTCTAGAGAGATTTATTATCAGAGACTTATTTTACATCGTGTAAAAGGGGGCGGAATACAAGGTCCCTTTTAAGATATGATGATTTGAATAAGTATTTAAATGTTTAAATTCACATTTGACTTTTATTGGAATTATCAGCTTTTACTTTAACAGTCTACTTTAATCAGATTAACGAGAACATGCTAATGAGTGGTATATCGTTAAAACATTGATTAATCTTTCATTTGTTTTGTGTTGCAGGATGTCAAACATTCCTGCTTGTTTTCTTGGATCTGCTCAGACCAAAAACCTAAATGAGCAAGTGAAGAGGTGAGCGTGTGTTTGACGTACTTGTGTAGAAAAATGCACACTATAAAAGTGTAAATACTTCTGTGAACTAGCTGTTTTACTGCATGCATTTTATTAACAAAAAACAGGCACTATGCTGTATCTTAGGCTGCATTTCCACTGCAGATCTTGACGGTCAATTCCGATTTTGTAACTGTATCCCGATTTTTTTTTTTGCTGACCTGCTTACAGCATCTTTTAAAAGTGATTCGTATCCGATCGACTGCATTTACACAGCACACGGCAAAGGCGCAGTGACCAGGAAAAAAAGAGCAGCGCTGACAAACAGCTGATAATTAAAGAGTGCTTATTTCTCCATTCCTGTATGTAATCTGTTCGCAGCTTTTGACAAGCTGTTTTACTATAGTTTATGACAGAAAGGTTCTCATTTGTCCATCTTTTATTTGATATAAAGGCTTTTTTAAACCTGTAGGCATCTTAATGTAATGTCCCTGGGGGGATTTATGCACGTGATGTATGCACTAGTTTTATATTAGTTTATAATAGTTACGTGGCGGACATTGCGCTCTCTCGCTCTCAATAACATGCTTAAATACCTGTGCTATATGACAATATAAAAGCTGTTTAAGTCCTCGTGTATGAGATTTAAGGTTTGGGACTTAGCTGAAGTCTGTTCTGTAATTAAATATCACACTTGACGTCATTCACTATGGTTTGTTTTATGACACTCGACTGGCATTGACAGGTGAAAATCTGATCTACCTGCTTACACTGCAGAACACAGATCTGATTTATATCGAATAAATTTCCACATATGAACAAGGCCTGAATCTGATTTGAGTAAATCGGAATCCATGTCATTTGTTCCTGCTTACACGTACATGGACCATATCCGATCTGTGCCATATGGGAGAAAAAAAAAATCGGATTTGAGTCACTTGAACAGTGCAGCCAAAGTCCCTTTAAGGCAAGTCATTTCACTCACCTCAGTCTATAGCGATCCCTGATTGGCTTCTGTACTAGCAGGCGAGGCTTCTTTTGCCATATTAATTGTTACACTTTTCGCCAGTTAAAACTATACGAGTGACATGTCTTGTGTTTTCTATAGTCTTTGGCAGTATCTTAGATAAAATGGTAAGATACAGTTTAGAGGGAACATTTCCTCCTAATTGGATTTATATTATCCTACAAGTTTATTAATCAATTAAAATGTGAGGAATCTTATATTGGAAAAAATGAAAACATTAGACCTGCAAGATACTGGAAAATATGCAATATGCAGTATAGTTGCTTTATAACATTTCCCTTGAAAAAATACATTTTTATTAGCTATTTTTTATTGTTTATGAATGTAATGATATTTAAATAGACAGATAAAATATATTTTTCAGACCTAACTGATTCTAATTCAAACTAAAAAACTGTTTCAAGGTTTAAACGTTTGAGTGTTTAAACACTTTGATTTAAGACTGTGCGATTTGTGGGAAATTTCTAATTGCAATTTAATTTATTTATTTATTTTATTAGATGTTTTTGACATATTGTCATTGTGATTTGATTTATGATTTGATTTTGTTTTATTTTTTATTTGTCAGCTCAATAATATGCAAGCCGTGGCAACAGTTCTCCGACAGCTCTTAAAAATTACCTGTTTTTGTTCGGTGTCTGTGACTTTCTCATATTCTCATATTACAAATGCTGTTTTTCTTTGATGTTAATTTGTCTAATAATGCTTCTAATGCAATAGATGCCATAATCCCACTTGTCAGCGCTTTCCTTTTTTTTGTTGGTGTAGTTCAGATGCACAATTCTAATTGGGCAGAACGAATTCGATTTGTGCTACCTTGTCAGCTTACCCTACCTTCCATTCAAAAAGTAGGTAGCACATTTTGATGACGCAATATGCTACCCATCAAATTTTGCAACCAGTGTAAATTTTTATGTAGATTAGTGTAATATGAAGCTGTAATTGGTCACACTTTACAATAAGGTTCATTAGTTAATGTTAAGTAATGCATTTACTAACATAAAAAAAAAAAAAAATACATTTACTACTGTATTTGTTCATGTTAGTTAATGAAAATACAGTAGTTCATTGTTAGTTAATGTTAACTCACGGTGCATTAACTAATGTTAACAAGCATGGACTTGGATGTTAATAATGCATTAGTAAATGTTCAATTGTGATTAATAAATGCTGTACATGTGTTGTTCATGATTCGTTCATGTTAGTAAATGCATTGACTAATGAACCTTATTGTAAATTACCTTATTGTAAATTACCCTGTAATATCACCCTAATCCCTAACCCCAACCTCAGAACCATTCAAATACAATGTTTGTAGCATAATCTGACGAGTAGGATAAAATGCCAGGACACATGTTGTCACGCATTTTCTCTGGGCAGGGGAAATTAATTAATACATATATATTTCATATTGCAGCCTCTTGTGATTAACTAATCGAAATGTTTCAAATTGCGACATGATTTCGATTAATCGCATAGCCCTACTTTATATGAGTGAAAAACTCGAAAGATATTCGGGCTCTGATTGGCTGTCGTCATTTTCCTTTGTCTCGAATCCTGTCATTAGTATTTAATGTAAATTCTTGGTTCACCTTTCGTCTGTTCCAGCCAACAGAAGAAAAGTAACTACTGGGGAGGTGGGGATAATATAAGTAATTGGTCTGATTTAGATAAACAACCAATGCATAAATAAATGGAATTTATTCCACATGTCTGCAATTCATACGATTATCGTGATAATGATTATTTTGCGATATGTTATGCAGCCCTAGAAAACTAAAAATTCTGTAAATAATTACTCACCTATCGTGTCAAACCCGGGAACTTTGTTCATGTTTGGAACACATATTAAGATATTTTATGTGAAAGCAATAAGCCTAATTCATTCAAAATGGTCTACAAAGGTGTTAAAAACATTGCAAAACAGTCCACTTGTCTTCAGTGGTTCAATCCGAATATTATGAAGCCACGAGAATACTTTTGTGTGCACATAAATCAAAGTTAATGTCTTTATTCAACAGTTACTTCTCTTCAGTGTCAGTATAGATGAATTGTCATGTTTGTAAAAATTCAGGATGCACGCGCAGCGAGGTGGCAGAAAAAAACTGGAATACATATAAAATAAATTATATTGATTACATATTATATATATTATTTACATAATGCTTTTTGCGTATTTTAACAGCTTGTCACCCAGTGATGAGCACAGTGATTCAGCAAAATTAACGTTAAAGTGAGCGGCGTTCATCTGACAGCTCCATTTGCGATAGCACCCTCCCAATGGATATTGGATAAGACGAAATGACCAAGCATCCAGCCCGAAATATACAATCTCATTGAAGCTCCAAGTGATTAAACAAGAGAGAAGTTAAAGGCCTACAAGTCTTTGGACGCCAACTATTTTGTTCTGTGGTCATGTGCAGGAAATAATGTTCCATGATTACCAGATTCAAAACTAGAAAAAAAAAAAAAAACAGCACTAGCATTACAAGGCCTGGGTAATCATCAACAAGCAAAACTACTGCATTCCGACAGCAAACTGCACCTCTACGGCAGGGTATGTAAACTTACACATAGAGGTAAAGTTGTTTTTGTATTCGCACATTCAGACTTTCTCCTTAATAATATCATTTTATAAAAGTATTATTTGTAAACTCTAAATAGCGAAATCATATTAGCAGCCAGTGACTATCAAAGTACAACATTGTTCACAGTCAAATAAACAGAGTTAATGTAGTTTTCAAGTCACACTTGCAGGTTATTTCAGACCGAATATTCAAAGTGCCGTGGTAAACAATATAGGGAATGTGTCACAAGTTGTCACTGAATGAATGTGTGAATGTAAAACCAACTTTACCTTAATAACTTACACTTTCACTTTTAATTTTTAGCATTCAGTGTCCACGGTTTAATTAACCATACTTAACAGTTTTTGCTGAAATCATTACTGCAATCAAAAACGAGTAATGTGTATGATTCAGCATAGCGTGAACTTACCTGATGTAACATGAAAACTGCAGAGTCGAGCATTTTTATTTAGGCCGTCACTCATTAAGCTCCCTTTTAGCCAAAGACGTCTGCGGTTGGCATTAAAAGCAGTGTGGTGTACGGTAAAAGTTTTTTTTAAGGTTTTCTATTTTTGGACTTTCGAATTTGGCACCCTACTGCACAACACGACATGTTTACTATTGCCACTGGTCTCTTTTTGCAACCGGGAACCCGTGTGACGTAGGTTGGTAATTCGTCTATAGGCTATGCATTCACAAACACTGTGCACTGATGCACATGACTTCCTCTGTTTGAAACCAAGCACAAGCGCATCTGAGGTAATATGTCAGTAGCGCCACTGTGGAGAAGAAACTGTTTAATAAAATTCAACTTTTTGTTTTTGTGCACATAAAAGTATTCTTGTAGCTTGATAATAGAAAGCATAAAGTCTGTTTTGAGGATTTTTTTCGGTATTTTATTTTTCTGGACATTGAAGTAGTCGTTCAAAATAAATAAAATCAAACTATAAAATACAGCTCATGAAATTAAATTGATTTAGTTTTACTATCAAAAATGCAAAGCATAGAAAAAACCCATTGAAAATAAGGTACACATTGACTGCAGTATAATTAGCTATGTTTCAGCTTTTCTCCCTTGCATTTGATTAGCAGCCACTCTTGTGTGCTTTCCTCATTAAGCTAATGTCTTTTCAGTTTTATTTATTAGTGAAAATGCAATGTGGTGCACCTACTAAAGTTTTACACTCTCAGTTCTCTGCGGTTCATAGGAGTTCATTTTAAGATCTCTTGATTTTAAAACCAAATTTTCAGGGCAGTGGACTTTTTAGTAAAAATATAATTATTGTTTTCATTTGTGTTTCAAGGATGAATGATACTCTTATGGGTTTTTAGCAAACCAGTGGGTGAGATTTTCATTTATGAGTGAATAATTCATTGAAGCTCATAAAGATGCTTTGGATTAAGGTCAAAGGAGATATTCACACCATTTTATAATTTTATGGCACAATTTTTTTTTAAACAGTATATTGTCCTTATACGTTCATGTTATCCATCAGCTGAAGTCCTGGGATCCGTTCTTCGTACGTGGATTACTCAGTTAGCTGGATTTGGATATTGACGATTTGACAAGATCCAGGATCGTTTCGTTCTTCAAAGCTGATCCGAGAGTTGTTGTCATAGCAACAGTTCTGCTAGGTCAAACCTGATCGGGAGCAGGTTCAATTCATATAAACAGGATTAGATCCGCTCAGTTCAAGCAAAGATAATACAGAAAGCATGTACCGAGTTCTGATATTTTCTTACAGTAGTAGTTATATACACTTGGGAAAATGGTACATATTTTTTAACTATATATATAAAGTTATAGTTATTAATAAAATAAATAAAGTTATACATATTAATAAAACTTATGCAATCTGCACCCTCGAAATGAAAGTACAAAGACTGCCACCTGGTGGTGCAAAGAGAAAACTTATTGATATGAACTTTTTAGATCGCTTTAGTACAAATTGTGTTTAATTGAAACGCACAATATGTCACTTTTTTTTTTAAGCAATAATACATTTATGCAGTCATAAACATGTTTTGATAGTTAATATGCCAGTGTTTTGATGCTTCACAAAAGTTGCAGCTTTACCAATATGAAAATGCTTTTGTAAACAACCAGTTATTCTTTACACCGATTAAAAAAACGGCTACCATAATAAAGAAAATATTTTCTAAATGTAGAACTAAATACATTGATTTGCATTGAAATACATGATGATACACTTGACACATGAAAGTGTAAAGCCTGCAGCTCATAACAAATGTGGAAGGTTATCGCGTCATATTTAACAAACCGTTTACTGTTAATTTGATGTAATTTGGCTCACATGAATAATTGAATATTAATGAGATGATGTCATTACGCTGCTGTGCCGTCAGCCAATCGCTGCATTGCTGATCATGATTTCGAGGATCGATAGGTCTGTCCTTCACAACACACCCAGCGATCTCAGATCAGTTTATCCAGACATTCTAATCTGATCCGCGAACTTGTTTTAAGAACCAAATTAGCGAGAGATCAGTTATCGAGATTAAAAGATCCAGGATGTGCCAAATCATCTTAGATCATTTAAGCGAGGTACGAAAAACGGACCCCTGATGCTTATAAAAACAGTTAAAATCAGAATTATTAGCCCTTCTAAATTATTAGCCCCCTTATATATTTTTTTTCCTTAATTTCTGTTTAATTCTGTTTTCTGTTTATTATTTTTTTCGACACATTTCTAAACATAATAGTTTTAGTAACTCATTTCTAATAACGGATTACTTTTTTCTTTGCCATAATGACAGTACATAGTTTTTTACTAGATATTTTTCAAGCTACTAGTATTCAGCTGAAAGTCACATTTAAAGGCTTAATTAGGCAAGTTAGGGTAACTAGGCAAATCATTGTATAACAATTGTTTATTTTGTAGCCAATACAAAAACATATTGCTTAAGGGGGCTAATAATATTGACCTTAAAAAAAATCAAAACTACTTTTATTTTAGCTGAAACAAAACAAATACGGCTTTCTCCAGAAGAATAAAAATTATAGGAAATACTGTGAAAATTTCTTTGCACTGTTATTTGCATCTTTTAGGAAATATTTCAAAAAAAAAAGAAAGAAAAAAATCCCAGGATGGTGAATAATTTTACCTTCGTCTGTATTTAGAAGGTTAGTGCTGGATTTAATAAGATTACTTTCATCCTCTGACATTTCTTTTCCCGTTCTTTCATGTTTAGGGGGGATTTCAGAGTGGTGTACATGACCCCTGAGTTCTGCTCGGGGAACATTCCTCTGCTAGTGCAGCTCGACAGGACTGTTGGTAAATAAAATGAAAACTGAATCTAAAAAGTGATGTTTCAAATAATTTTACAGTAAATGAGGAACTTCTTTACTGTGTGTTAAGTGTAAAAAATAGTAAATTGTCAATACATTTTACGTGATACTATATCGCATATATCAGCGGGCGAAGGGTCATGGGACAGTGACATTAAAAACAAGTTACATTAAAAAACAACAACATGGAAATAATTAAAAAGCCGTCAGCCTTTTTTCCCCTTGGATTGTGACCCCTAGGGAGATATATTATATTAAAGACTTCAATAACGTCAGATGCAGCGGATTGATTTTATGGCACCATATTTAACTTAATATTAAGACATTAAAAATAAACACAAGCCACCACTGAACATGGAGGATGGTCTCTGAGTAGAGGTCACCACCTAAAAGAATGTTGGGGGTCGCAAGTCACTGACATTTGTTATTTAGGGGGTCATGGGCTGAAAAGTTTGGGAACCCCTGGCATATGTGTAGCAGCGATATACTCTTTCTAATTCTTCATAATTCTTAACATTCATTAATATAAGTTCATAATTCTTAATATTATTATTATTATCTAAAAAACATATTAGTTAATATTTAACCCTTGTGTATTGTTCAAGTTTACTACCCTTTAGTTATGTTGGTGACTGTTTTTGCCCCATTGACTTCCATTATAACAGCATCTGTTGCTTGTAAAGGTGTAAAAATGACTAATTGTACCTCTTCCCAACCGAAAAACAATAAAAAAAAAGCATGATTATAAGGTGTCATGGCTTTGCAATCAAATAATGTCATTATAATGGAAGTCAATGGGGCAAAAACTGCCAGAAACCTAACAAAAGGGTAGTACATTTGAACAATACACAAGGGTAAATATCAACTAATATGTTTTTTAGATATTAATATTAATATCAAGAATTATCATTTTTGTTTATGAATTGTGAATTATTATTATTATTATTATTATTATTATTATTATTATTATTATTGTTGTTAATTTTATTAGATGTAAGCGGTTTGCCTAATATGCGAATGTGGACTAAAGCACTGTCACAAAAAAATCTTAACTTAGACTTCAAGTTTTTAAACTAAATACGTTTTGCAAAATTTTCCTATGGTATCTAATATCAACAATCAAGTTTTTTTTTTTTTTAGCTCTGGTATTGTGATAACACTACTGTGTGTATTTTTAGGCTTATCACTGATTGCGGTTGATGAGGCTCATTGCATTTCTCAGTGGGGTCATGATTTCAGAAGTGCGTATCGGGAGTTGGGCAAACTCAAGAAAAATCTCCCCACTGTAAGTCAGATTTAGTTTTGAAAAATACTAAATGATTGATGCTGCTCTTTTTATACATGTTATTCCAAAGCCACTTTATTTTGGATCAGGTCCCTTTTTTGGCACTCACGGCTACCGCAAGTCCATCTATCCGTGACGACATCATTAAGAGTCTTCATCTGATCAATCCCATGATTACCTGTACTTCATTTGACCGACCAAACCTTTACTTGGATGTCAATCGCAAGTCCGGGGACGTCATCCAAGACCTCAAACGATTTCTTGTTAAAAAGAAAGGGTAGGTCATTCTTCTCGGCATCATTCATTGTATATGTTTGTTCCAGCTTTTAACGTGTGAATTGTTTTAAGTTTGTCTTATGGAGTAGTTTTTAATTCACTTTAGACCTCATCAAACTTCCAACAAGGCTGCAAAACAAATGGTTTAAAACAATGGAAAACAACCTTTAAATGAAGATAAAACAAGTTAAAAATCTATTTGAAGGATGATTTTATTTTTTATTTGAATGAATTTTCTCAACTAATGCTGATTTTAAATACAAGCATTCTCAATATCTTGAATAATCTTGATATGAGGTGTTTATAAAAGTGTTATTTTTAGGTTTGATATGTTTGAAGTTTTATATAATTTTATATTTAAAAGTTTATATATTAATATGTAATTAAAATAATCATATTTAAAAAATAGGGCTTGGCTAAGATTAGTCGCATGCAAAATAATAGTTAGTTTTGACATAAGATATGTATGTTTATTATGTATATGCGATATATACACATACATAGAAACAGAACAGTTTTGTTACAGAAATATTTCAATTTATATTTAATTTGTAGGGGTGTTAAACTACACTGGTCTCACGGTTCGGTTCAATTGTAATTATCATGTCATCGATTCGGTTCAGTTCCATATATTGGTGCATCATGGTGCATTGACGATGCTTTCCATACACAATTATATATTTTATGTTTATAACATAAAAATTCCTGAATGAAATTTATTTATGCAAGTGGTGGTCTGTTATCTGCATTAACGTGCTGCGTTGACCCGAGACTCTTATCGGGCGATTTAAAAAAAAATATCTCTGTTAATCTTTTCTCAAAGTTAGGTTGGGAGCTAGGTATTCTACGCAAGCTATGATGACTTTCACCTCAATATTTAACGCGGATGTATACCTGGCCGAATTGCACTGTAGGGGGCGATAACGAGTGTTAGAACCTGTGTGTATTCCTACTGTGAAAAGACCACATCAAATGTGACGTGCTAACATAGGCCCCGTTTACACTAGTGCGTTTAAGTTTTAAAACGGCGTTTTAGAATGAAAACGATTCGCGTCCACACTAGCGTTTCACACAGCGTTTCTGAACAGCTCTCCGTAATCACCAAAACGCTGAAAACGCACATCACGTGAGCACACACACACTCTCGGGCAAGCGCTGCAGCATTTCTACCCAGATGAGAGCTGTGCTGGTCGGACTGCTCATCAAGCGTCTCCCGGTGTATCTAATCCCACTAAATTTGTTAAATGTGATATTTAATTAATCTTGTTGTCTATATCTAAAGACATATTCCCCGACTTTGGTTTTTTTAAATGTGATTAATCACGATTCATTTTTACCTAGCACATTTAAAATACATTTAATTAGTGAAAAATATTATTTTAACTTCTTGCCAAACTGATCAAAATGTGATACCATCACTCTACAAACAACAGCAAAATAGCTAAATCTGTTGGGGAATTTGCTTAGACTTATCTCAGTTCAATCCTCCTAACTTAATCCTTTTAATCTTCTAACTCATATCAGAGTCCCTTATACACATTACCTTTTATAACATGTAATAAAGTGTTTAATCATTACTGTATTAATAAGTGTGAGTTTTGTTTTGTAGGGGTGGTTATGAGTTTGAGGGCTCTGCCATTGTGTACTGTCCATCAAAGAAAGAGGCAGAGCGTGTGACAACAGCACTATTCAAGCTGGACATCCCATGTGGAGTTTATCACGCTGGTCTGAGCATCAAACAGAGGAGAGAGACTCAGCACCAGTTCATGAGGGATGAGATTCAGGTGAAACTTAACTTTGATATTTGGTGAGAGAGAAATGTAGATGTTTGTGGTCATTTTTTACCTTTTGTAACTGACTGTCTTTAAAAAGGCTGTTTAGCTGCCATACCTTTTACACTTACATATGTAAATGATTTCTGTTATGTCTGCTGGTAGGACTTACATTGTCAAATATCAGTCTTCACATATTTGTTTGTTTCAATAGACTATTTCAGTGGTTCTCAAACTGTGGTACATGTACCACTAGTGGTACGCGGGCTTCCTTCTAGTGGTACACGGATGAATCAAATGTGTCATATGTACATGCTACATAAATTTAAATAAATTATCAAAAATGATTTATATATGAATATGATGACATAAAGCCTACATTTATGTGGTCCAGGTGCTGATAAACATGAGTTTTTTTTTTTTTTTTACTTTTTAAGAACAGTAACCTACCATTTTTAACTTTTAAAAGCACATTTTAATTGAAATGTTCTTAAAATTAGAAACTAAAAAGCCTCGTTTTTTAACTGTACAGAGCTTTAGCTGCCTTCCAGGACCTAATACACTACTGTATTTCAATACTACTCATTATGGTGGTACTTGCAAAGACAACTTTTTTCTGAGGTGGTACTTGATGAAAAACGTTTAAGAGCCACTGGATTATTTAATGAGCCATAAAAATTACTTTAAAAAGCCTTTATTATGCATAATAAAAGGTCATATTTTCAGTTTTGGGGTCTCCAACAACAGGCTGATATGCATTCAAGGTCAAAAAAACACTTTCATTGTTTTATAATATGCATTTATTTTTACCTAATTATCCCAACGACTCCTATATGATTTGTTCAGCGATTCATTTATTCCCAAACCCCCCCTTAGCGTGATGGTAATCTGTGCTGATTGGTCTGATGATCCAGTCAGAGACAGAGAGAACCGCCCACCACTGCTTATCAACATTGTTGATGTAGTCAGAGTGAAGAGTATACGTGTGAGCCCAATGCAGGAGTGCTTTAAAGCAATGCAGTTAAACACCAGCATATTGCTCTGTTCTTAACCATGACACACATTCAGTATGAATCCACAGTGGCAAAAGCTGAACTATATTCAAACTTGACTGCTGCACGTGTGTGGGAACTGCTGACGGTGCCCATAGCAATGAAAAATGGCAAAGAGTTAACCAGATACAGTACAAGCCACATTTAGCGATTAAAAGTAACAAAACACAATTAAATACACATTTTGCAAGCTAGCGAGGCAGCCATTTTAATCGCACTTGCGAGGAAGGAAGGAATTAGAGGAAGAAATTGGCCAATGAACTTTTTACTGTAAAGTTCCTTTCAAGCTCTAACAAAGTCCCATACATCAATTGTTTTTTCCTTTTAATGAACTGCTGACGAATTCACTGTTGTTAGCGTATAGATTGCTGAAGCACTTGTCAGAAAAATGACATGAACACAGGACAAGGCTGGGGCTATAATGTGGTATTTTTGCAAAATTAAACTTCAACCACTGACTCTTCACAGCCTCATTTTCCAATGACATGGTTCAACCAGGATCTGCTACATTGTTTGCTATCTGGGGCAGGTTCAATTATTCCAGGTCTTCATGCGCAACAAATGGGCAGGGCTTGAGTTCCGTATAAATTGAATTCCGGCTAAAGATTCATACCAACGATTCATTTAAACCAGTCCGAGTCGACTCTTTTATAGATTAATCAATAGCTTTAAACACAGCATACTTTAGAATTTAAACGTTAGCTAGATATTTCACTTCACATACTGTCTGTGTTACACACAGCATGGAAGGTCATTTTCAAAAACCCATTTTCAAAAACTCATAATTGGGACTTTTTAATAAAAGCTTATCAATAATAAAAAACAAATAATCACAAGTCGTTGAGACATATACAGCATGTTTCAACACATTTTCAAATGGTACACTGCCTGCTCAAAAACTGCTGAAATAATAATAGAGCGTTCACACCAGACGTGGCTTGCACGAATAGATTGGATTGTACAAACGGAATTAGACTCTTGAACATTATGAGTTTACTTGCTTTATTTGTGCGTCAAATTCACTTCATACGTCAAATTCATTTCACAATAGACATAAAATGCAGTACCTACTGAGTAGTAGGCGATTTCAGACGCGGCTAGTATATTTTAAATTATGAAACACTTTAAATATTTTAGAGTAGTAAACATGTCAGGCTAAATAATTAAAATGAATCATTGACTTTTGCGGTCTTCGTTAGTTGCAAAAGCACTGATTTCTTTACTATTTAAAACTGCATCTTTGGATGTATTTTCTGCTGTTGATACTGTTGTCCTAAAAACCAAAAACAAAACATTAAAAAAAAAAAACTTAACATATACCTTGGGAACAGTATAATGCTGTGTTCACACTAGACGCTAAAGAAGCGTCAAACGCGAGTAATTTACAATGTTAAGTATGCAAAGGCACAAATAAACAACCTGCAGCGCGATATGCACAAATGAGGCAGCGTGAATGACTCGATTGACCTGATTGGGTCAAGTTGGAAAATCTGAACTTCAGCGGACATTCAACCGATCGTTAACCGATCAGGAGCTTTCTCTTGTAGGTGCATGCTTATGACGTAGCGGCTGTTGTTAGTGTCCCGGGGGTAAATCCTCCTGCCAATATCAAACAACAGTTGATTAAACTGGGCTCGTCTCAGTCGGTAGCACTACTGAAAGCTTCCATCATCCAGGTTAATTTTCTGGAGGAGATTATGAACTCACAGGGCTGGGTGCATCACTGAAAGGATCTAGTGGACTCAAACACGGCTCCAAATGGATCAACGCTGTTTTTCAGCCTTCATAAAGCACATAAATGCAGCTACTCTCTCTATAAAATCCATGTTAACCATTTAGCAATGAAGCTACAGTCACTGGGCAAACAGAAGGTCTGCATGATGCGAATCCGCTTCGATTGCTCAGTAAATTTGATGCACGAATAAAGCAGATTTGATGCACAAATGAAGCGAGTAAACTCAAAATGTTCATGCATCTATGTGCGAATAGCACGATTTATCCACGTGATCTGCGTCTGGTGTAAACACAGCATAACTGAAAATTTTGGCGGTGTTAAAACCTTAACTTTTCCAGACCGCAAAATACTTTGAAAACGGTTATCGTCCCATGCCTTTATCTAACCCACATACAGTGGATATCTTAGATTAATAAAAATAATGAAATCAATGCACTCTATGATATCTTAAATTTGTATTCCACAGATGAACAAAGTTTTCAGTGGACTGCAAAGAGTGATGGTGGATAATTAGTAGCAGAATAACATTTTTTATGTGAATCAATCCTTTAAACTTTACATTTAAAACTTAAATTGTACTTAGTAGTAGCACAATAGCAATTCCAGTTTGTTTATTTACTGTCTGGTGGCAATATTATGTGATGTTTGAGATTCATTTCAATAGTTCCAGTATGTTGTTTCTTCATAATAAACGTTTTTTTGTTGTTTTGTTGGCAGTGTGTGGTGGCCACAGTGGCGTTTGGGATGGGCATCAATAAATCTGACATCAGGAAGGTCATCCATTATGGGGCTCCCAAAGAAATGGAGTCCTACTATCAGGAGATTGGCAGGGCTGGTAGAGACGGGCTGCCCAGTGCCTGTCACGTCTTATGGATGCCCGGAGATATGGCGCTGAATAAGTATTAACTCATACTTATTAAACTTACCAGATTAATAGTTTTCATAAATTCACATTAAAATGTCTACTGTTTTTTTGTCCCAAAGATTCATTCTCAACCAATCCAAAAGTGAGCGCTTCAGGAGTTACAAAATAGACATGATGGCAAAAATGGAAAAGTATCTGAATTCAACCAAATGTAGAAGAAAGTAAGTGAATTTCATTGTAGACAATTTCATCAAACCAGTCCAGAATATAACTTAAATAAAAAAACTATTGAGATGCATTGAATTAAATATATTTAGATTTTGGTTTAGCCTCATAGTAATTTGATTTAAAGGCACAATATTTGATTTTCACCAAATACGTACACATATCCACAACAAACTAAAGTGTAATTTGATGATGCTGTGACCAAGTGTGGTATCCTGGGGGTTGTCGTCTCCATTACATCCTGTGGGACTCTTGCAGAAATCATGTTCAAAGGCCCTGTTTTTACTGTCAGGTCTTGATGCCCAATTCCGATTTGTTGCCCATATCTGATTTGTTTGCCTGTCTGTTTACACGTTGTTTTAATTGTGACCCATATCCAATTCATGCGTTTACACTTGCCATACAATTTACAATGTCGCGCATGCATGAAGGCGGGTTCTAGCATCTGTGCCACACTAGCCACGATGGAAGAAATTGTCTTGTTTTTAGCTCTACGAAATATGCGAAGTATAGTATAAGCAGTGAATGGCTTAGTCCAGATTTACCCCCACGCAATTTATGTAATGGTATGGCCCTGATGTGTGTGTGTGTAGTTGAAGATGTAGCCTTTGCCTGTGTGCGCACTGGTGTTGGAGAGAATAAAGTTGTTCTATGTGTAGCCCGCAGTGCGTGTATTAATAGCGACAAAAGCAAAAGTTACAACACAAAGTTCACCCAACTTTAAAATGATTTTGAGGTGGAGGAGGTGGGAAAGGGCCGTCATCGCAGCTTGCACTTATGGCTTATATGCTTCATGATGTCCCCCATCATTCAGAGAAATTTGTGGGTACGAGAGAGATCTCAGGTCTGGTGGGAACAAGTTGTGGCGACTGACCACTTTCCTCCTCTGTGTTTCCTCTGATGTTGTTTACTGCGTCGGCAACTCCACACACGCTCTTCTTTCTGTCATTAAAACGTAGAGAGGCACCACATTGTCGCAAGTATAATGATATACAGATGCCTTAATAAATCCGATCTGCCTGTTTACATGAGTCGCATTGTCACATATCCGATCTATATCTGATTTATTTCCACATATGAAGGAGGCTTGAAACCGATCTCTGAATATCCGAATGCATGCGTTTTTTTTTTTCGTGTTTACACAAACAGATCAGATATTTGTCACGTATGAGCAAAAAATCTGAATTGGGTCACATTTAACTGGCAGTATAAACGGGGCCTAAGATAAGCTAATGTATTCCAGACTTATTATCATTGTGGTATGAAATAAAGTAAAACTAAAAGTCATGGAAGTGGAATAAAACGCTGATGAGAGATGCAGCACGAAAAGCAGCTAAGCTTTTATTATGCCACACACCATTGCTTGGGTTTTTTCCAATAAGAAGCAGTGCTGTTTTATAATACTAAATACTTTAAGAGTTCTGTTATAATGCTGTTTTTTGCAGTTTAATAAAACATACAACATATTAAAGCATCTCTGGTACTACCCTGTTTTATGTTTATATATATATATATATATATATATATATATATATATATATATATATATATATATATATATATATATATATATATACACACACACACACACACACACACACACAGTATGGGACATTCTACTAGAAATGTACATTTTCACTTATAAAAAATGTGGCAGTGCCTGACTTAAGCTTGTCGTCTTCAAAAAGTCATTCAAAACAAGCATAAAATCATACAATTCCCTGATAGAACGCATTCTTGATCACTGTCAGCTTCTTCTCAGTCTAATGATGTCACTTCCAAGTCATAGCCTTAAACGTGTATTGCACACATTTTTATCTTAAATTTAATGCAAATGTGACAGGACTGACAGAAACATGGGGACAATTATAAATGTATTTGTATTATATATTTGTAATATTTATTTGTATAATTTATTTATGTTTTTAATCAACTGATGTGAAATATAACTTAAACTTGCTATTTCTGAAGTTTTTTTTGTCCAACAGTTTTTAGCATAACAAAACTATTAAAGCTGTAGGTTCTATTTTAATATTGATATTCCCTTTGATCCAACTGTGTCAGTCCTGGGTATGGTGTCTGAGAGCATGGGGAAAAGAAGAAGTATTTATTTAATTCAAATACTGCTCTATGCAGCACTAAGATGTATAATGTCTAACTGGCTCAGATCAGACCCACATACGTATGAGCAATGGATAAAAAAAAATAGAGAAATTTATCAAATGGAAAAAATAACTTATTGCCTTAGACTCCAGATGAATATATTTGAAGCAAGATGAAACCCAATTCTAACAATTATTCATGACTAACCTTAGACATAAAACACAGATTTAATAAACAGCTACATTACATACACGATGAGTATATGAGACATCAACCAATTGCCCTCCCCCTTCTTTTTTTATTGATATATTTATTTTAATATATTTTTATATAAAACTTCAACACAATATACATTGTTTTGATATAAAACTGTGCAAATGTCCCTTTTTTCCTTTCTCCCTAATATTTTAAGTGTCCATCTGTATCCTAACTGACTGTTTCTGATGTATCTCTGATTTTGTGTTGTGTTATAATAAAAAATAAAAGCTGTATGTTCAATTAGGCTGAGGACAAGGACAATGACAGTTTGTAAAGTGTTTTTAATGATGAACAAAAACCGGACAACTAAATGAATTACATATTCCTTTACAGAACAACTCACAGAAATCAACCATCAGTCCATTTTAGACATTTTTGGGATGTAATAATTTTATTCACTGTATTTGTTTTTTTTTTATTTCAGGGACAGATCATGTATGTTTCTGGTAGAATGTCCCATATATAAAAAAATGGAAACCGAGGGTGTGTGATGTCCTTAGCATGGCCACACAGTGCAAGTCAGTAGTTAAATTAGCTTATGTCTCTAAATTTGAACATTCTTTAAAATATTTGGGATTACATTAGGCAAGTACATAAGTCAGCAAAATATATTACACTGTTTTAGCCTTTTTTTAATACAAAAATGATACTAGTTGTGCCTTTTAATTATTGCATTTAGATTTTTTATATTTTGATTTACAATCATTTGATTTAATGTATTGCTTTAATTCATCAAACTCTGTTGAGACATGATTTCTTTAATGCAAATTTGATTACATATCTGAACAAGATGAATTATGTCCTAGGTTGATTTTGTGTCATTTTGAAGACAAGCGTCTCAGGAAAGTGACGTCTGGAATTCTGGGAAGCAGTCAATGTTGCGATAACTGCCGGTCAGGGTGAGTAGATCTGTTCTCTCTGTGTTTTCTTATTGTTCTGATCTTCCTGAAGGTATGACTTATTTTTATTGTGGATTTAGTGTGAATGAAGAGGATCTAGAGGTGCTGCAGCAGGACTTTGGCTTGTGTGCATATCAGTTGATGAAGGCCATCAGTGTTATGGAGGAGAGGTTTGGCATCACAGCGCCCATCCTCTTCCTGCGTGGTTCAGTGAGTCAAACAAAACACAGTTAAACACCCAGTAACATACAAAATCAAACATGGAATGAGTTCAGTCCGCCTTGAACATTTCGATCACACGCCGAAAACATTTTGTTTCACTTGTGAAATTCACTTCTGTACAGTCGGCAGCTAGCTCTTTGCTTAGTTCTCACATGGTCGCCTACTAATGCTAAACAAAGCTGCGCCTGGTTAATACCTGGTTGGGAGACCACATGGGAAACTAGGTTTTTGCAGGAAGACAAGTTAGGGGCTGACCACACTGAACGCGATTTTTCCGTTCTGAAAACGTGAGACGCAACACACTGCCTTTTTGTGTTGACAAGAAAAAAATAAGTGCTGTGTGCTTTTTATGTTACTAGACAATAACCCCTTTCACACATACAGACCTTTCCGGAAAGGTTGTATGTGTGAACAGGTCCTTTTTGAAAATACCGGTAAATTCGTTCTGGCTATTGTCCGGAAAGAGAAGTTGTAACATTACCGGTAATTTACCGGAACACTGCGCTGTGTGCACATAGAAGGAAGATGGCCAGAAAGAGCGCGTGCACATCTAGAACGTGCTGACGTAAGACGTCTGCTTTAGCCAATCAGAACAGTCAGATGCATTCACGTCTGCGCGGTTTATGAGAATAAAAGCCTTTAAATATTTTTCCAGACACATTTAGCTGCTATAAATTAGTCAGATAACGTTTATATGTTTATCTTAATGCCAACCGTGTAAATAATTATCAATAAGATGCTTATGATAAGCCGTTGTTTGTTAACCTTCAAGCTTTGCATGTGCCCGTGAAACAGCCGGTAGGCGACAGCACACACACATCATGTACATCTCGACATGCGAAAGTGTTTCTCAATATGTTTTCACCGAAGTTGTTCACAATTCTGATCCATCCACAGAGTTTGTGATGTAGTCAAATGTTTACAAACACAAGCGCAGCCGCTTAGAGGTCATTTCTGGTTAATCATGTCAGAATTTACTGGTATTTTAAAATGGATGTGTGAATGCTCTTTTCGGAAAAAATTCCGTAACGTCCTCGCCTGTGTGAACAGCACTTTTTTGTATTTACCGGTAAAGTCGTTCCGGAAATTTTCCATATATTTACTGGGTTTTACTGTGTGAAAGGGGCTAATGACATGTTGTTATAATTATAAAATAATATTTAATATTATTGTAATATTTACAGTTTATATTTAATTCATACATCTCCAGATAACTTGAAACAGCAACCACTCATCTCTCCTCCATCTTTAGGCCTTATTTAATTAGAGACTGACGAAAAACAAGACTGACGTAGCAGATTTCTTCTGCTAAGAGTTTACTTTTTTTTCGGGCACAGCTCGCAACAGCAAAAATGTGACCACAGCAGGTGGTTAAAACACAAGATGCGCAGGGCACATAAGCAGCGCACGAAATGCTCACGGCTGTTTGTAAACAATTCGAAAAGTCACCTATCACCACAAAAAAACACCTTGTGATCAAGACCTTAGAGAAGCCAGCAGGAGGCGCTCACCCTTTGGTCTGTGCAGGTCCTAATGCCCCAGTATAGTGAAGGGCACGCTATACTGTCTGTAAGCGTTGTCTTTCGGATGATATGTTCAACCGAGGTCCTGACTTTCTGTGGTCGTTTAGAAACCCAGGATGTCCTTCAAAAATGTAGGGGTGTGTCTCCGGTATCCTGTCTAAATTTACACACAGGCCTCTGTCCATCGTGGACTCCTAACCATCCACATATTATAATTGGCTTCATCACATAGTCTCCTTCTCATCAATAAGCTGTAGTGTGGTGTGCAGTCCGATGCAAAATTGTTTCCGTTGCATCATTCAAGTGGGTGCTGCACACAGCTTGGAGAGAGTTTCAACAACTCTTTCAGGACCTGCGACTGGATGATGGACGCTACAAGAGCAAGCTCCTGACTGGATGATGGTCACTACTATCACAAGCTCATGATTGGTTAACATAGTCGGAATGAAAAAGTTCAGATTTTTAAACTTGAGAGATTTGCGCAAACCACAACTTACCATAACGCTCATTTCGCATCGTGTAATTTGCTTGAATCTTGTAATTTTCCCAAACAGCAATGCAGAATGTCTATCCCGTCTTCGCACAGACCTAACATGTAAATCACTTTTGCTCAATGCTTCATTCGAGTCTGGTGTGAACGCACCAGAAGAGTTCAAGTAATCAATGACAGAAGGAAAAATGGTTCATTTAGAGAAGGGTTTGAAAATATTTAAGGTTAATTAAACCTATTTTGTCCACTGAGAAACATGCTAGTGTCTTATTTGGTGGGAAAGTCCAGTTCAAAATGGGAAAAATATGATGTTTAGGGAAATGATTTTTCCTGTAGTTGTGTCCATGAGATGTTGAACTTTATTGTAATAGTGTCATCTTTTCAGTTATAATAATATGAGATAAGTAAAGAATTCCAGGTGCCCCATACTTTCACTGGAGGAATGAAGGAGACATCAGCTTGAGTGCACTGGGTCCCCCAAGTCAAAACCACCTTACTATATCAGCTGATTCTCCAGTCTACTTTTCTAACTTTTTTGTGTGGAATATCCCTCCCTCCAATGTAATTTTAACAATCATATGCATTCAACATACATGCGGTTCTGGTTAAGTAAGAACACTTTCAGTATCATATGATGTTTTTCTCAATGATGAATAGCCATTTTTGTCACTGTGCTCTACCTCACATGATTCAGGATGTATAATTAAAGCATATGATCAACGTGTATGACTGACCAAGTGTGCATGGCAACAGACACATGTAAAGTCAGTCTGGGTAAAAGGTTAACTATAAAAATGCTTGAATTAATATGTTTACATGCTTTCAGGTCAGTGTGGTAATATTAAAATGATAAAATACAATTCAACAGTTGCAGTTCAACAGTCTCTCAGCTGTCCTCAGTCTGAAAAGATAGATATATATTATCTATCATATTATATCATATTATGTTATCTATATATTATAGTCATGGTTAAAATGGCTTCAAATGCACAAACATCCAAAGAATGAAATTGAAAACCAAAGAATTTGTGTTACCTGATAGATTTTTTTCTGAAGAACTGCAGTTTAACTGTTCAGGACAAACAAGGGCTCATGATAAACTGTGGAATTATTTTTGTAGACTACATGTAAACATTTTAATTTGTGAAATATATTGTTGAGATTTTATTACTAAATGGCTAATAACATGGAATTTGTATAAACCATCTTAGCTATTTAAAAACTTTTTTTTTTGTAAACCTTTGACTTCAACTTGCATCCATAGCTATGTATCCATCCAAAAATGTGAATTAAATTTATGTTCAAAACTGGAATATTACATAAAAGAGATGAAATAAAATACTGTTTTCATCCAACTAGTCAAATAACAAAATTGTCACTTTAAGATAAACTGGTGCCAAAAATCTACATTTAAAATGAAATTTGCTGCAATAGGAGAAGCTGCGTCAATTTTTCTTCTTTATGTTTCCATCCAAAAATGTGGATTAAATTTATGTGAAAAAATACATGAAAATAAACCAACGTTTTTTTATCCAACGAGTCAAAAAACATCACCACTTTGAAATATTTTTAAACAATTAAAATTTCAAAGCAGAGCTAATAATTTTGACCAACTGCATATCTCTGTTTTAGTGTTCTCAGCGGGTTCCATAAAATACATGAAAATAAAACAACGTTTTTTATCCATTGAGTCAAAAAACATCACCACTTTGAAATATTTTTAAACAATTTAAATTTCAAAGCAGAGCTTATCATTTTGACCAACTGCATATCTCTGTTTTAGTGTTCTCAGCGGGTTCCAGAACGCTTTCGGAAGCACTCTCTCTTTGGTATTGGCAGGGACGTCTCAGAAACTTGGTGGAAAGCTCTTGGCCGAGAACTTATTGCTGAGAAATATCTGATGGAAGTCACAGGCCACAGCAAGTTCACCACTCTCTGTAAAATCACAACTAAGGTACTGGTTAAAGATTAATAATGGATTCTTAAATAAAGTGTGTTTCAAGAGGTGTCACTGAAGGAGAAGGAATTGTGGAACATCGATTTCAGCTAAAGGGCACCTTCTAAATTCAAAATTTGTCACTGTTTTGGAGCACATTAACATATAGTAACTTTTAATATTTTCTAAGTCTGTTTTTCATTGGCTAAAACTGGTAAAAGAATTGTATATTAAACAACTTGTAAATGTTTCACTCAGGGAAGATCATGGCTGAGTAAAGCTGAAGATGAGAAGCACAGACAGCTTTTGCTGCAGCCCAACAGAGATCTGTTCAGCAGAGTGTGTGCTCCGCGGTGAGATTTTCACTTCTCATTATTGCTCCAACACACAAAACCACATCTGCACATTGCAGTTAAGGACACGCAGGGTCCATGTGGCGAAATTTAGGCACCTGTGAAAACAAAGTCAATTCATTTTACAAGAATTACATATATTTTGTGGTATCACTTCTGTAAGATTTAAAGGGGACCTATTATGGAAAAACCACTTTGATAAAGGGGTTTAAACACAGTTATGTGGCAACAATCTGAATATATCCAGCTTCTAATGGTAAAATTTGATTGAATTGATTTTTTTATAACTATAATTTTTCAATAGCAGTTGCAGAAACACTTCTCCCTTTGTGTGTGTCATCAGAGTGGAAAAGCCTTGCCCATTAGTGACAATCTCTCACTCATTAGCATAGGATGTTTGTTTTGTTTTTGAAAAAGGCTGGGATCATCTCATTTGAAGTTAAAGAGACACTCCAAAATGGCACAATTAAGATCAAAGACTAAAAGGGGCAGTTTCAAAGTGTTATAAAACATTATTTGTGGGGAATTTTCAGCTGAAACTTCACATACACACTCAGACATCAGAGACTTATTTTACATCTTGTTTAAAGAGTCCATATTATACATGAAATCGGGTCATATTTTGGTTGTAAGGGTCTCCAACAACAGTCTAACATGCATGCAAGGTCAAAAAACACTTTCATGGTCTTGTAATCTGCATTTATTTTTACCTAAATGTCCCAGCGACTGCTATGTGAATAGTCCAGTGATTCATTTGTTTCCAAACCCTGAAAAAAGTCTGTTGCGATTGGTCGACGCTGACAGCCTTCAGCTTGAGACAGAGTGAAATGCCCAGCAACTAATCAACAATATAAAATGATTCACAGTGCATACACGCCTTATAGTGTAAGGGGTGGATTTTGGCTGCCAGTGGGTGAATGTAAATACAGACAATGAACTTGAAAATGCCGACAACTATTTAATTGAGCAAAAACTCCCAAGAACTGGTGAGGAGATCTCCTAGCTTCTTACACTCTGCTCTTTTCACACACACACACACACACACACACACACACACACACACACACACACACACATTGCCCTCCTCCTCGGAGGACACAGCGCACACACGCACATTACCCTCCTCCTCGGACGACTCCGCACACACACACATATGCACTCACACACACACACACACACACACACACACAACCCTCCTCGAAGGAGGACACTGCACACACACACACACACACATTACCCTCCTCGAAGGAGGACACCGCACACACACACACACATTACCCTCCTCCACGGAAGTCCATAAACAAAGCGGCAAGCGTCGTGTTTTTAACATGACAGTACACGCGATATGAGAATATAGCGAGTTAACCTGATACAGTACGCGCGGTTACAAGTAATACATCACAACTAAATATATTTGCAAGCTAGAGATAAACGAGGCAACAACTTTAATCGCACGTACTTACACTTGTGAAATGGAGGAAGAAACCGATCCATGTTCTAATATAGTCCATCAGTACTCTTTACTGATCCTTCCTTTAACAAACGGCCGGTGGAGTCTTCTTTGTAGCATGTAGTTTCCAGAAGCACTCAAACTGCTCAAGGCTGGGCTATAATGCTGAGGATTCATCTTTGGGTAGAGAATAAAATAATATCCATCTGCACGTTGCGACTTCATTTGACCGGGGTGTTTTGTGTGTGCGTGTGTGTGTGTGGCGTTTTCTGTGTTAGAGGGCGAAGCCGCAGGTTTCAAATCTCCCGGGTTTGCGCGCGCAACTACTTGGTTTCATTGTCACGTCATGGCGAAACACCTAATGACTTGTTATCAAGACGACTCATTTAAAGCACTATGAGTCGACTCTTTTATAGATGAATGAACAGTTTTAAACACTGTACACTTACAGATTTAAGCCTTAGCCTGATATTTCACTTTATTTAGAGCTGTGTTACACACTACATGGAAGGGCATTTTCAAAAACCCATAATATGGGCTCTTTAAAATATGTTTCCTTGGCCATAAATCTCTCCTATTCTCAAGTGTTTTTGTCAATGATAAGAGCTGATGGTACTGATTTTATATTCAGATTTCTAGTCATGTGATTGGTGCAGAGATTAAATGAATTTATTATTGTATGCCGAACCATAGACCTTTATCTATTAAGTATAATTATAAAAACTGTGTTTATCTTAACAGAAAGTTATGCCGTGTTTGCCAGCCTCACGCATCATGCACCTGAAAGTCAGCATGTCATCTTGAAGGGTGAAATAACGCACAGCACTACTATGATTACAGAAAAGTTTGCGCTGTTATAATTCACTTATCTTTTAATAGGTTTTGGTGTGATTATAACCTGCTATTAAAAAACAAACAAACAAAAAAAAACAACAACAATGACAGAATTGTTGATTGAGAAGCTGTAATGTAGCCATGGCAGTAGGAATTTTGGTGTGGCGCCCCGCCATGGAAGAATGAATGTAATGGAAACCATGTATCTTAAATGCAATGAACAATAACAATTAGCTTTTGTGCTTTTATATTTCCCATCATACTCCTCGTGGCATTGCAGAAGGTGTTGTTTTGTGACATTGCAGAATAGCCGGCACTGGACATTTTACTGCCATGCAAAATACAATGACACGAGATCTCAGGATGGAGTTTTCATTGCATTCCTGATATGTCTTTACAGGAGAAAAGCAGATCCAGCACAAGTTGAACCTACAGTTTCTAACCTGCAGTCACCTCACATACGGGTCAGTATCATCCATTAGTAAACACTGAAAGCCTTTGAAGATTTTTCTTCTAAATGCTTGATATTTTGTCTCCTGTAGCCCTCTCTTGTTACATTTCAGAGGACAAAGCTTGGTTCTGAATCCCCTCAGATTGTGAAGAAAGGAGATTTGCCTTCTAGGTACGAATAATACATAAATACATTATATTAACTAAATGGTTGACTCCAAAAGGAAATTTCTTTAACTTTTGATTTTTGTCATTCAGAAATGCACCAGATAATCACATAAATTCAAGAATTACATATGTCTAATTGTGGAAAAACATTATCATCAGATATTTTAATGCACAATTTTTGGAAGAAATCACGTCGAAGTATTTTGCTTTTCTGGAATATAAATAGCGACATAAAATGTATTTCACACAATGTTTTGAATAACCTGTGTGAAGAATTCAATATGTTAGAATGGCATCTACATAAAATGTAAGAAAATAGATAAAGAAAAAAGATACAAGAAAATTGGGCTCTGCTTAAATTTTTCCCTGCTATTGACAAGACAACTTGGCATAATTGTCATAACTTGTCCAGGGTATATGCAGGAATCCTAAAAGAAATTTCAATACCTTTGTAAAACTTTTTAAAGACCTTCTCAGAATATTTTAAGACCTTGTCGCCATTTCAAGTTCTAATCAGTACCGAACCTTTAACTTAATAAACAGTTGCTAATAAACAAGTGCAGTTAAATAAATAAATGAAGCACAACCGTGCAACAGAACTTAGAAAAGCTTGGAAGAAACAAACCTTGAAAGAATAAATCACGTGGTTGTTTTAAGCAACAGATTTCAGCCACTGTTAAAACTCGCTTTCTCCAACCCGCGGGCTGCCTATTGAATAGACTTGCTCTATGGTTCCGCTACATGTGGAGAGCGTAACATCACCTTCCCTCAATTGTCGCAAATTACGTGACATCACCCAAACAGAGGAGCTTGGCCGTTAAACACTTTGTACAACACTAAAACAAAATTTAAGACCTCATAAAAACGGGATTATGACTTTTTAATACCTTTTTATGGGCCTTAATTTTCTCATATTTAATTTATCAACTTTTAATACTTTTTAAGACCCTGCGGACTCCCTCTTGTCTAGTCAATGCTTTCCAGAAATTGATGATTTATTATGGCATTTTGTGTTTTATGTATATTATTATTGTATGGGAAGCCTTAACGCATGTTCTTAGTGAGGTACAGAACTTCTGGGAAAAAAATAAGACAATCAGAGAAAGTAAAAGTCAGATCGCATATAAAATTGTTAAAGAGTTATGCAGATTTCCTTTGGCTTGCTCTCTTCATTTATTACATTATAGTGTTTTACACACACACACACACACACACACACACACACACACACACACACACACACACACACACACACACACACACACAATGTACACATCTACAATAGTCATATTGTAGCATGTGCAGTGTCCAGTTGTAATAATAGTTGATCAGGTACAATAGTTAATCATTGCAAAATATTCACCACCTGCCAAAAGTTTTGTCATTGATCCCAGTTGTAAGAGCAACAAATAATAACTTGACTTCTCTTTGATCACCTGGAAAAGTGGGAGTAGATAGATTTTTCCAATGAATCATCTGTTAAACTGCATCTCAATCATCACAAATATTGTAAGACCTATTGAAACCTGCATGGACCCCAGATTCTCGCAGAAATTATTCAAGTTTGGTGAAAGAACAATTTTGGTTTGACTATACATTAAGTATGGGGGTGTGCGAAAAAGATGGATGCTACAGAGTGGATGGCAACATTAACAGCCTGAGGTATCAAGACACTTGTGCTGACCACAGGAGAGGGCAAATTCTTCAGCAGGATAGCGCTCCTTTCCATTCTTCAGCCTATACATCAAAGTTTCTGAAAGCAAAGAAAGTCAAGGTGCTGAAGGATTGGCCAGCCCAGTCACCAGACTTGAACATTATTGAGCATGTATGGGATAAGATGGAGGAGGAGGCAACTTGATCTTGTAACTTGATCATTATTAGTCATCAGCATATTCCTAGGTAACATAAAATTATAAATTCTTTCCAAAAAACTATTCAAGTCATCTGGGGAAAATTGTATTAATGGCAAAATCTATTGCAGAAAAACTAAATATCGCTATATAATTTTTTTCCAATATCGTGCAACGCTAACCTGAATCATTTACACATGCACATTATGAAATTGAACTCCACAATTGCTAAACTTTGCAGTTATTCTACAAAATGTATTTCAAATTGTGGTGCCTGGTCTCTACTTGACATTGAACGTCCTTCGATATGATTACTGCAGATACACACATTGCAATGTCGATTCTGAAACCATATATTGTGCAGCCCTAGTAAAAAAAGCACTATAGAAATAAAGCTGACTTTTATTTCTGCATTCAGGTCAGCAGCCAGACAAACACAGATTCAAACTGATGTCAGAGCCCAAACTCCAGGAGCCTCTGCTAAAGAAATTCAGCTACAGGTACTGAATACTAAACACTGCTGCTGCTGCCACACAGAGAGGGTGAAGCCAGTGCTGTCATTTATTAATCATGCCATGGGCTTCAGTGTTTTCAGCGCCTGTCTTACTTCTTATTTCTTGAGTGTAATCAGGATATTTCTGACAGTTTGCACACACTGTATGTCTCTGGAAAACATCAGCTAGAACATGTCCTTCTTGCTGTTCGTAATGTTTCTTTTGTTTTTTTACAGTCTGAGCTGTATGGTAAGCTGGTGTCTGAGCGTCAGAAGTTAGCTAGTATCAGAGACATCCCACCAGCTCTGCTGGCCACCAATAAAATTCTTCTGGACATGTCAAAATTAAGGTAAGGTTTGCTTGAATAAAAAGTGGTGTTGGCAATAGGAAAGTGGTGGATGTGGTAAAAAAAAAAGAGCATTTCCTTCTCTTTACTGTTGCTTTGCTAATTTTTGTGGGTAAAATCCCATCATTTTAATGAGAATTAAAGGTACGTGATATTGACAAAATATCAAATGTAAAAAGTGCTAGGTTCAACAAAATTCATACATGCTGTCCCAATACAAATCAACTAAGTTAACTCTTAACTGTTTTGGCGAATTTAGGTGGATTGAAGCTAAAACAATTAAGTTGCCCCACAAAAAATTAAAAAACTCAACAATTATGTTGATTCAGCTTATTTAAATTAAGTAGTTTAAACACGCAGCAAAAATCTTTTGATAGTTGAAAGTTGGTTCCAGAAACTATCGGTTATATTTTCATTTATTAATTTAAATTTTTTTTTATTGCAAATTATTTCTATATATTTTTTTATCTAGTAGGTATTTTCACTTTAATCTGTTGATGTTCACAAATGTTAATAATAATAATTTAAAACATGAACATTCGCTTTTAAGTTTCTTCTCCATGTTTACATTTCTTCTCAATGCATGTCTTTGATTTACCTTTATTTAGGACATTTTCTTTAATGTTAAAGAAAATTTTCTAAATTAAGGTAAATCAAGGACATGCATTGAGAAAGAATGCAAACATGGAGAAGAAAATTAAAAGTGAATATATATATATATATATATATATATATATATATATATATATATATATATATATATATATATATATATATACATTATATATATATATTTATATTGTGTGTGTATATACACAGTTGAAGTCAGAAGTATTAGCCCCCCTTTGAAATTTTTTCTCTTTTAAATGTTTCCCAAATGAGGTTTAACAGAGCAAGGAAATTTTTACAGTATGTCTGACAATATTTTTTCTTCTTAGGAAAGCCTTATTTGTTTTATTTCTGTTAGAATAAGAGCAGTTTTAATTTTTTCAAAAACCACTTTAGGGACAAAATTATCAGCCCCTGTAAGCTAATTGTTTTTTCGATGGACAACAGAACAAACCCTCATTATACAATACCTTGCCTAATTACCCTGTTCTGCCTAGTTAACCTAATTAACCTACAGTAGTTAAGCCTTTAAATGTCTAGTAAAATATTATTTACCGTCATCATGGCAAAGATAAAATAAATCAGTTATTAGAAATGAGTTATTAAAACTATTATGTTTAGAAATGTGTTGAAAAAAATCTTCTCTCTGTTAAACAGAAATTGGATAAAAATATAAACCGGGCTAATAATTCAGGGGGGCTAATAATTCTGACATCAACTGTATATTCTCTAAATTTTTTTAAATCTAGAATTAATTAGAAAAATTATCTATTATTTTATAAAATGTGATGATGATGACAGGACATTTTTTTTTTTATAAATTTGTGCTACTGTTGGTAGATTGCATTGTCCATTATTAAAATGAGCTGATGCATCTGTTCCTTAATTTAGCATTTTTAGTAAATCTGGTCTGAATAGTTTTTTGTTAATAGTCATTTGATGTTTATTGTGCGTTTCTTCCCCAGGCCCTGCACGATGTCCAGCTTGAAACAGGTGGATGGAGTTTCAGAAGCAAAAGCAGCCATGTTAACACCTCTCATAGATATCATCGCCAAATTCTGCCAGACACACGGATTACAGGTACTGTATATTTACTAAAATGCTATTTGAATTACTTGGTAAGCATATTTATATTTATTCAAGTTGTCCTAACGTAAAAATCAAAAATAAAATGCTACTTACCCTTTGGTGAGTAATTTAAATATAAATGTATCCATGTATCAAAAGAGATTAAGACCCATGTACAGTTCTGTACCTGTCTGGTTACCAAAACCGTACCAAAGTCAAGGTACCATTCTATTATTAGTTTCTACCATTACACCCCGCTGACTTAAAGGTTTGTTTTGTTATATTTAGTATTAATATGTGACGATGATGATGATGATGGATTGCTTTGTGAATCAGGTGGATGTTTCCTCCAACTCTGCTTCATCTGTCCAAACACACTCCTGTCGTGAATCAGTTGTAGGATCTGTGGCTCAGTGTCTGCCGGACAGCATCTCCATCACATACAGCCTCTTCCAGACAGAGCACAAGAGCTTGGTACAACATTCACTTCCTAATCCTTACTTTAGCTGTAGTGTTTGTTAGTTTCTTCCTCACGCTTTCCTAAAGTCAAAATTAAAATGTGCTCTTTTTATTTTTATACTTGTAAAGTACTGCTTGTTAAAAATAATGTATCCATGCGCTTCATTAATTTGCCTTCAAAATATTTTATTAAATATCATAACCTTCCGTACCCCCTCAAAATGGCTTTACTTCATTTCTTGTCACATGGAAAGCCTTTCATGGAGGGGTTATTAGGGCACTTCTTGTTTCTGCCCTGCTTTCGTCCATTCGTTAATCTTCTTTTATTTTGTTAGCAATGCCCATCTTCCAACAATCCAATCAGTTTCCAGTGGATGAGATCATGCACCGACCTACTTTATTTTTGCTCTCATTCCAATTGGATGCATGTCATGATATGGGAAACAAGGACAGTCTTAACTTTAGTTTCGTGGCATCATTATGTGTAGCATTACATTTTATTGAGCCCAAACACTTTATTTATGTGTACGGCAATTTATGCCAACATGCGTTTTAAAAGAGATAACATACAAGTTCAATCTTTGCAGTTTTAAATCTAATTAGTAATGTTAAAATAGCAGTTAGCTAACCAATAGCAACAGTTAATGAAATAAATGTCCCAATGTTTTGATGTTATATGTTTGGACTGATATGTTTTTATTATGGTCATTAGGGCTGCACATTATATTATCAATATTGCATTGTGATCATTTGCAATACTTGCATCACAGGGTATGCAACGTTTAGTCTGTATTATAATTTATAATTTGCATGTGTTTTTGAGACATGTAACTGAATGAAGATTTTAAAAGCATTCAGGCATAAGAAATTGTACCATTTTGAACTGTGACACATTAAGAATAATTTAATTGAATTATTTAATAAACAAAGACTATATTACTATTAAGGCAGTATTATTTTACATTTGATTATTCAATTACTTTATTCTGATTTCTGAAGAATACAGTAATTGAATACAAAAACAAAGAAACAAATGTATTGATAGTTTTGGAGTGTGAAGCAGCAGTAGTTTCATATGGTGTCTGTATTGTGTTTTGCAGAGGCAGGTATCAGATGCTCGCTCTCTGCCCATAGCGGTGGTGGAGTCTCATCTTCTGCAAGCTCAGAAAATGGGCTGCGCTGTGGACACTGACAGAGCAGGACTCTCAACATCCATCATGAACACCATCAGAAAAAACACAGCCGGCTCAGGTTAAACACTTTACCACAAAACAAACCATAATGTCTTATCTAAATGGACAGTACTTTTGCTTTGTTGCTGTACATTTCAAGTATTTGTATTCATCAGAGTATTTTCATTTTGGGGAACTTTTATTACTTGACTACCCTACAATGTGTAAATATGAATTTTTGTTATTTTACTTAAAATACTCGGGCACTCATTTAAAAAGTACAAACGTTTTTTTTTTCTTGCTTTGTTTTTTTAAATCAGAAAATGACATTTAAAGTAAATGATGAATTTTAGGTAAATTGAACAAATCCTTAGTCTCTCGATCAGGGGTGCCTAATCCGCCGCTGTCCTGCAAAGTTTAGTCCCAGTCCCAATTCTATTATTGTACCTCTTCTCTTTCCCCTTCCCCTTGGCCCCTAAATTTGAGTGTGAAGGGGAAGGGCTTCAAAATTTACCTCTAAGAATTGGGACAGCACTACAGCACCTGCACACGTCATCATTTGTCATTGTGAGCTTCTGCTTCATATGAGATTAGGTGAACGTAACTGCTGTAGTTATTCCAGTTGTGTTATTTTTTGGTATTTATCTTCAAGAAACCACTGAAGGCATATATTATGTTATCATATCGATCTAATGTGGCAATAAGATTGTAACTGCTGCGCATTTACACAGTGGCCCTATTCATCTATGTAAACACACCAAAAACATTAACATTATGGTAGACACTGTAAAAAACTCATTCCCAGCCACTAGACTTTTCAGACAGGGTATTCGAGTGTCATCGAGTGGCAGAATGTTGTGTGACTGCTGTACAGGAGTTATTATTATGGATTATAGATGCTGAAATTTAGCGGTTTTTATTTTAGCTTTTTTTTTTTTAAAGCATGGCGGTAAAACACAAACGCGGTTATGAATATATTAAAACGTGCTGGTTTGTTGTAAAAATTGATAATGATAACAAAAAATACTAATTTGTGGATCTCCTTACTTCCGGGTGCAGCTATACGTTGTGGTTGGTGTATTCTTGGAAGTTTTTCGAGTTTCGAGTGTGGTCCTGAAAAATCTCTGTTCGAAGGGCTATCTGCTAGTGGTTGGCAGATTGGTAGTCTGGGTTAAATGAGCATAACCTTAAGTCTGTATAACAGTCTGGTGGAGAGTTATGAGATCACAAAATTTGGCCCAATGTTAAGTCAATGGGACTTTTCAGAATTTTCTGGGTCAGTTTTCAGAAAACCGTAAGCCAGATCAGTTCGAAAAGACATAGCAATACGAGTGAGACAAGTTTGGAGGTCTGGAGTAAGTTTTATGGTTGTAGTATAAACGGTCTATGAGGAGATGCATGTAGAAATTAGTCTTAGAAGAAAAAAAAAGTTTATATAATATGTTGGCTTTCTCTAAACAAGATTATAAAGGGCAAACAACTTATGTTTCTATGGTAACCTCGCGCAAACAACATTCATGAGTGGTTCATATTTGTTTATTTTTGAGTTGTGCATGGTCATAAATAAAGTTTTGTTGAAACCTGTAGTATTTAAAAAAATGCATTTGCTAAAAAAAAAGAAACAAGAAAAAAAAAAAGAAATGGCTCTTTGCTAAAAAAAAAAAGTTCCCAAACTCTGATCTAGGGGGTGAGGATTTGGTTAATTTCTAACCAACTTATAACCCTTTAATAACAGGGTCTTATGATGCTGAATTGGTATTCATTCATTCATATTATTTCTGTTTTGTTTTATTTTATTTTATTTTTTACAGATTTGTGTGATTTTAAAGCAGTCCGTTCTCGTGTCCCTGAAGATATTAGTAACTTTCTCCTGAGGTTGGCCATTTATGAACTCCAGAAAGAAGCTTCATCCACAACACGTCATGAAATCAGCTGGATTGAGCCACTGGTATGCTTCAATTATCAGTCTTAATTACAGTAGCATGCATTTTATTAAAATAATTATGTGCTATTATTTTTCATCATTGGCATATTTTGGCTGAAGTGTTAATACACCAGCAGAGGGCAGCGCTGTGATGTAAAAAATACTTTTGGACCTATTTGTTTTTAGTACACTAAAAAAAATGCAGGATTTCACACAATTCATTCATGTTGTCCTGACACAAATCAATTAATTTAAAGTTGTTTTAACAAATTTAAGTTGATTGAACATAAAACAATTAAGTTGTTCTGAAAGAAATCTCAAGAATTGTCTTGTTTTAGCTCATTTTGAATAAGTACTTTGAATATGCAGAAAATATATATATATATATTTTTTTTTTTTTGAGTGTAGAACAATAAAAGAAAACATTGCTAGATGCTGAGATCACTGGTTTAATAATACCAACAAAAACTAGCTGCTCTTAATTGTATAACTAATATTAGGACAAGACTTTTTTTAAACTCTTATTTTCCCAGTTTTCTCTTAATTTTTTATTTTGCAATCCCATCACAAGTGGTCATCTGAGATGCTTTACCATTTCCTTTTGATATAATTAATATGCATTTTCAGTGGTTGTGGTCATTTGTGTCTGCTTAAATCCATTTGATCACAAAGGATTTTAAATTATCATAACAATCTGACTCATTTTGATAATCTATGAAAGTGGTGAAAAATAGACAAGCTCAACGTGTTTTAAACCCTTTTTACTCCTGCGTTTAGCTTTGTCCTCTTTTGAAATATTTGAAAAAAAAAAAGTTTATTACCATGTATAAATGTGAAAAAAATTTACTGGACAAATTCAATGTCTTAAGTACAAAATAATAGAACTATATATTCAATACCAACCATTGGTGTTTTGATTCCGCACTAAAAACACTGTCTGTCTAAAACTACTTTGTCATTTTAGCTTTGCAGCAGCTCAATTTAACTAAGTGAAATATTTATAAATGGTATCTTAACAATTTTGCATTTATATACAGTTGAAGTCAGAATTATTAGCCCCCCTTTTTTCTTTTTTTAAATGTTTCCCAAATTGTGTTTAACAGAGCAAGGAAATGTTCACAGTATGTCTGAGAATGTTTTTATTTTGGCTAGAATAAAAGCAGTTTTTTATTTTTTAAACACCATTTTAAAGTCAAAATTATTAGCCCCTTTAAGCTATATATTGTTTGAAAATAAAACCATCGTTATACAATACCTTGCCTAATTAACCTACGTTGCCTAGTTAACCTAATTAACCTAGTTAAGCCTTTAAATGTCACTTTAAGCTGTATAAAAGTGTCTTGGAAAAAAAAAGTAAATTATTATGTACTGTTAGCATGGCAAAGATAAAAGAAAACAGTTATTAGAAATTAATTATTAAATCTTGTATTATTATCTTGTTTAGAAATGTGTTAAAAAATGTTCTCTCCGTTAAACAGAAATTTGGGAAAAAAATAACGGGGGCTAATAATTCTGACTTTAACTGTATGTTAAGAGCGCAAATGAAGCTACAAGTGGCTGTGGCCAACCAGCGCCATTTTGTTTGCACATTATCGCTCCAACTGGGGGTAACCAAATAAGGGCAAAGAGACGGAGCTACAGACGCCTGCTAGTATTTTGCTTAGACAGGATTTTCTTTGGGAGAAACGCTTAATACTTTACTACCTGGGACTCGTTTGTGTTCTGACCACATGTGCTTGGTTGTGTACTATTGCAATAAAGTGATACAATAATTTACAGTAAACCACTATATACATCTCTCACACATCCATCATACTTTCGGTAGGCAGTAAAAAGCTGAATGAGCTGTCTCATCTCTGAAATCATTCAAACATATTTTCGAATAGACACTATCCTTTTAAATAAATTGCATGTATGCAGTCTAAAAAACTACATTCTTGCCTAAAAAAAAATTGATACTATAAAATTTTCAAGCTGTAGTGAGTTTATTATAGTACATATAGTGAGTTTCTCTGCTCTTGCTCCTCTTGCTGTGGGCTGAGTGATACACACGGGTGAAGAGACTGGAACAGTTCTGATACTGGCAGAATATCACATGACTTGCAGCCAATCAAATTTGAGAACCAGAAATAAGGTATAAAGCATAATATGAAACAATAAACGTATTATTTCACTCATACGATCGTCAAATTACACAGCCCTTATGTTTATGGACATTGACCGTTGTGTATTCTTAACTGTGTTGAGCTCTTGTAGTCCCTCAGTTATGTTGTGACATTAGGAAATGAGCGATTTGACACAACATCTGCTGTGTCTCTCAGACTGATTAAGACAGACCTACTTTATTTTTCTTAGCCATCAGCATGGCCCATCTCCAGATGTGGGATCATCCGCTTTGTGTCTGTTGGCTCCTGGAGATGGAAGTATACAGGATAAACTAAAAATCTGCAACTAGATTTGTCGTTCTTTAGCCCTTAATGGCCATGTCTCATAGAAAATATTTTGTATGTTTATTTGCATAATTGATACTGTTTGTATGACAACAGATGTATGTCATTGTAGGACAAATCAACTACTGCAACCAGACTAGCAGAAAAACCTGTGTGTGAAGAGCGACAGCAAGAGCCAGACGCCATAGACACCAGTGAAGATGATATCTTTATCAGTATTCCCATGCCTCAGGTGACTAACACATTTTTTTCTCAGTGGGATTTTCAAAATGCAAATGTGCAAAAAAAAGCGCTGCCCCCTACTCAATATTCCTTTTCAGTTGAAAGTACATCAACACACTGAAATAAAAGTTTTGTCAACTTTCAATTCACACAGATTTTGTGTCACAATCACAGACTAGAGCACCGTCTGCTGTTAAAAACTCAAAGGGAACTTTATATTAAGATTTAAAAATTAATTAGTATTGCACACTTTAACACAAAAATAAGTTGAATGTATGCAGCTGTGAATGATGAGCAAGAATCTCTAATAATGTGTACAGGAAGAACCCTGCTTGGGGAGTGATGTACCTCTGAAGTCACATGAGCCAGTTCCTCAGAGCAGTGGAATGGAGCTGGCTTCCTGGAACCAGGATAACCTGGATAAGGACACACAAGATCTCTTCAGCGATTCCCCTGTGAAGGTAGGACAGCTGGTTGAGCACAGCTGATTTCAACATTACTCCTAAGAAATGTTTCTTGAGCCAACCATCTTACTAGAATGATCTAATGATTTATAAAGGCATCATTTACTCCACTTGTTACAAACCTGTTTGAGTTTCTGATTTTCTGTTAAACCCAAAGCATATTTGAAGAAAACTGGTTTGCATTGTTTGTATTGTTTTCTACAGAAGAGAGAAATTCATATAAGTTTAGAACCACTTGAGTGTGAGTAACTCGTAAGTGAATTTACATTTTTTTTTTTTTTGGCAAATTCTTTCAAGTCATATTAGTAAAATCAGCTTGGACAATTAATTTTTTTTGATTCATTAAATAAAGTCTTGCTGAGCCAAAGAACCTTATATATTATACATTTTTATATTGGAGCCTTTGCGATTACAAACTACAATTTAATATAAATATATAAACATATTTGTGCACGGTCCGAGAGCAAGTACATGACTGTCCTCTTTGTGTGACTGGCTTACTAACCAAAAGACATACATATATACAGTTGAAGTCAGAATTATTAGCCCACCTGTTTATTTTTTTCTCCAATTTCTGTTTAACGGAGAGATGGTTTTATTTCAACACATTTCTAAACATAATAGTTTTAATAACCCATTTCTAATAATTGATTTATTTTATCTTTGCCATGATAACAGTAAATAATATTTGACCAGATATTTTTCAAGACACTTCTACACAGCTTAAAATGACATTTAAAGGCTTAACTAGGTTAATTAGGTTAACTTGGCAGGTTTGGGTAATTAGGCAAGTTATTGTATAACAATGGTTCTGAAGACAATCGAAAAAAATATAGCTTAAAGGGGCTAATAATTTGGACCTTAAAATGGTTCTTAAAAAAATGAAAAACTGCTTTTATTCTAGCCAAAATAAATGAAATAAGACTTTCTCAAGAAGAAAAAATATTATCAGACATACTGTGAAAATTTCCTTGATTTTTTTTCCCCACTTACTCCTTTTCAAATACGCAAATATCTTTACATATGAAAAATTATTAAAATATTAAGGATATATATATATATATATATATATATATATATATATATATATATATATATATATATATATATATATATATATAGGATATAATAAGGATATATATAGGATCTAAATATAAAGGATTAAATATTACAAAACATTATTTTGTAGCCTACATAAATTTAAAAACCATACTGTCATTCCATCTTCATCTCAGGGGGGCTTTTTCAGTTTATTTGTGACAATTTGCTTTAGTATAATGTTATTATTATTAGCAGTATTATTAATTATATTTATATTTATTTTATTAAAAACAAGCTTAGATTTGCCCACCTGTCAGGTTATAGACCATATAGGGCACAGCATGTGTATTTGGATAAAACTCAGTTTTTTGAACACACTTCGTTATTATTGTTCGTTTATTTGTTTGCTGGAAATTAGAACTGAATTTTGAAATGGTTTTAAAACAAATCTTTGCGCTTAACAAACGCAATTAATTATTTATAGGCTAATTGATGTCTCCACGAGAGCGAAAGTGAAAGTAGATAATAAGAGGCCTTATCTGTTTAACTGTTTAACTGTTTTCTTGCTAGTGAAACGCTCAGTTTTTCCACCTACAAAGTCATCATGTAAATAGCAAATGCGCTATGGCGCGACGCAACAGGCTCTTAAAGGGAATGGGAGATGAGACTCTGATTGGTTTATTCTCAAAACACACCTATAACTCATTAAGAAAATAAACTCAACCCTTTTAGACCATATGCCATGTCGCAAAGTGGATTTTTCCATTCTTACATTAGCAAAAATGGATTCTGACACACCCTGAATGCGTTTGCGCCCTGCATTCTTGAGGCCAGAATGTTGCTGTCAATGTGCACAAACTCATAGAAAAGGTGTGTATGTGATCCCCTGAGTCTTTAAAATCTCTCAGAGCAATCATACAGGTGCGAAAACCTCTTTAGAAGCTCTGCTACTTCACTCTCCAGTGTATTCATGTGGTTAGTGTTGTTGTTTTGGATTCTGTTCTCCTGTCTGTTCCCTGTGTAATGAGAAACCAATCAGGGGGAAGAAATCACACATCAAAGAAGGCGGAAATCCAGAACACACCCACTGATTGCGTAATCGGCACAAACCAATGCTAGCTCAAAGGTGTTTAAGAGCCACAACACACTCCCTCAAAAGTTAACTTTGGTGAACTCCTCTAACAAACTTAAAATTAACTTGTTTTTTTTAAATCACGTCACGAAATTCAGTTCATTTTTGTATTTCATTAAGTATACCAGGGCCTGAAGACATTTATTTAACTCATTATTAAGCAAAAACATTTTTAGAAACGTTTAAACAATGTGTTCCCTACAAAGTGATTAATAGGATTATCAAAAATGTGTGTAGAATATATGTAAAACACTTGACCTTTTAATTCAGTTCCATGTTTTTCAAAGAATAAGCATCATTCTCACTTGGATGCTGTTTTTGATGAATGTGACACTTAGTCGCATGTTGTTAACACAGACATTTTTAGGCTGTAATCTGAATCCCGACCCCTGGTTTAGGTGTAATCCTGTCTGCTAGAGTCATTGAACATCAGACAGCCTCCCATGATGTGATGAGCGCTGTGTGCTGCTTTAGCGTGAGCCAACTGTCTTTAACCTCTGCTTGACCTTTGACACGCGCTATTACCCGACACCTCCCCTTGTAAGCTCAAAGCCATTAAGGTCATAAGGTTGTGACCCGTGTCACTTCAGTTCTCGTCTGATCTTCAGGAGAGTCCAAGAGGTGCGACAGAGTGAAGTCCTGTTTATCCTGAAGATTTTATACATTCGTCTCATCTTTCTAAAATCAAAGAAGAGACCATTTGCATGAGTTTGATTAGATGTTTCACATGTTTTTATCTTTAAGATTTTATAAATTTGTGTCATCTTTCTAAAAGAAAAAAGATTCAATTAAACGGTTTACCAGCCTGATCTCACGAGAAAGCGTAAGTATTTTACGTTTTGCCAGTTTAGTGGCTGATTCGTACAAATTCAGTCGTACGGAATTGTACGATTTTAAAAAGGAGGCGTGGCACCTAACCCCACCCCTAAACCCAACCGTCATTGGGGGATGAGCAAGTCGTACTAAATTGTACGAATTAGATCATACGAGTTCATACGAATTAGCCACTAAATCAAAAAGTTACGAATTGCCTCAGATTGTGTTGGTATTATATATTTAATCAAGATTTTATGCATTTGTCTATCTTTTCTAAATGAATCAAAAATGAAATTATATCAAAATGTTTTAAATGAAATTGAAATTGAAGTGGTAAATATTTCATCCTCAAGTTTTTTTTACATTTCTCATTTCTAAAAACCAGAGATGCCCAAAGTAGGGCCCACGGGCTAAAGTTGTCCCATCTAGAAAGAAAGCAAATGATGTAGAGGGTTGGGGCGAATGGATTTCATCATTTCTAATTTACATACAACTTTTTTTTTTTTTTTTTTTTGAAAATTAAGTTTTTAAAATGTAAATACTGTCACTCGACGGATAGAGGACTATGCAGAAGACATTGGCAAGCAAATCAAGGCAAAAAGTAGCTTAACTTAATACTGTTATCTATGCGATTGTTTTTGTTTTTACTGTAATAAGTTCATTTTAAAAAAATTTAGATCCCCTAGTTTTTCACAATTGTTTTTGAGATTTTTTTTTTCTCCATAAAAGTGACTTGTGGCGGTAATTCCCAGAAATTTGCAGGCAATCTTATTTTTTCATATTAGTTAGCCTACTATGTCAGGTGTGCAATCTGACACAATGGCAGAAATTATAAAAATAAAGCTCAAGACAAGGGCTGCACGAATTAGGGCTGCACGATAACAGAAAAAATGATAATCACGATTATTTTGCTCAAAGTGGTAATAATGACGATTATTCCTTTGTATGTATGTATGTACCAGAGTCCTGCGGAAAAAATGATTGGAGGGGGTAATTTATGTGTAACTTTATTTATTTATGTTTTGGTATTGGGGAAAACAAAAACCATGCGGGTCAGGTGGTTGAAACTGTAGGCTACAAATAATTCATCTGTTAATAATTAATGAATTATTCATAATTAATTCACCGCTGCCTATGACAACGATGCCATCGTCCATCACGATGTTTCACATTAGACATTGTACGATGCCAAATTGGTCGACATCACCCAATTCTAATTCAGGGATTGCGAAAACTAGGGGGTGTGAATTTTAAAATATATATATCACCATATATGTCACCTGAAACAGCTTCCGGGTCCAGCCGCTTTATCAATCTGAATGGGTAGAATCAACAAACGGTAATAATACATTTACTTTAAAGTGTGATAGGACTAAAACATCTTCATAAACAAATATTTTCTCGTTTCAAATGAGTAGCGGCTTGGACCCTGAAACAGTATTCCATACGTCATGACTTAACAAGCACATACAAAGCAATGATTTTTAGTAATTTTTAAATAATATTAAGTAAATTAGGACACTACCTATGGGAACTATATTTATCTTCGGCCCACTAGCCTTAATCAAGTTTGGTTTTTGGCCCTTCATAAGAGAAAGTTTGGGCTACGCTGATTTAAATGAAGTTGAAACTAAATTTTTAAAGTAAATACTTTTTTTATTAAGACTTATATGTTGTATAAAGTTTATTTTTGTGTGGTGATCTTTTCCAGTAAGAAGGTTATTATTGCAGGCATCTCTCTGACCTATTAACATGGACATTAATAGTGATTGAAGCTTGTTTAAAGAGCACATCCATCATTGCTCTTTTGTCCCGCAGTGACACAAGCGTGTCGATCGATGTGACATCATTAGGGAGTCTCTAAACACACCCTCCCCGATGTTCCCTTGGCCACTCCAGAAACACACAAATGATTTAGCACGAAAGCTGAACAGATTGCAAGTCGGCCAGATAAGAAGAGCTGCCTAGAAGGAAATGAAGTTTGGAAGGACACGTAAATGGCTTATGAGGAATTGTGATGGATGTTAATCCGATGGTGGGCAGCGCGGGGTTTTCCTGTGTTGATGCAGCTGTCTGCGTCATGTAAGCCTTCACACTCTTCTCAGTCTCCTCTCTCAGTGCTGTGGGTGCAACTTAAAAGCCAAATTGATTTTTGGAGCATTACTTTCTAGCGTTAACAGGAAACGGTGAACCTTTTGAACAGTTACTCTTTAGATGAAAACAGAAGCATTAGCAATATTTCCAGCCACCTATTTTTGGAGCATTGCATAAAAAATGGTGGACAGAAATTAGGGCTTCACGATATTGGAAAAAAACACTGACATTGCAATATTTAATTTTTATTTAATACATTTTTTAAAGCAATTGGGATTGTTTTGAAGAGTATTTACTGAAGCTGTAATAAACTAATAACAAGCATTAAATAAACACAATATAGTAAAGTATATACAAATAAAATAAACAATATAGTTTTCTGGGATTCTAGCAGTAATCAGGTACACAAAGTGTATAGTCAAATGTAAACTTGTATATACATATATACAATTAATCTTAGTCTTAAAAGACAGCAATTTAACTTTTGAAAACCATATCTCCAATGTCACAAAAACTGCCTTCTTTCATCGGAGGAATATCGCTAAGTTAAGAAGCATGCTGTCCATATCAGATGCAGAAAAGCGAAATCATGCTTTTATGACTTTTAGGCTGGATTACTGTAATGCTCTGTTCACTGGCAGCCCAGAGGCTTTTGAAAAATGAAAGTTTAATATAAATTTGAAACAGTTTGATATAGTACCTAATTGTTATAGCTATAGCTTTTGTTAGTTTTATATTGGTTTATTTATTTAATGTGATTTTATTATAGGCCTATCTGATATTTGTAATTCTTTAAATTATTTCAATATAGGGCTATTTTATCTAGATATGACACTATTGTTTTGAGCCTACAAAAGTGGACATTAAATTTGTAAAGTTTAATATCGTACTGTTGTATTCATATAGTGTATTATCTCCAAAATAAATTAAAACAATAAAAATAAAAGAAAAAAGCCGCTTGCGGCATCAACAGAGCTATGAAGGGAGCGCTCTTTTCCTCGGTCTCACACACACACAGGCATCTAAACGCGGAAAAACACACTTATTAAACTTGACAAAACCTCTTGAAAACCTTTACTGTCTGCTGTGTCTTTAATATGGTGTAAAGATTAGTATGCGTTATTGAAACATCAAAGATGCAGCAAAGAAAGATCATTTTATGCAACAGCCTTACATTTGAAAGAGAAACATAAGGGCGATCATATGCAAAAAAGACCCCAGCCTATAATTTGTTCCAGATGTTTTCTTTCCCTTATATATTTATTTGTTTATGTGTTTGGCGCATGTACTCGTGTGCGATTGGAAAACTGTGCCCACCTCTCCTTTCACTCTGCCCCGAAGCCCCGGCTGGCCCTCTTTGGCCCAAGGTATTCGGCGGGCCGAAAAAGGCTGGCCGCTGGCCCCAAGAAAGCCCAGCTTTGGCCCGATTAGGACCCGGAAGTGACAGTGGAAACGCTTTAGGCGCGATAGTGGAAACGCGGCTAATGAAAAGACTTGTCTGTCACTGGGATCTTTCAGGAATCAGTCTCACCCTCTCCACTCCTCCATGAGCATCTGCTCCTCATGCAGGCCAGGTTTAGGATTATGGAGACCGCGGATTAGGGAGAAATAGACTAACATAAGCGTCAAAGTAGTACAAATGATAATGTTTATAATCTCTTTGGGAAGTGATGCTGGCTACAGTTTCGCTAATTAATGCAGCATAACATTCCTTTAGAGGATTTGGATTTCAAAAGATAATGTGTGCAAAATCATACTACTGCTAGAGACATGATAGTTACAGACAAAAGGATCTGCACTTTTGTTAGTGTGCCTTAACCAATCTGAATAAGGTTTCTATTTGACTGAAAAGGGTGATGTAGATCTGAAATAATCCAAGATGCATAAGTGTATGGTTTGTCTTCCAAACTACCATGTTTATTTATCTATACATCTCTTAACTTTTGAACTGCTTAGTATATGAGACTGAAAAATATTGAAAAAATAGAAATAAGTAATTTCTCCCTCTTTCTGCAGGCAAAAATAATACAAATATTGTCTTGAAAAAATAAGTATTAGTTTAGACTTGTCTATAACTGGAATAGAAGTGGGATTATCAATGGATTGAATGAATGTATCGCCTTGTGTTTAATTAATGTTCTTTATCGCATGGCAATCCATTATTATCCATCACATATCTTTTATATATTTAAAAAAAAAGTATAGTTTGCTATACTTTTGTTTTGTAAATACACTTTTAATGCAGTCTATAGAGTTGGCCAGGCCAACATTTCACATCTTTATGTATATCATATACCCCTGTTTGTTTTTTTCAACACATTTCTAAACGTAATAGTTTTAATAACTCATCTGTAATAACTGATTTATTTTATCTTTGCCATAATTATAGTAAATAATATTTTACTAGATTTTTTTCAAGACACTTCTATACAGCTTACAGTGACATTTAAAGGCTTAATTAGGTTAACTAATCAGGTTAGGGTAATTAGGCCAGTTATTGTATAACGATGGTTTGTTCTGGAGACTATCAAAAAAAAAAAAAAAAACTTAGATGTTGACTTATGAAGTAAGGGATAATCAACAGCTTGCTGTGTGTTAAGGGATTTTAATGCACAACATAGAGGCGAAGGACCACACAAATTGCAGCTGAGTGTGATCGCCTTTGCGAAGTGCATTAAAATCCTTTAAAGCACGGCAAGCCGTTGATTATCCCGCTTATTCCATGGTCATTTGCCAAGGTAGGCATAAGTTTAAAATAGTTTTGCTTTTTAAAGCGTAATATTTGTCTGAATTGTTGTTAGTTTTGACATGTTAGGTTTTCTAGTCCCTCCACTGAATCAGCTGTGACAGGAAGACAGGTGCAAAGAGTGAGAGTTGTTTATACCTGCTAAAATTAAGATGCGATTTCATCAATACAATCACAGGTCGACAAATAAGAGATTCCCAATCACTCCTGGAGTGTGTTTTCAGTCACATGTGTTTTTATTTGTCTACTTTCTACCACCTCTCTGATGAGGGAGGATGTGTATGTATATGGCTTTCTCTTAACATTATCTTTAATGCTGCAAAAGCTGGGCTAACCATAGCAGAATTTCCGCAATATACATTTCGTAATAAACATACAAATTATTAAATTATATCAATTAAATACGCTTTAGGAAAATGTTACTGTATGCTTTGGCTGATAAAATGAAAGATAATTTATATCCTATTAACTTTAAGCCTTCACTGTTTAGCTTTAACTTGTTTCTGTTTAACAAATATTTTTGAACATCTTGAGTAAATAATGTAATTAAGTCTCTTTCGAATTAAATCATTAGGCTTGGCAAATTGATATCATGGAATTGATCTAACTAAATGAACGCAATCGTTGCTTTGAGTAGAAAAATGTTACGATTATTAAAACACATTGATCTATGCACATGAAATTAAATATTTACAAAGTTGTATGAAACGCCAATTCAATGTCACATTGGATGCATTTTGAAGAGAAAGCAGACAAAGCCTATCTCAGAAATCTCTACTGTTAAATATGTAAGTTATGGAAATTTAGCAAAAGAAAAAACATATCGGGACAGGTGAGAGAACATTCTGCTTTATTTATCTTCTTTAAAAGCAGTTAATCAAACATGCAGAATCAGTGTAATATTACATTATTTACGGTCATAAATAAATTATGGAACTGCGATTTGCCAAACAATACACCTGAGAACAAGTAATAGGTTAAAAAGTCCAAAGAATGACTAGTAGATACACCAAAGATTTATTATACATCACTTTTTAACAACAGAGATGCAAGATATTAGATCCAGCGGCAGGTCCTGTGATGGTCTGGCCATTTGCGGAGCTGTTGCTTACCACTCAGAGCTTCTCAGATTTTTTAAAAGACATGCTATCCTTATACATAAACTGCCAATTTGATTTTAAAATAACTATATTCTCGCTTGGGGCGATGCGGTGGCACAGTAGGTAGTGCTGTCGCCTCACAGCAAGAAGATCGCTGGTTCGAGCCACGGCTGGGTCAGTTGGCATTTCTGTGTGGAGTTTGCATGTTCTCCCTGCATTTGCATGGGTTTCCTGTGGGTGCTCCGGTTTCCCACACAGTCCAAAGATATGCGTTACAGGTGAATTGCGTAGGCTAAATTGTCCATAGTGTATGAGTGTAAAGGAGTGTGTATAGATGTTTCCCAGAGATGGGTTGCAGCTGGAAGGGCATCCGCTGCTTAAAACATATACTGGATAAGTTGGCGGTTCATTCAGCTGTGGTGACCCCAGATTAATAAAGGGACTAAGCCGGAAAAAAAATGAATAAATGAATATTCTCGCTTGAAAAACTCTTAAAACTGGCATAATTGATCAATATTTTTCTAATTTTGCGGATTTTCTATCCGCCATTTACAGTCCTCAGCTGAACTTTTTTTTGATCTGAAATCAAAGTGGATTCATTATGATTTATTGGTATATTCATATTGGTGCTGTGACCCGGATGGGAGTGAAATTTTGATGGTTCTGCTGCTCGGATCTGTGTAGCTAAGAAGTTTGTAAAAATTTAACAACAGGCTGGTTATTGTTTTTGTTTCCACAGACTGTGAGTCAGCCTGCAAAGAGAAAACTGCCTGACTGGACTGCAGGACCTACAACATCAGTAACGACTACATCGGAAAAGAGAACCAAAAAGAAGAAAGGACTTTTCAGTTGACAGTCTTATCTTACTGAGCAGTTTATTGTTTTTGTTGATATTTTGTACATTTTCTAATTAGTTTTTGTCAATGGCCTAAGAGGGCGTCACGTTATTTGTCTTTAATTGTTCTCAAGGCTCTTGTTAAAAGTGAAGGGGGACCAGCAGCTTGATGTCTGCCGCCAGCTTGAACTCTTCCTAGTATTTTTCAGATTTCTCACAGCCCACACACTAGTCAGGGAGTCTTTCTCAATTTGTGCGTATCGTGTTTCTACTTCCGTGAGCAGCCCGAAGCTGTATGCTACTGCTGTCCACCTGTCGTTGTGGAAGCACTTCTCAAAGACTTCAAAAAACGAAGATTTTGGAAGTGTGGGCGGAGGACTTTATACAGTAAGTCATTCATTCTTGGACATTAAAGTCTCTGACCATGGACAATTTTTGAAAGTTGGGAAAGTTTTTTGCCAAAGAGAAGATTTTCAAAAACAAACGAAAAGCTATGAGTTACTTTACTTCATAAACCCGTTTTAACCTGCAACTATTAACATCATTTCTATTATGTCCATAGTTCCTTAAATTAATCATTTAAAGGCAATGGGTTTGCTCACTTTTTTAAAGTAAGCTAATCAATTTAAAAGCAAACAAGTTTAATCACTTAAGTAAATTGAACCTTTCTCTTTATACAGTGTAAATGTGTCTTTACGGTGCCCGGGAGAGCTTAACGTGCTGCGATTTAAGAAAACATGCAATTACAAAAAAGCCAGCAAATTAAGAATCAGTTTGACAGACATTTTATGAAAATGCACTGCATTTTCACACGACCCAATCAATTAATAAAATGAGTTGCATTTCACACAACGCAAAAAATAAAATGTGCATTGTATTTCCTCACAATGCAAACATTAATGAAAACGCACTGCATTTCCACACAACGCAAACAATTATTAAAACTCTGCCTTTTTCTCACAACGCAAACATTTTACAAAACACGTTGCATTTTCACACAACACAAACAATTAATTAAATTTGCTAAATTTTAACACAACAGAATGGAAATGTTTTAAGGAAACCCTAAAATGTTATTTAGGCCAATTAATACTAAATACAAAATAAAATGAACAAACAAAAAACTCATGGATCAAAGATCACCTACAACTTCACTGAGCCCTAGTCACGGCACAGCGCTTTATTAATTTGATTGCGTTGTAAAAAAAAAAAAAGAAACGGGTTTTATTATTGTGTTTGCGTTGTGAGGATTGTCAAATGGATGACGATCATTTCTTAATTCACTAGCGTTTTTTGTAATTGCATGTGTTTTCTTAAATTGCTGCACGTTAAGTTCTCTTGGCCTCCGTACATTTTACTTCATACAGTGAAAAAGTAAATTGGCATCTTACTATTGCTTGCTTGAACTGAAGCAAGACATTTACAGAGCTACTCTGTGTAAATAGGTGCAAAATAAAAGTCAAAAGGCCCAGTGTTGCCTATAGAAACCCACATATCCTGTCTCATCGCGTACACAACAGCGAGTCTTCGATAAGCTTGGCAGATTTCTGATGTTTCCATCATCACCTTCCCTAAAACCTCTCAGTGTTTTTTAGCAAGACATTTTGCTTCTGCAACTTACCTGATGCTGCTAAAATATTTTCTATGTCAATACTTGACTAGTTTTTGTCTCAAAACGCAAACATTTTATGAAGACACGCTGCATTTTCACAACGCAAACAATTAATAAACGCGGCATTTCACACAACGCAAACAATAAAATGTGCGGTATTTTTTCACAACGCAAACATTTTACAAAAACGCACTGCATTTTCACACAACGCAAACAACTATTAAAACGCACTGCATTTTCTCACAACGCAAACAACTATTAAAACGCACTGCATTTTCTCACAACGCAAACAATAAATAAAACGCACTGCATTTCACACAACGCAAACAATCAAATGTGCAGCACTTTTTCACAACGCAAACATTTTACAAAAACGCACTGCATTTTCACACAACGCAAGCAACTATTAAAACACACTGTATTTTTTTACAACGCAAACATTTTACGAAAATGCACTGCATTCTCACAACGCAAACAGTTATTAAAACGCACTGCATTTCACACAACGCAAACAATCAAATGTGCAGCACTTTTTCACAACGCAAACATTTTACGAAAACGCGTTGCATTTTCACGCAATGCAAACAATTATTAAAGACGCTGCGCTTTCTCACAACGCAAATTTTTATGACTATCACTGCATTTTCACACACCTAAAACACTGAGACATTTTGCTTCTGCAACTCACCTGATGCTGCTAAAAACCTATCTATGTCAATACTTGACCGGTGTTGCACAACTCCAAATTATTTTGTGTTAACCTTGGTAACCAGTGTACATTATTGTTTTGTATAAAAAATAACAAAAATATAAGTAATTGAAGAAATGTAGCTGCAGCTGTCATTCTTTTTTTGTAAACAATTTGTTGCATTGCACTGCTGTTATTTAAATGAAGAAAAAAAAATCTTATTAAAATCTAAATGAAATGAAAACTCACTTGTTTCTAAATACATATTAATTGAAGGCACAACTGTAGAATAGTATTTAAGTATACTGCACTACTACAGTATGCTCTACCACAGACTAAATGAGGACAGAGGGCATCTATTGCAAGATTTTTTGAGCTTATAGACACTCAAAGAAATGGCTTTTCCTGCTTGTTCAAACTAAGTATTTAAAATGAGTTGAAACAACACAATTCTCAGTTTTGGGGGAGCGGGGAAGGGGTGGGGGGGGTTGACTTTATCGTTTTATGTTCAGTCATTCATTCGTTCATTAATTTTCCTAAAACTTAGGGTGCTTTCACACCTAGACTTTTGTTTCGGAACCTTTCTAGTTCCCCAGTTAGCATGGTTCGTTTCGCATATGTGAATCCAGCAATCCTGCTTGGATCCGTGCCAAAGCAATCGGTCCGAGATTGCCTGAATGAGGTGGTCTCGGCTCGATTGAAACAAACTCTGGAGCGGATCGATTGTAGTGAGAAAGCGATATGATCCGAGCCCGGCTATATCACAGTGTATCATGGATATGTCATAAGCATATATACGGCTATATGAACAGAGAGGGCGGGAGATCATTTCTACCGGTTAATGTGTGTTCATGTAAAATAAAACTAACGAGAGCTGTTTATCCGTTAGGAAAATTGACCGAACTGCAGTCTTGGTTTATCTGTTATTTCGCTCTATAATGTAAAGCCTATAATGCATAAGCCAACTGCTATATTTGAGAAGGTCTTACCTATGCTCTATATTTAGTACTGACATCTGTGGGTGTCACCATTCAAAATGAAAGCACAGCTTTTCGCTTATAATGCCTTATTGCTCATCATCATAAATTAAAAAAGACGCATGCTGAGCAGGACTCTAATCAAAATAAACCGTGAAACTCTGACCAATGTAAGGAGAGTTTACTCGCACGTGACTTGTTTTAGCTATTTTGGTCCATTTAGAAACTTTGCCGTGTGAAAGCGAACCGCACCAAGAACAAAGAGCAACAATGTGACAAATTTAATCCATTTCGAAACAAGAGAATCGATCCACAGGTGTGAAAGCACCCTTAGTCCCTTTATTAATCAGGGATCGCCACCGTGGAATGAATGCCAAACTTATCCACACGTTTTACACAGCGAATGCCCTTCCAGCTGCAACCCAGTACTGGGAAATTCCATTCACTTTACGAACAATTTAGTTTATTCAATTCACCTATAGCGCATGTCTTTGGACTGGTGGAAACCCATATGAACATGGGGAGAACAAGAAAACACCGCACAGAAATGCCAACTGACCCTGGACTCGAACCAGCGACGTTCTTGCAGTGCTAACCACTGAGCCACCATGTAGCCTATGTTTTATGTTCAATCCACTTAAATTTGTAAATATGTGTAAGTTAACTGATTTTTTTTTGGGACAACAGGAAGGAATTATGTGGAACCCAACATGTTTTAACAGTTGTTCAATTTACATGTAGAAATTAGTTCCAAGACCAATGCTTGAACACAACTAGGTTTCAGAAACTGACCCAATTAAAAAAGGACAACTTTGTTTCAATTGTGCTTGTGTTAAAGCTGCCTTACAAAGATGTACAGGGTAATAATTAAAGAGAAAGTTCTTTATTGTGGAATATCTTCAATATAAACGGTATCAAGCCAAAATGTGGGGGGGCCCTGGTGAAGTCAGTTGTTAGCACTGTTGCTACCAAGCCAGTCAGTTTCTGCGCCGAGTTTACACGTTCTCTCCGTGCTCAAGTGGGTTTCCCCCAGGTTCCCCAGTTTCCTCCTACCATCCAAAAACATACACCAGAGACATGCTCCTAGTAAGTAGTTATCTCTTAAGAGCATTCACTATCTGTTCATTATCTACTACAGCAGGGGAGTTCTCGAGATTTACCTGAGCCCAAACTCTCCTTTCGCTTTGCAAATGGGAGAGAGCCCCGGACTCGAGGATCTTATGAGCTCAGGGCTCTCTCCCGGGACCGCATGCCAAACAAGCTTGAAGTAAGAATGATTCTAAGGGCCTACGCCGTTTTAGGGCCCCCAGAGATAGGATGAGGGGCCCATCACAACCCCCCCCCTCTTCATTTTTATCCGCAACACCCATGAAATGTTTTCTTAGGGCCTGTACCGGCCAGCGGCGCCCCTGTCTGGATAAAACATGCTTTTCTGACTTGATTTTTTTTTTTTTGTCTTGTGTTTGTCTAGTTCAAAAATGGTAGCATGGTGACTCATTGGTACGCACTGTTGCCTAACAGCAAGAAGATCGCTGGTTTAAGTCCCGGCTGGTCCATTTTTGTGTGCAGATGGCATGGTCGTGTGGGTTTCCTCCAGGTGCTTCGATTTCCCCCACATTCCACAGTCATGCACTATAGGTGGATTGCATGAACTAAACTAGCTGTAGTGTATGAGAGTGTGTGTGAATGATAGTGTGTATACGTGTTTCCTAGTACTGGGTTGTTGTGGCGACCCCAGATTAACACAAGCATGAATAATTAGCCAATAATTTATTAGCTTGAGGGACATGATAGCATTGAAACTGAACATATATCGACTGATAACTAATTTAGCCACCAATATATTGTTTATAACCGCCAAAAGGTTTAACAGAAGTGCCTGGATTGCAGACATGACAAACGCTTTGGATGTTATCTCCCAGAACACTGATTTGCTGTAACTGCAGCCTAAATTAAGACATTTCCAGCACCTCTTTAAAATAACTGTCCTTTTCCAGAGCACGTCCTGAATTCCCAAGTAATGGCCCTTTTAGAATCAGTTGGTGTTAGCAACTCTTTCACTCCATGCTTTAAATAATACACAGTCTAAATTGGCACGGACATAAAAGTCACATTATGAAACAAAAAGCAGCTTAATTTTGCAGATTATTATTTGGTTTCACTAGGTTAATACACCACACATGAGTTCTCAACTCCGGCCCCAGAGACCCCCTTTCATGCAGAGTTCAGCTCCATAATCAAACACACCTGAACCAACTAATCCATGTGTCAATACACACACTAGCAGAGTTTTCTCACTAAATTAACACTTTCACTAATATACTGCTATTATTTGAGTCTAAATGTATCCCAGTATTTATTTTCAGGACCTCACATGTGCTAAACTTGGGTAACACTTTTTACTTTGATGGTCCACTTGAGTATTAGTAGACTGTCTGCTTAGCAACTGTTGATACTGCTCCTTCAACAGACATTTAACTGACTATAAGAAACTTTGCAAGTACAGTTGAAGTCAGAATATTCGCCCCCCCCCCCCCCCCCCCTATTTATTTTTCCCCCAATTTCTGTGAACGGACACCAGATTTTTTTCAACACATTAAATTAAATGTGAAAAAATATTATCAGACATACTTTGAAAAATTCTGCATTGATCCCGAGCGCCAGCCTGAACACCCACTAGTGACCTACTCACACCTGCTGCTTCTCCACTATGGACGTCCAGTGTTCTCCAGCCTCCTGTGCCTAGACTGCAGGTCTGCACAAGATGTTTGGCCAGAGGAGAAATTGTCGTGCCCAACTGAGTCTGGTTTCTCTCAAGGTCTTTTCCTTCACTTTTGTCAATTGGTGAAGTTATGTTTTTCGCCACTGTCCCCACTGGCTTGCTTCCCTGTTGAAAAATCCAGCTTAAACCAGCCTAGGCTGGTTGGCTGGTTTTAGCTGGTCGACCAGGCTGGTTTTAGAGGGGTTTTGGCCACTTCCAGGCTGGTTTCCAGCCATTTCCAGCCTGGTCTTAGCCGGTCAGGCTGGGAGATGACCAGCTAAAACCAGCTTGACCAGCCTAGCCAAGCTGGGAGTCCAGCCAAAACCAGCTATATCCAGCTTAAACCAGGCTGGTCAAGCTGGTTTTAGCTGGATTTGGCTAGTAATTTTCCAGTCTGACCAGCTAAGACCAGGCTTTAACCAAAGCGTTAAAGAAAAAATAATAATTAAATTGAAAGCTGATATGTTCTTGATAAAATGTCACTAAATAGACATAAACATATTTAGAGACAGTTGATTCAATTTGTATTATTATTTAAATTTAAGTAATATTATTATTTGAAAAATGATCACTTTTATATCAGAGGCAATCATCTATATGCCGACGAAGATTATTGTTGACTATTTCATATTTAAACAGTGGTTTTCTTTCTCATACTAGCCTACTGAAGTACACAGTACTTACTCATATTTAGTATGTTCACATTGAAAATCCCGTCCCACTTAATTGACCATAAGCTGGCAATAATTAGCGTGATTTCACACTGGACCGCCACCCCGCGCTGTCCTTGGTCGCGGTGTCGGTGGGGAAATCCTGCTCACCCTCGGCTGGGATCTTTCTCACCCCGCCTCCTGTAATACGATCAGCTGAAGGGCTAACAGACCCCACGCGCCTCTTCATTCACTTCTTCTGCTCCACTTTAATTCATCCAGCTGAACGCAAGGACCGCGCGCGGAGATGGCGATTCTGCCAGGACGCAGCAGCTCTTTAACGGTCTCGGTTCTTTACGGAGCGGCGGTGTGTTTGTCCCTGTGGACGCGTGTTGTCCGGTGTGGGAGTTTTGCGTGTTCTCCGCCCGGGGCGTCAGTACAGGAGCTCGCCCGCCGCTCGGGGGTCGTGTTTGAGGGGAAGCTCCAGGAGGAAGAGCGAGCGGAGCGAAACTGGACCGAGCCGCCGATGAACGCCTCGCGTCAGGTGCGGGTCAGAGTGCAGCAGGTGTGGCAGCTGAAGGCAGGAGGGCTGATCAAGGACTCTGTAGTGTCTCTCGTCTGGTTTGAAGGGGGCAGATGTTTCCAGCTGAACACAGGGATCCGCTACATGTTCTTCATTGAACCCACAAATGACACGTCCGTTTTCACGGCAGTCTTCCCGCCGGTGGAGACCAAACGCACCGTGAGGAAGGATGTGAGTCAGGTGCTCTGTCAGGATTGCGGTAAGACCCTTTAAGAGTGTTTTTTTTTAACTAAAACAAGACGAAAGTAGTTTGGAAGACTTTGTGTGTTTGTTTGGCTCCTATTGATGTGTTTGTTTGGTCTCCTGTTTATCTTGGTGCTGATGTTGAGCTCAAGTGCAAGATGCTATATGGTAATGGCTGTGAATCAATAATAGGCTACATGATGGTATTTACATCAGTAAAATATGTGACCCTGGAGAACAAAATCAGTCTTAAGTTATACTGGTATGCCTATATTTAGCGAAAATCCGAAAATACAGATAGATTTTTTCAAAAACATTAATGTCAAGTAATTATTGTCTTTATGAAGACATTTGCTAAATATATAAAAGCTACAATTTTGGTTATTAATATACATTGCTAAAAACTCAAATTAGAACACTTTATGATCATTTTTCCAATATTTGGATTATTTGTAACCATTGTATTCTAGAATTTGAAATAGTTGTTTCTGTGATTACAATGATTTATGTAAAATTACCACTCATGACTGGTTATGTGGTCCAGGCTCGCATAGATTGCTTTTGTGCTGGACATAGTTCAACTAGTTTACACAGCTTGACTTGATCATCATCGATGTACATTTTTGCCAGTGTTTTTTGCATTCCTTTAGCATCACTCAAGCTCAAGTCATGCAAAAGAATTATTTCAAAGCTGGACTGTCAATGCCTTAAATCTGTGTTTTTGGCAGGATTTCCGCAGATTATTTTCACAAATGTCATCACCAGATTCTGATGGATTACACAAATTCCTGCTCAACCTTGTAGCCTTTGCATTAAAGCTAACCCTGGTGATTTCAGAGACTTTACAGGATGCTTACGGCTTGATAAGCGTCTGCAGAAAGCTGTCAGGGTTCACTTTGATTAGCTCTGAATGATCATGCAAGTCATGCAATGACTTGTCATGGGGAATTTTGAGAATATATAAGAATAATGAGATACCAGCAAGCATTTTTTTAAAAAAAAAAGATGTCTAATAGATGTCTAAACATAGTTGTCTTGGCTAAAACATGGCTAAATTTGGATCGTCAGTGACAATCTAATAAACGTCTAAGTATAGGCCAAAACTAGACTAGTCGTCAAATAAACAGAAATGAATGACTATATAAAGTCTGTATAATCTGTCTATTTGTCGACTAGTCTAGTTTTGGGCTATTTTTAGATGTCCATTAGATTTTCACTGACAGCCCAAGTTTAGCCTTGTTTTAGCCAAGTTGTGTATGTTTAGATGTCTAGACATCTATTAAACACAGAATTGTTTGCTGGGATGTTTGATGAAGAATGAATGGCACCTAAAGTTAAATATAATTCTAATCCTTGCTGGTATATTGTCTACTTGTGGTTTATCTTACTTATTTGGGACCGAGAACCTACGTTGCGTAGGCCCTATTGGAAATGCTCCGTTTCTTCTTCTTCTCTGGAAGGAATCACAGTTTTCAGGGGCTAAACATTCTAAACAAACTCATGAAACTTTGCACACGCCCCAGAAGTGGCGAAAATTTACGTTTTTTATGGTTTTCAGAAGAAGGCGTGACAAAATGACTCAACAGCGTCACCCATGGACTTTTGACGGACTGGCCCCCGAGCTACTAATCATGTACAGTACGCATTTGAAAATTGGCACACGCCTCAAACACGCCAAAACCTACAAAATATAGTCTCGGAATTTCAAACCCAACAGGAAGTCGGATATTTTTACCTTTCTGCGTTGAAAAATTGCCGTTTTTTAGCCATTTCCAGGCGTTGTATTTTAACGAACTCCTCCTAGGGATTTTATCGAATCAAAAAGGCCTTGGAGATGTTAAATTGCAAAGATCTAGAGTTTTCAGTGAAGGGCATGTCTGTGGCAGCCTCGCAAACTTTGACGATTCGCCACGAAACAGGGAGCTATTATAACTCAGCCAAACAATGTCCGATCTGCCTGAAAATTCACATGGTTGATAAGATTCATCTACTGATGGCATCTACATGCCACTATTGAGTCACAGTTATAGCGCCTCCTGCTGACAGGAAGAAGTTTGGCATAAATCTGTGATTTTCTCAGGTTATTTATATATATATATATATATATATATATATATATATATATATATATATATATATATATATATATATATATATATATATCGGCTTAAATTAATGTTGTTTGCTGTTCTCTGTCATCCTGAGGCCACCGGGTGGCGGTGAGCCATGTTGCGAGGTCCCTATCATTGCTGCTTGCAGCCTTAATTTACTGTAGATTTGCTAAACTGTCTATTAGTTGAGTTTACTTGAGCATAAAACAAGTATAACTGGAATGCACTTGCAATGTCCACACAAGTTTGCATGTTCCATAAATGTATTATTTTTGTCTTTATATGCACATTGTAGGGCTCTGCATTATACTGGTGGAAAATACAGTATATTAAATACATCAACTGTTAAAGAGCCCATATTATGGGTTTTTGAAAATTCCCCTCCATGTAGTGTGTAACACAGCTCTAAGTGAAGTGAAGTATCCAGCTAAGGCTTAAATCTGTAAGAATACAGTGTTTAAAACGGTTGATTCATCTATAAAAGAGTCGACTCATAGTGCTTCAAACGAGTCGCCTTGATACTGAGTCATTAGGTGTTTCGCCATGACGTACGAACGAAACCAAGTTATTCACGTGCACGCGCAAACCCGGGAGATTTCAAACCTGAGGCCCCGCCCTCTGACGCAGAAACCCAGACACACACACACACCCACAAACACACGCACACCCACAAACACACGCACACAAACATGCCGGTCGATTGAAGTCACACTGCAGATGGATATTATATTGAGTCTCTACCCAAAGATGAAACATCAGCATTATAACCAAGCAGTTGGAAACTTCTGGAAGCTACATGCTACAAAGAATACTTCATCTGAGTTTGTTAAAGGAAGGCTCAGTAAAGAGTAACTTACTGATGGACGTCAGGATTAGTTTCTTCCTTCATTTCTCAAGTGTAAGTACGTGCGGTTAAAGTTGTTGCCTCGTTTACTCTAGCTTGCAAATGTATTTAGTTGTGATTTGTTACTTGTAACCGCGTGTACTGTATCAGGTTAACTGCACTCTAAAAAAAAATTCCGTAAAAAAACGGTAAAATGTACTGGCAGCTCATTACACAAATATTTTACCGTAAATTAAAAACGGAAAACTTCTGTTAATTGACAGTGTGTATACATTAAAAAAACTAAAAAATATCCGTTTTTTGACGGTTAAACTACTGTAAAATAACGAACCATTTTATAGTAATTTAAGGGTTTTCTATATAAAAAAACGGTTATTTTCTGTGTTTTTAAGGGTATACCAACAGTAAAAAAGCGGAACTATTTCGTGTTTTAATAGTATACCTACTGTAAAAAAACAGACAGATTCTGTGTTTTAATAGTATACCTACTGTAAAAAAACAGACAGATTCTGTGTTTTAATAGTATACCTACTGTAAAAAAACAGACAGATTCTGTGTTTTAATAGTATACCTACTGTAAAAAAACAGACAGATTCTGTGTTTTAATTGTATACCTACTGTAAAAAGAGGACTTTTTTGTTTTTTAATAGTATATATACAGTGAAAAAATGAACAGATTCTTTGTTTTAATGGGATACCTACTGTAAAAAAAATATTATTTTACTAATTTAATGCTCTTCAAGCAGCATAGAAATAGCAGTTGGTAAGGATAAACCTATACATATGGGAAATACACTACTAATGGTTTACCATAGTAAAACAAAACATGTATTCCATACTGTATGTGTAGAGAAGCAGTAAATAGTTTGTTAACTGTGAACTTACAATGATTAGTACAAAAACAACTTTGCAATTAAAACAGATTCTTTAATGAATACAAATCATTTGAATTCCAAATAGCAAGTTATACACACAATAAATACATATTGACATGTGAATCACACAGTGAGAAGTCTTGGCAAATAATCTCAAAGCAAATTAGTTTTAAATGTTAGCTTTAAGATAATTGAGGACAAGTGGGCAAATTACAAGTACTTTACATTAAGAAACCAGGTTAACTGCAAGATGGCAGGAAACAGACGATACAACTGGGTCTTCTTCCGCTCCAATACTGATACTTCAATGGCTGTAAAAAAAAAAAAAAAAAAAAAAAAAAAAACATTACTAATGACATTTCACTTACAACTGGGGTAATTCCTTGCATGTCAATAGTTTACACAAATGAAAGTTTTATCATCATCTTCATGTCTCACTCTTGTCATTTCAAGCCTGTCTGACTGACATACTTCAACAGAACAAAATAGGAGAAATAGGAGCAACATTCTTTAAAATATGATATTTTGTGTTTTGCAGAGGAAACAAAGTCATACAGGTTTAAAATGTCAAGAGAGTAGGTAAATTATGAATGATCAATTATTCAGTTTTGGGTGAGAAATCACTTTAAGATTTTTCAAAATAAAGTGTAGGTACTTTTGACAATATTCGGAACAATAATGCAAGAGAGAAACAGTAATATAAACAAACTATGCTGGTAACACTATAATAACTACGGGCTATGATTCATTTATGAAGCATTAGCAAATAGTGAATTCATTATCTGTTAAGCATTAACTCTACATTAATAGATGTTAGCAGTTGGTTATAAATACAGCTGCAAAATTTGCTACAGCTACAGTTTAATAATTGTGTTATCAAACTTAAATGATTGATTTTACATTACTATTTATAGATAAAAAAAAAAAAAAAATATATATATATATATATATATATATATATATATATATATATATATATATATATATATATAATATTATATTTAATATTGCATTATTTACAAAATTTCTTCCAGTTGTGGCCTAATCTAAAGTGAGGATTATTTATGATTTATAAATCCTTATAAACGACAGTTAAACCTTGCTGAATAGCAGGAGTGCCAAAATATAACATAAAACTGGATAAAACAACAATAAAATAATTTAATGATATATTACGATGCAACATTTCAGTGTTATTTAGCTATGTTTAAACTGTACAGTAATTTTATTTTAGATAAGATTTATTTTTCATTTAATACAATAAAATGATTTTAGAAATCATTTTAGAAAATTTTTAGAATATAACTGAATCTTTAATTGTGATTTATAAGGCGATTTACAAAGCATAAACAATCCTCACTTTAGGCTACAAAACTGGATGAAGTTAACAAAAGCACTTATTAAAATAAGTATTGTATATACTTTATATACTTATTTTTTATACTTTATATACAAGTATAACAATTACTATTCATTCATGTATTTTCCTTCAGCTTAGTGTGTGCTCACACTATGTATAGTTGCCTTGAACCAGGCCGAAGCACTCTTGTCCTCCCTCCCGTCTCCCCTGACGTCCCGCACTCACATTGCATTCGAGCCTGAGCACTCTTACATCATCGATGATGCGCTGTTTAGTTTAGGAAGTGCTCTCAGCACGGAGGAGAATTCTTTAGTTATATTGTTTTAGTCGTTTGGGATGCAGTAACACGCTGTCAAGAATTTCGCCGAACAGATCAGCCACTTTTGATGTTAATAAACAATCATAAACTCCTTGTGCTGCAGGAATAGGAGGTTTGCTAAAGGCGCAGCTGTGGTGCAGTAAGGGGTTTGCGTTCATTGAACAGTAATAGTGGTTAATTTATCCAAATCAAAGTCCCTTGCAAACTGTCATAGATTAAAGACACAAACCCCTCACTGCACAACAGCTGCACCTTTAGCAAACCTCCTAGTACCTGCAGCACGTTGACTTTGATTGTTTATGAGCGTCAAAAGTGGCTGATCTGTTCGGTGAAATATTTGACTGCGTGTCACTGCATATTGAACAACTAAAACGATATAACAATATAAAGATATCTCCACTGTGCTGAGTGAGAGCACTTGTTAAACTGAACAGTGCGTTATTGATGATGTAAGCATGCTCAGGCTCGAATGCAATGTGAGTGCGGGTCGTCGGGGGAGACAAGCACGCTTCCAGTTTCAAGGCAACTGTGCATAGCATGAGTACGCCCTTGGAAACACCCATACACACATTTACAAACACACTCATACATAACAGCCAATTAAGTTGATCAATTTCCCTATAGCTTATGTCTTTGGACTGTGGGGGAAACCGGAGCACCCGGAGGTCTTCTTGCTGTGAGGCAACAGTGCTAGCCACTGAGCCACTGTGCTGCCCAACTATTACTATATGCCTAAATAATAAGATATATAAATGTTAGTTTAAATAGTTTATTAACCATTTACTTACACATTCTGAATGATTAGAAAAAAAATACACCAACTATTCTTAAATTACTGGTTTGTAAATAATGCTATACTAAATTTAGTAATGAAAAATTAATCATTAACAAAATATAAAAACAAAATCATTAAGCACATTATAGATGTGCTTATAAGTCAAGATTACAGCATTTGCAGCTGTAGTTATAAACTGTATACTAAGGTCTGTTAATGTAGAGTTAAAGCTTAACAGAACTTTTTGCTAATGCTTAATAAATTAATCAATAGTGTTTAGTTATTATAAAGTATTACCGGTTTGCTTAATTACCTTTAAATCTTCCAAGGATTCTGAAAGTCTTTCTGGTCTGACAGGAATCGAAGGAGTTTAGATGGTATGTTTCTGCTTGGTGCACTTTTTTCTGCTATGGACCTACATTCTGGATAGTTACTCAGCATGCTCCTGTTGTAAATACAACAACAAACATGTATCAACTTACTTGTCTTATAAAAATGAAATAAACTTAAAAATGTAAAAACATACCTTCATATAAACTCCAGAGTCAGGGCTGCTTCCTTAGGCTACATAATGTTTAGCACATAAGAGACTAAACATGTAGCTCACCACAATTAGGGGACAGCTCAATGATCTTGTTATTGTGACTGTGGACTCTTCTTCTGAAAAAAAGAAAAGAAAAGTGAGTTGTGTGTTGGGTCTGGTACACGTCCACATGGAAAGAACCTATATAAACATATGGTTTAATATAGGTTTTGATTTAGGTTTTTGAAATATGTGACAAATATAAAATTGGCTGTTTTCCTATATTACATGTACATATATGGGTACACATATGCACACCTATATGGTAAATTATTAATATTATTAATAATATTATAAATATTATAATTATTATGTAAAATTATTCAAATACATGTCTGCTACATAATTTAAAAGAAATTAAAAAATATATATTTACTTAATCAAATATTACAAGAAATAATTATAGTGCAAGAACAAAAATAAGGCAAAAAAAAACAATAAAGGAAAGAAAAAAAATGTAAAAAAATTATAAACCATTTTGTTTTACATTTCTTTCTTTTCCACTATCTTTATACAAGAAAGAATTGACCTTGAAAATGTTTCAGGAAAACGTGTAGACATCATAGCTTTCCATCTCCTCTCACTTATTTGCCATAGTTAAATTCCATAACATGCCAATAACATGTGATACAAAATTCAAGTGGCACATACATAAGTTTTTCGCATTTTTTAAGTTAGTTCTTACCCAGAGAGCAAACCTACGTTAAATTAACATTGAATAAATGTTAAAACATCAATCAAACTATCATTGAAACAACGTTAAAAAGTCACCACTGATTTTTAGGCAGTTTTCCACCCTGAAATAATGGTAATTCTATGATAATAAATAGACAAAACTGTCCCAAAATCAGCATTTATTCAACCAAAATTAAATCTTATTTTTTTACAATGAACCCAACATTAAATAAAATGTTAAATCAACCACACTATCATACAATTAATGTTGAAATTTAAAGTAGATTTTTAGACAGTTTTGCATCCTGAAATAAAGTTATTACAATGACGCTAAATAGATTAAACGGTCACAAAATCAGCATGAAGGCCTGGCTCACCATCAAGATGCCCACATTGAAATTGTCTCTCTCATCATCAGGTGGCTAAGAGAGAAAAGAAAAGAGATTCAGCAGTGGACCAGTTATTTCCTTATCACTTTAAACAGACATTACCAAAATAAAGAACTTGTAACATTTCAAATGATGCAAAAATAAATAATAATAATAAATAACTGCTTGGTTCATTTAACAGATTACAGTAGCAGGTTAAAAAACCCAGATAAAACACCCACATCAACCCAGTACTTTTTAGTTTGAATACATGTTAACAAAATTCAAAACTTACTGAAGCAAAATGTGTTCATGTAAACACTTAGTAAAAATATAGGTACAAGTAATTGGTTTGCCAAATAATAAAAATAAAAGCATCAATATCAAACAAAAACCCTGACCATTTTACCTCTTAAACTTGGAAGTTTACTGTCATCCCCTGTATTAGGTACAGATGGTCCAGCACAACTGCCTGAGTTCTGAAAGAGCAAAGACATTCTTGGTAAAATGACAATAGATGCAATGCTAAATATAAATCATTTTTTATTTTAATTTTTTGTATTATTTATAAAAATGCAGTACTGACCAGTCAGCATCAATTTTTACACCAACACACCTACAACAAAAATAACACTCATTCAGTTTGAAACATGCAGCACATAGTCTACTTTTGTACTTTACAAACTTTGTGGATAATAAAAAAAAATGAAAACATTTAAAACCCCAGCTGTATTTTATTTCATTTGTCCATATTAATTCAAATTCAGTTTGGATTGAATGTAAGATTTAAGATTTTTATTTAGATTGCTGTGAAAATGTACCTGTACCTTGTACTTATAACCAAAATTACAGAACCTGGAAATCAACAAAGCAAAATATCAGTGAACCTTATATGTACAAAACACTTAAAACCAAACAGAAAAAACGCTGAACATTTTACCTCTTAAACTTCAAAGTTTACCGTCATCTCCTGTATAAGGTACAGAGGGTCCAGCACAACTGCCTGAGTTCTGAAAGAGCAAACACATTCTTGGTAAAATTATAATAGATGCAATGCTAAATATAAATCATTGTTTATTTTTTTGGTTAAAAAATGCAGTACTAACCAGTCAGCATCACTTTTTACACCAACACACCTACAACAAAAATAACACTCATTCAGTTTGAAACATGCAGCACGTAGTCTACTTTTAAACTTTAAACTTTGTAAATAACAAAAAAATGAAAACATTTAAAATCCCAGGTGTATTTTATTTCATTTGTCCATATTAATTCAAATTCAGTTTGGATTGAATGTAAGATTTAAGATTTTAATTTAGATTGCTGTGAAAATGTACCTGTACCTTGTACTTATAACTAAAATGACAACGTAAACATAAAGCAAATCTTATATCATATATCAGTGAACCTTATATCTACAAAACACTCAAAATCAAACAGAAAAACCCTGAACATTTTACCTCTTAAACTTGAAAGTTTACAGTCATCTCCTGTATAAGGTACAGAGGGTCCAGCACAACTGCCTGAGTTCTGAAAGAGCAAACACATTCTTGGTAAAATGACAATAGATGCAATGCTAAATATAAATCATTATTGTTATGGTTAAAAATGCAGTACTAACCAGTCAGCATCAATTTTTACACCAACACACCTACAACAAAAATAACACTTATTCAGTTTGAGACAGTCTACATTTAGACATCACAAACGTTGTGAATAATAAAAAAATGAAAACATTTAAAATCCCAGGTGTATTTTATTTCATTTGTCCGTATTAATTCAAATTCAGTTTGGATTGAATCTAAGAATTTACCTGTAACATGTACTTATAACCAAAATGAAAGAACCTGAAAGTCAACAAAGCAAAATATCAGTGAACCTTATTTGTGCAAATAAAACTCACTTAAAATCTACATAAAAAGATTTCATTTGCGATAACACCATGTGTAGTTCACTCTATTATCAAGGTTTCATTAAAATAAAACTCCTGATCTCCTAATAGTAAAGAAAGTATTGTTTGCTATAATGAATCGAACTGACAATTAGTTTGAAGAATTTTAAGACTGTGGAAGAACAACTCATCTTTATATCTTCATATTAGCTGCCCTTGAGGTTCTTAAAAGTGAATAAATAAATATCAATGACAGTTCAACTCGACTACAACAAACATTTAATTGTGTGCTTTAAGGTACACGTTGTATTTGAGGCCGAAAACGCATGACAGTGTAAACACTATAAATACTTTTAAATGTCACACACGTACTGTATCACTCTGTTATCTCTGTACACACAAACACGCGTCGCGAAATGCGGAAGTTTTTTTTTCGTTCCATTTGGCGAGCGTTGTTAAATTCCATAACACTCTCATCAGTTCTTGCTTCTTATTTGCGTCTATTACCCCAGTTTGTCACGCGGGATGAATGAAATGTTCATGAGTTAAAGTGAAACTGCCGAACTGCAGTTAAAGTCAGGCATCCTGCTGATTTGATTCATAAGGGCACTTGTTTGTCAGACGGCTCACCGGTCAGGTATACATCCGCGCTAAAATATCAAAGTATGAAAGTCACCCAGCTCCCAACCCAACGTTGAGAATAGATTAACGGCGATATATTTTTTTTTTACCGCGCGATAAGTCTCGCGTTAACGCAGCACGTTAATGCTGATAACGGCCCACCACTAATAAAAACTTTACGAGTGTGTATTTCCCCTCATACCGAGTTACAAATGCCTCCAATTCACGCGAGTCTAACTTATAACTTACTTAAAAACCAGCAAAGCTGTTCCACTGAAACTCGGTCACACAGCCTTAATACGTCGGTCAAACTAAAGCTAACATTTGATAACGTCAGTAAAAATATGAAATTAGTCATTAATATGCAAACAAACACAGACGGTTACGAGCGTTTGAAACACGTTAACGTTAGTGTTCATTAAAGGTAACGTATATCAACCAAACTACACAGTGACACAAACTTTGAATGCTATCCCTTGTTCAATGCACTGTACAAAGAAAACATTTATATTTCTATAAAATAATTAACATACCTTTTACACTCTTACAGACAAACTGACGTTTACCGTTAATCCAGTCAGGTGCAGAGGGAGTGAGTGGGTGATTTGACGTCACGCCACTTCCCGCGCACGGCAGTTTAGAAAAATACGGACAAACAACTGTAAATGAACAGATATCATATTTACTGATGAGAAAAACGTATAAAAAGGTAAAAAAATCATTAGGTAAATGCTTGTTTAAATTACATTTAACCACTCATAGCTCAGTTTGATCTTAATGAAATAAAGTCTGATCTTATTAACAATATTAAACGTAATTCACTGCTTTACTTTCCATGGGCGCTTCATAAAAGACAAAAATCATTTTAAATAACGATAAAAAGGTAATAAAGCAGTCTTTTAACTAAAATATTGTTATATGTTTTATTAATCGTACTTACCAGGGAAAAAACAGAGGAAGAAATATGTCCCGGTGTCCATCAAACGCTGTCTGAGCTGCGATCCCCTTCCCACAATGCAATTCGAAAATGTATATAAACGGAAAAACACCCGTAATACGTGTATACGGAAAAAATCTGTTAAAATATACAGTCATTTAACTGTTATTTTACAGATTTTTTTTACAGTGTGGATATATTCTCTTATCGCGTGCAAAGTCACGTTAAAAACGCGACGCGTGCTGCTTTGTTTATGGAGCTCCGTGCTAGAGTTCTGCTCCCGCGATTTATTCGGATAAATAAATTTCCGAATAAATCGCGGGAGCGGTCGGTAACGGGTTTAATTTGGGACGGGAGCGGGCTGTCTAACAATATCACGGATATTGCTATGCGAATTAGAAAGAGAGAGTCTGCTTGGTGCTTGTGTGTGTGTGTGTGTGTGTGTGTGTGTGTGTGTGTGTGTGTGTGTGTGTGTGTGTGTGTGTGTGTGTGTGTGTGTGTGTGTGTGTGTGTGTGTGTTAGTGCGCACGCGCGCGTATGAGAGAGAGCGAGAGAGATAGAGATAGATAGATACAGAGAGAGAGAGAGAGAGAGAGCGAACGAGCTTTGTGTGCTTGGTGCTGTGTGTGTGTGTGTTTATACAGACAGCTTGGCTGTCTGGACTGTATACTGGGTGATTTTTGGTTGTGTTCTCCTCTGCTCTAGCGGGATCGGGCGCGGCGGGCAGAAAACGGAGCGGGTTCTCAGGCTAAAACCTGGCGGGTGCGGGCGGAAGCGGGAGCGTTGTCGTCCGGTTGGTGTGTGTGTGTGTTTGTGTGTGTGTGGTATGGCGAGTACACGACTGTCTCCTTCGTTCGGTTATCCGTGGCACTATCCACTCTCCATAGTGTGGCAGCTAAAATCCACGCCTACACTATCGAGCGTGTATGAACTGTGATTACTTTTTATATTGCTGATTAGCTATTGGCCATTTCACTCTCTGACTGAAGGCAGTCGACCAATCGCGACAGACTGTCATCGGTCCAATCAGCGCAGATTAGCTTCGCGCTAAGGAGGGGTTTGGGAACAAATGAATCACTGGACGATTCATACGGGAGTCGCTGGGATAATTAGGTAAAAATAAATGCAGATTATAAGACCATGAAAGTGTTTTTTGACCTTGCATGCATATTAGACTGCTGTTGGAGACCCTTACAACCCTTATGACCCTATTTCATGTATAATATGGGCTCTTTAATAGTTATGAGACCAGCAACATAATCGAAAGAATGTTAGAAAGCTGCATGTTTGGCTTTGTGATTGGGCTGCCTTTGTTTGAATTTGGCATTTGCAAGATGAAATCCTCCAAGTATTGCTTCATGGACTGTGCAGCAGTAATGCTGTAAGGAGCTTTGAGATGTTCATGAGCTCAATGTTGCATTGTGTTTTTCCTCACAAACATTACAATAGGTTCAATAACTTGAGTGTTCATGGAGTATTCCTGCAGTGCTGGATGTTACACCATTATACTGTTGCACACAGACACTTGTCAGGCATGGTAATAAAGCTAGTTTAGATGCTTCTAGTCATTTTCACCAATAGAGGGGGCCTATTAACAACAAGCAAAGCAAGAGTTACATTTACATTTAGTCATTAAGAAGACACTTTTGTTTAAAGCAACTTACAATTCAGGGATTCAACAAGGCAATACACACAAGAAGTGCTAATTATACAAAGGAACTGTTTGTGCTCAAAGAATTAAGGGCTAGAGTTAGGAGGAGGGGGTGTTTTTGTAATACACAGAAGAGTACTTCTACAGGTGGCTTGTCAAACCCACTTATCTGTGTGAAGGATACTTCATAAATGCATGCTTTTTTAAGAGATAAGGAGTGATAGTAAGGAAGTGTCTGGTGTAAATGTGCAAAACTGGTGCAAGTTGTTGAAAGTGTAGAGATGAAAGTGTGTTTTTTACAGTTGGTTTGTCAAGACCACTCGCTTTTGTGAGGCACATTCAAAATTGCATAATGTTTAAGTCGCAATGTTAAAGTTGTCATGTGGTGTGGTGTGTGGGTAGAGAGGAGGGGGAGTTTTGTCCAAAGGAATTCAGGTAGTTCTGGAAGAGATGGGTTTTTAATTGTCATTTTGAACGATACTAGTGAATCAGAAGTCTGTGTGGGAATGGGAAGATCCTTCCACCACCAAAGAACACTGAATGAAACTGAATGCGTTTGATGAACCAGTGAGTGAGTGAATGTTGAATCATGGGAGTCTTCTTTACATCCTATGGGACTCCTGCATTAATCATATTCATCAAAAAGCTGAAGTATTCAAAACTTTTTTTATCGTGGTAATAAGAAGCAGAGTTAAATCCTATACACACTACAAGCAGCAAGCAGCGATAAAGTGACAAGCGACCATTCATTTCAATGGAGAGCTAACAACTTTCGGCAAACTCCTGCTACACAAGTGGTGGCAAATATCCGGGACCAGATGTAGGCATGTCAGAGTTAAGATCCACTGATAAATAGCTGCAGTGACAGAGCACATGTATTTTTCTTATTTATATTGTAATTAAGCACTTTATGTACAAATTCTATTCATTATTAAGAGTATTCCCTCCAATTTTTATTTTCAGTGGCAAGGAAACTCATTTGCAGTCAGTGGCTATGTTTCCATCCACCTATTTGGATTATTGCATAAAAATTGCTTGATTGAATTGCCAAGATGCACATAAACTTTGAAAATGTGCATAATTGAGTAGGATAAACCTTTTTTTTATTCGATAGGACTCATGCAGCTTCTCCTACTGCAACAAATTTCGTTTTTCTTTTTGATATTTGGCGCCAGTTTATCAGCAAGTGATGATTTTGTTCCTTTTGACTCATTGTATGAAAATGCTGCATTGTTCACAAATCTTTTATGTAATATTCTAGTTTTGCGCATACATTTACTTCGCATCTTTGGATGGAAGCATAGCTAGTGAAAATCTTTTATAAATGATACCTAAGAAATAAGGATGTCACAATCCTCCAAATCCTCGATTCGATTATATTTTCCATTGTAAAGTCACGGTTCGATTCTCGATTAAAAAAAAATCTAAAAGCACAGGCTATGCCATTTTAGGACTTTTATGCAATATAATAATATGTGACATTTGTGCACTGTCACAATCATGAAGCTCTGGGTTGCTCTGGAGGTCCAGCAATCTGTTGTAAAGACTACTAAATGTGCTCTGCTAAGACCTTCAATAACATTCTCCTTCACATTATTGAAAAAAGAGGGTATCACCGTAGCCATGAGATGCGTTCTACTTAGGATTTCGTAGCGCGGCTCTAGCACACTAATTAAAAGCCCTAAACTGGAGTTTTCTACCAATAAATAAGGTCACATGTCCGAGGCTATAAATACTCCTACCGCACTTGTGATTGCCTTAGCACGTGTTGAGTTACTTGGAAGTTTTATACCAAATGTAGACGAGAGTAGTTTGTGTTACTCTTGTCGGTTTAACAGATAAATCTGTTTTTGGGGTGCCTGCAGATATGCCCTGCCATGTCAGTCGTGCTGCCGGTGAAATAATGTGATATATGTACATAGCAGAGCTTGCAAACTGTGTTTTTTTTTGTTTGTTTTTTTATCAACAATATGAGCGTTGTCAACATAACTCACTGGAAATACGAAATACTTCCACACCGGCAACTTCAGAGGAGGGTGTTCAAGTTCTGTCAACAGGTCTCCTGCGTCTGCAGTTGCCATGCTATCTTTTGGCTGTTTGCTGTAGCTGTTAGCTTGACTCGCAAGCCAATCTGACATGGCATGGGGCCGTGGCAGCATCGTCGATACCATTTTTTGATTCGATAATTGACATTGAGCATGAATTTTGATCGATTTCAATTTCAAATCGAAATCGTGACACACTTACTAAGAAATTTCAAGGTGGGAAATTTTACTGCCAATTTCAAAAGCCCCCCAGCGCGAAAGGCAGATACAAAGTTGCTGGTAGTGTGACTGACTTTTATGGCTGAAAATTGTCGAAGCAAAATGAGAAAACAAAACAATTGCTGAGGAGAGATGAGCAAATGGTATAAAAACAGCAGAGCTTTTAGATTCTTCCACTAATGATCATGTGGAGAAGAAGCAGCACTGTTTTTAATCATGCTACATATATTTTAAGTTGTTTTATAATGCTGCTCTGCAGTCTAAGGCCCAATCCCAATTCTACCCCTTAGCTCTTCCCCTTACCCCTACCCCTTGTTTTGCGCATTCCTGTGAAGGGGTAGGGGTTTGCCAATTCTCTTTAGCTTAAAGGTGTAGAGCCAAGGGGAAGGGGTAGATAGCCCTTTCAACTGATATTTTTCAGGACCACACTCGAAATCAAGGGGTAAATTTTTTTTTTCCAAAATTCACCAGCCACAACGGGAGGATAGCTGCACCTGGAAGTAAGGAGATCCACAAATTAGTATTTTTTTGTCATTATCATGAATTTTTACAACAAACAAGCACATGTTTTAATATATTAATAACTTCATTCGTGTTTTTACCACCATGTTTTTTTTTTACGCTAAATTTCGCTATCTATAACCCCTAATAATAAGTCCTGTATAGCAGTCCCACAGCATTCTGACACTCGAATACCCTGTCAGAAAAGTCTAGTGGCTGGGAATGGGCTTTTTACAGTGTCTGCTATAATGTTCATGTTGTTTTTGCTGTGTTTACATAGATAAAAATGGCCACTGTGTAAATACACAGTACAGTTATGATCTTATTGCCACATTAAATCGTTATGATAACATAATATATACCTTCAGTGATTTCTTGAAGATAAATACCAAAAAAATAAAGCAACTGGAATAACTACAGCAATCGTGATCATCTAATCTCATATGAGTATGAGATTGCGATGACATGGTGATGTGTGCAGGTGCTGTTGTGCTGTCCTATTTCTTAGAGGTAAATTTTGAAGCCCTTCCTTTCACGCTCAGTTTTAAGGGTCAAGGGGAAAGGAAAGGGGTAGGGATACAAAAATAGAATTGGGATTGGGCCTTCCAAAACACATAACATATTAAAGCTTCTTTGGTGTTTCCCTGTTTCTATAAAAAACCAAACCGTAAAATCGAGAGTGAATGTGTTGTAGTGGGCAGAGCAAGGCTTCATGAAACACCGAAACAGTCAAAGCAAATGTGTCGAGGCTTTGAAACATAACTGTCT